TATAGCCCTGCGATATATAGCAAGAATAAAAGTTTGGGTAAAGTCATATCAATATTAGGAGGATACGACAATTGCATATTTGTTACGATCCTCGGCGTGCCAAGCCGAATAAAGGCTTCAACAATTGTCTACCATACAAGTCTTTGCTGCAACAAGAATGCTGGTCAATGGTAACAACAAGCGTCAAAGTGCATCAACAGAGTGGTACAGCGCACGGTGTCCAAGAGAACACTTCAGCGGACAGAACGAGGCACCAGGTATCCTATGTAGGGCAATTCTGGCCGTGCTTTTCAGGAAGCACTGATCAGGCCTAATCGGAGTTCCAGGGTCGCCCGGCACCGAGGATATTGGACATAGCTCGTTGCCTTCTGAAAAGCAAAAAGAACCTGGGTGCAGTAGACGAAGCAGCAGGCAGACACTGGAGGCAATCGATCTAGCATGGATAATAGCCTGAAAATCGTGTTTATATATTTGATATATAAATTTGTTTTTTTATTGATCTCTCATTGTACAGTTATACTCGACTGGCTGTAAGTTTTAGATCCGTTTACTGTCTTGTACCTACCAAACAAAAAAAAGTCCCTCAAATTTTTTTCCCAAGAACTTTAGTTACGTAGAATTTACTATATTGTAGCTATTTCTCAGATCAATGACATTAAACAACATGATAGGCAACTCTGACGTCACTCCATAAGGCTACGAGCGAAACATTGTATTTCATGATACGCTCCAATGCACATATTTCTCGTCGCCTTTCGCGACCGTTTTCCGCTCGCTTTTGATACTCGGCGTCTTCTTTACGTGTAGTACCTGCCTTTTTGCACCTGTAACGAAAGAAAATAATCCCTATATCTAAAAAGTTCTGCTAGCTTGGAAAGCTGGAATGGCAGACAAGCTGTAAAGAGCAATTTTGGACACCATAGACGTTTTTTTTTTATCAGAGAAGATTACAAACGCGATAGCGGAAGAATTTGTGTGGAACATTTTGCAGATAATGACTAAGTTCAAAATTAGTAATTTTGATGTTTGCGCTTAAAAATTGAAATTTCATTTAAAGAGGGTGTCATACAAAACAGCAAAACTGTTCTTCCTCCCCCTAACGGTGCTGTGATACAATTCCATAACACAAAGTTTGCACCTATCGAACTTGCTTTAATAGGTGAATTTATTAGACATATTACATATTCAGGTAATTGTAGGTCACATCGATGGAACATAATGCTTCGTAGATAGGTTTGTTTAAATTTAGGAATTTAGCTCATAGCCCACTAATTAATATTATCTTCTATGCAATAGTTTAACAGGGCTGAATTCAACTTGCAGCCTTACCGATCACCTGAAGATGCTCATTTAGTTTGGCTCGAGTAAGTCTTCTTGAAAGACTTGTGTGGATGGAAACTACCTATATATGTTTTGCCTTCCTCCGATTTAAGAAGACAAATTTATTCTGGGGGATTTTGCATATAATTCTCATTGATTGTTGGCTGTTTATAATTCCTATTAATTGTGAATTTTGATTATAACAAAGAGTTAAGAAAAATTTTACGTAATTTACTGGCACCTTTTTCTTGTCAATACTCCAAGCTGAGGTAATAAACAAGACAATACATTTATGTCATCTGGAAGCAAAAAGTGCACACTAATTAATAGTTTGACACATTGAGATAGAACATCATGACAGAAAATACAAGTTAAAGATATGTATGACCATCACATGGTAATTAAAATTAAAAAAAAACTAAGAGGGGCTGTGGAGTATGAAAAGTTCAAAACAAAGAAAAGAACAAAAGTTCATAGCTCATGAACTCTCAATTTTGCCTCCATTGCTTTGTGAAGGCCAATATATTCCAGTGGCTGAATTGGTTTACCTTTATGAGAGCAACGATTTTGTATTTAATACAGTGAGATTTTTTTCAATTTAATTGAAGTGATATTATTTCCCAAAGCAATGCTTGAATCGTCTGAAATAGATCAGTGGTGTCAAACTCATGGGTTTTTGAGAGCCGCATTGCATTTTGGAAATTGTAAAAAGGGCCTCAAACAGTTTTTGATAATGTATATTTGAAAGATATTTTTAAGATAGTTTTATTGTGATGACACTAAACAGTTGGATTAAGTTTTATTATTTTTTTTAATTTCAAATGCAATTACATATTAATATTTGCATTCCACTGTTATTGCAAGTTACTGTATTTATTATAAAAAATCATAAAATTCTATGTACAACGCTCAAAATCATTTTTGAACAAGCTTTGGATAAGAAAAGAATAATACATACACTAAAAATGACTTACGGTAATCTAAATATATTGACCTAACAATGTGCTTGAGAATTTTGTAAAATGCAGAAATATTGCAACTCCCATTTTCTTCGAAAATGCCACCTTCTTCATGTACTTTGCGTTTAATTTAATCACTCAAGTATTCTTTTGCTAGCTTGATGTGTATTCTTAATTGGGCCAAAATGTGAACAAAAAATAAATTAATTTTCCAAAACGACTTTCAGTAAATTGTTTTCTGTGTGAATAATCAATTTCACTTTGAAAGGTTTAAAAAATCTAATACATTTAGATAAAAAAAAAACTTCCAAAATACTATTACAGTTATTGTTAAGCGTTCGAGGGCCGCAGTGGAAGTTCTCTGGGGCCGCGAGTTTGACATCCCTGGTCTAGATTGAAGTTGTCTAAAATATATATAAACAGTATTTTATCATGAATCACGATTATACCCTTTCCTGAATTTCTTCCATAGTACTACCAAAAGTTGATGAACCAAAGAACCATTTTCCAAAGCTGTTTTAAATATGTCTGGCGTGTTTTGTGTCTTTTTACAAATAAGATCGCTTATGCAATCTTACGCTTTGGAATTTTTAGTTATTTTCTTCAAGCCCTTCAGGATGTGGGGCCATACACAACTCTACCGGAGGGTCAAATGTCTTCGCATGCCTCCATAGGTTGTTCTTCTATTGCAAACATTTATGGAGCACTCTAATTATATTTCTTGGAATCACACTGTCACTGATATGTCGCCAGACTTCTGATATCTCCCCTTCTGCTATAGTTGTCCTGTGAATAAATAATAGGAAATTGAGATTAGACGAATAGTTGAAAGTTTTACTTTATGTCGGCTTAATTTCTTGATTGATATACTTACTACTTTTGCTATTGCCTCTTGTGCTGCAGGAGTCTCACAATGCTTAGACAGGTTCGTCCACAACTTTCACATCTGAAGAAAGATAGGAGATTTATTAATTTTCGTTAAGAATAAATAAAGCAGTCTATATGATTTAGAATGGGAAAGCTAATAAATCCAATATCTCATGATTCATGTAAAAAATGTTTACTGAATTTGGTATATAAACCAACTAATAAAGGGGTTTAGTCAGAAACTTACAAGCCTTCGTGGCTCCAAGTACTTGAGAGATCTGATTATACAATATAAACCGGTATGAGTGTAATGTTAGGTGAACTTCTTAACCTTTTGATTCAATACGCAAATAAAAGTGAATGCGTAATAGTATGTTACACCAATGAGTATATATCCTGACTGATTAAAAAATCTAAATGGAGGTGCATGAACTATTTGGAACCATAAGGGGTAAGTAACTATGCAATTCCGGCAGATGGCCAACTACGTACCGTACTGAATTAATAACTTCGTAGTTGTTGACAAAAGCTGGCTTTCCCACATGTACTTAACAGTGCTATGCCCGTGTGTGACATACAACAATAGTATTTACCTTACCTTTTTCCGATTTCTTTTTACCTCAACTTTCCAAAATTTCATTAAAATCGACAACAACTGTCAAAGCTGGCACGAAAACCATCCGTGCTATGCTCGAAAGCAGCACACATCCGCTCGTTTTCGTCTCGTCAAGTATGTGCATTGGAGCGTGCTATCGGATACGATCTTCGGCCAAAAATGCCATAGTTGCGCATCATGTTGTTTAATGTCATTGCTCAGATTTAATGAACGAACTACTTCAAGTTTCTTGTCAATCGGCACTATATTTGCACCCAGGACATTCAGGTATACTGTTGCACTCACAGAATTTTGCACACGCTTATAGATTGCACCAGTGGACATTTGTACGCATAGGCATTTGCAACCACGAGTACAGTCCAAAGAGTGGTGAGGTACGGTTATTTTCAATTTTTATGATATTTGCAAATGGTTATGGCGCTCGACATACTTTTGTAGGTACATTTGGTTTTTTTAATCATATGAAACTAAACTTAAATTATTCCCAAGCAAGCGATATTAAGAATAATTCGATTGCTAATATCGTTCCATTTCCGCTTACTCACCGAAGTGATTTTTTCAATCATGGATTGCATGATATCGACGCAACGAAACTCAAGCTTCTGGCAGTTTCGATCTGGCGAAAGGATGTGTGTTGTTTTTAGGTTCACACTGATTTCAATGTAATTGTTACATGTCACAAATACGATCAATTTGACAATTAGCAACGCGTCGCTTTGACCAACGGGAAACTTTGAAAACCGGAAGTCTCACGACCCATCTGACGGGAAGCACTGAACAAAAGATGTACTCAATTCCCATTATCGCAACTGTTTCATCATAAAGTGGCGAATAAGATAAAACATTGGCGAAGAAATCATGCCCACACGGAATACGCAGCCATCGCTGCTGCAGTATTTCAGTGCCCGCAAAACAGGCCTTCAATGATGGCGAATAGTCCGGCAAAAGAGGTGATTAAGGTAGTAGGTAATACAGAGAAAAATTACTCCCTCCACAATCACCTCACGATGAGTTATTCTTTTCCAAAGTAGGCATGTGGAAACGTTCACTTCAACTGTCGTGCCCTAAGCACTTGGTTCTCGCGTTGGAACAGCTGCCTTCGAACTACACCCATGGATTTCGATCAGAATATCATCTTCCAGATTTATGAACGCCGCCACGCCGAACTACGATTTCCAAAATATTTCCACGCGTGAAGCGTTCGGATATCGCCCTATTCTCAAACGGGGAGACAAACATGCAAAAATCCGGGTATTTATTCCGCTAAATACTGCTTCAGAAACGCATCACGATTGTAGACATGGTTATCTTAACATATAACATTAGTGCATTTAACAGTTTGAGAAAACGTTTTATGTATTCATAATTCTCAACGTGATGGTTACATATCATATATTTATAATGCCACCAAGGGGTTAACCAAAAAAATAATGATTCACTCATAATGGTGGAGTGAAGCAATTTTAAATGAATCGGTAATTAAATAACATAATGCAATATATAGCGATTGACAAATTAGTGTATTTAAACCAAAATATTTCTACAGATTTTATCAAGTATCATTGATAGGAGAAGCGTTTGATATTATGGTGGCAAGTGTTACAAAGGAAGATATACACCAATTTAGTTTGCAATATTAAAATGGTTTACTACAACGACTAGTGGTAAATGAGATAAAAATGATTGAGAACAAAGTATACTATAAATATTCTACATTTATCGATGGTTTGTGTAATTTTGAGAAAAATTTCAACATTTTCGAGAATTGTATTTAAGCTTTTCAACATTTATTAGTACAGGTTGACAACGTGATTATAGTAATAGAAACAGAAAAGCATAGGGACATATATCCAGTTTAAAATACCATCATTCTCAGTAAAGCATCAAATAGTTAAATGATGTGTTTTGGCGAACAATGGGTAAATAACGTCTTCGAGGCGGATTTCCCGCCGTACTGGGCCTCTTATAAACATAAAATATTTCTAAACTGAGTGTAAAGTAGCATGGTTTTTGGTCGTTCAAGAATAAGGTATAGAAAAAAAAACTTCACAAATATAACATTCAATCCCTACTGAGAGGAAATTTTTTCTGAATGGCTTTTTCGCCCAATGCAGTCTTTCAATATTATTGTTATTGCTTTTTACTGATCGAGTTATCCTTCCATATCACCATCGCCGTCTTCTTGCTCCGAAGCAGACCACAACTATAAGAAATATTGGATAACAATTAGTTGAAAGTATTATACCCAACATGCAGAAGTGAACATCTTGGTATTTTCACGATTTGATAATATTAAATTTCACTTTACTTTGAATCGCTGTGATGCTTGCGATGAAGAAGATTTTCACATTTATCGAGGCAGAGAGGAAGTCAATAATTTATGGCGATTAATTTATGGCGAAACATGGCCTCTTCGCCGATTACAAGTACATGTCGAGTACAGGAATAGATAGTCAGTTAATGGGTTTTGAAAGTTCAGCAACCTGCGGTTACATGAACCGCCATACGATTGCAAGGAGTCCAACAATCCTTTCGCACATAATTATCCCCAACGGCATTCGAACCTACGACCCGCTAGGGGAAATCAGAGGTGCGGTGGCACACTTAGCTCGATGCTTCTCGATCCTCGCGCTTCTTCGCCTCATTCTGGACAAATTCTCAGTAGGCACATCATGGTTACAAATTCTATTAACGTAATGATATTTAATACATATGCAAACAACTCACAGAAAGATTGTCACGTAGAAGCTGCATGATTAAGGTGCTATCCTTGACCTTCTTATCATCGGTTTCACTATTCTCTATTACTTTCATCGCTTCGTCAAATGCCTGTAGAAATGGGATGATATTAAAATTAGTAGGAATGATTCCTTCTCTGGGTTCTAGTCGTGCATTGGCTTATATGCAAACTTGACCTTCTTCAAGCAAAGGACCAAGCAAACATATCATGCACATTTTGGAGAAGATTTGGTTGAACCACTATCCAAACTGATTGTTGAAATTAAAACTACAGACGATTAAACCGACGAGGCCGAGGTCAAATTTCTCTCACACCGATAACTATGATATAATAATTGTGCAAAGACAAAAGTCCATGTCTGACAAATCGGTATTTCAGACGAGTAAAGTGACTCAACTATCGAACCGACAGCCCCCAGAGACATTGTTAATTGTGCAATGGGAGACAATTTCCGACTTTCATCTACATTTGGAGTGAAAATTAAAAAAATAGAAACTGATAAGTTGAAACAGATAAATTGTGAAATACCAGAAGAGAATAGAAATTTTCAGAAATTTCAATGAAATTTGTTGAAATCAAGGTCACCCGCACTCAATCAGAATTAAAGCAGATATCTTCTTCACCGAAACGGAATTTTCATATGTTTGCCAACACCTAAGTTTGCGGGGCCGAATTTTGTATATCCAAAATTGGATTCTGAAGTTGTAGTTTGACCAAAAAGATCAATTGTTTACCAACCCGAATTAGATTTCGAAAAGCCCATATTTATTTGCAGTGTCTGAAGAGAGTAACATTTTAACAAATTCTTATTAAGCGATGATTTACGATTTTTTTTTTAAATAGTTTTTGTCATTCCGTGTTCTAAGTATTTGTTCAGTTATCATATTCATCTAATGTAGCATATTTCCTTCATGGATCTGATGATCAGCGTATTACTTCAAATTGATCTTCAGCACAAATAGTAGCAACAATGTTTCTAAATCAATGGTGTGTGGTATACTGTTACAACTAATCCTTGGCAGAAAGTCTTAAAAATGCTGTCAAAGCACAAATATACTTCTCAGACTTTTATACATCGTTGCGGCGGTAGAGATCGAGAAATGTTTGCCGCTTGTACTGTTATTTCATAAATATTGTTATTGCGTTACCCTACGTTGGGGGTAGGGTTACTGGCGAACGTGTCAGTTCTCCAAGAATAAAAGCACAAGTCAAAAATTACGCCAAGGGCTAGTTATTCATTCACCATTCTTCTATTATTAGGTAATTTTTTGTATTAACAAATACAGATTTTGGGCAAAGAATAGTTTTCTGTATCGCAACGTTTCACCAGGGTTTATCACATGCTTGTACCATACCGGTAGTTGCCAGAACCCTCTTTCACATAAAAAAAATCGCGTTGTTATTGCCATACAAGGTACATTTTAACAATTCGTTTATGAATTACAGTTGGATATAAATATTTTCACTTAGGCATCGCGAAATGTCACCAAATGAAAATGTTATTACGATAATTCTAACGGGTGAATTAATGACGCGGGTTATCGAGTCACGTTGGATGTTTGCGGGCGAACCATCCCTGTGGTAAGGAGTCCTTTCGCAGAGAACAAGAATTCAATAACAGCTAATCTATGAAAATAGTTGAAATAGTTGAATTTTGTTTTGGTAGTTCAAGTTCAATTCTATTTCTACCATCGTAAATATTAAAATTACGCGCCAATCACAATTAGAATATGTACTCTATCACTATATGAAATGAAGTTGAGACGAAACTATTTACTACGAGACATATTTTGCATCAGTAATATTGGCTTGATGAACTTGGGTTATTTTTCAATATTCTGAACATCTAGTTGAGTTTGCTTTGAACAATTAATTAAATCCATGGTACGCAAACAACTTAATGTAACAGTATCAGTGAATGATGTGGGGAACCGTTCCAAAACAATAAAATGGATTGTCTGAAAATATTAACATTCACATATTTTATCACCAAACATATAAAAATCCAATCTCACCTCTTTGGCAATTGCTTGGGCGCGTTCGGGATCAGCTTGTATTTCATAGAAAAATACCGAGAAGTTGAGAGCCAGACCGAGCCTGATTGGATGAGCAGCATGCATTTGTTCTTTGCAAATTTTGTAAGCTTCTTCATATGCACCAAGAGCACTGTCTGAGTTGGCTGAAATGAATAAATAATAACTGTAATAATAAAAGGCACCCCAAGGGTATACTGTATACAATATTTAAAAAGCAGTCCGTGAATATGCAAACGATGATTGAGTAAAATATCCTCTCCCAAAAGCGACAACGATTTGAATAGCTGAAACATCACCGTGTTATTTTAGAAGGTGCCTCTATCGAATACACCCTAGTTCAGTCGCGAACTAAAATCGCATTTATACCGACATGAACAAATCATACCCGGTGTGAGCACTCAATTGGAGCTCGGTTAATGTCGATAAAATAAAATCGATACGAACTGAAATGCGTACACAATAGTAAGATGTAGGTATGTATGGATATATGGTCCCAATTTTTGAATTGCCTTCGCAAAGAGAGTTTGATTTAGAACTACATGAAGAGATCCACGAAGAAGCATTTGCATTTTAAACAATACACGTTTGTAATTTACGTTTTATTTTTGATCATAAACACATGCATGTGGTGTCGTCGTAACAATATATACCGGTACTTACTTTTTTGTTCGTCTGTATCCAGCACTTCGGCGACATATCGATAGTAGTCTCCTTTCATTTTTAAATAAAACGTTACGCTCTCGTGATCCTCCTTGTCTTTGATGCTTTTCAAAAGATATTGGTCAACAAGTTCCTAAATTAGAGGAAAACATGAAAACTAATTTATTAGCATGGGGATTTGAAGATATCTGAGAAACTTGTTTTCAAAGAAATCTAAACCTAATGAAATTTAGAAAAAATGATTTTCGAAGAAGAATTCAGAAAATTTTCTCAGAAAGTATTTTTCACTGAAACTTCCATTTTCGCAGTAGAAATGACGATATTAAGAAACAATAATGCTTTTAATTCTATATAGATACATTGACAGCAACAAATTTGAAATTAATTGCAGGTTCCATTACATTTGAACCCACGACAATTGCACCTGCATACTATTGCACCTATGGAATTTTTTTTTATTTTACGGATATGTGAACCCATACTAACCCTAACCCATGGATTTTAGAATCCGCATATAGATTGAACCCGCGGATATACACATGGGTTCAAATGTACGTGGGTTCAAATGTACGGTCACCTTAATTGCAATATCCAAAATTCTGAAAACTATTGTAAACGATTAAACCATAAACCGACATGAAATCTTAAATACATACCACGACTTCGGCGCATATTCCTTCAATCTCACTGGCAATCTGTTTAATGTATTCTGCGGCTTGGGTAATCTTCATTTCATCCGATCCTCTTTCTTCCTCTCGTTGTCTTATACTGGTTAAGACTCTCCAAGCTGATCTTCGAGCTCCTACTACATTCTTGTAAGCAACGGAAAAGAGATTTCTTTCCTGAAATAAAATACAATTTTATTCAAGTTGGCGTTTTATAAAATGAAAAGACAAATCTAGTAATTTCGAAGTGATAGTGCACCCATATCAAGATTGAAGTGTGATACCGTGTTGCAGAACTCTTGTTTAATTTGAGGACTTTGGTTTTTCTGGGACAGAGATATGTTATTGACAAATGTTCATTGGTGGTGGTCTACCTTCAATGAAAATGTCCTCATTGAGGGCGTTTCCATTGCCCAATAATCAATATGCGACCACGAACTGATGGGATTACAGTAAACGTCGAAATAGGATTTCATATTATTTAATTCATCGAATTAGGATATCCAATATACAAAACAATTGAAGTAAAGCCATTTCACACGATAATGGTTCAGACATCTCAATCATGATTTAGGATTGTTTCTAATTTGGAAATTTTTTGTTCAAATTTTTTTATGTGAATAATGACATAAATAATCCATATCTACTGCCTATGCATATAAATAATCAATACCTACTGCCTATGTAAACAGAGATGCAGATGAGCTAAAACTTGTTTACGTTCATGGAGAATATAGATTAATAAAGACGCGAGAGAGAAATGTTTAAGATTTTATTTTGCTTACAGATATACACGATACTACAAAGGTCAGATATATTCATTGCGCATTCGTTAAGATGAATTATTCGGTTTCAAGAGAGCTGGATAAAGCACCGGTAACATTTCCAACGACTTGAAACAGTCGGTGACAACGTCCTTTCCAGTCATTTAATTTCGTACTATATTACTTTGTTACACGCAAACAAGGATGGGCCGAAGAAATTGAGCCAGAAAATTTGACTGGAAGCATATCAGACCACGTGTGTGACACACTGCTTAGATTTCGATACAGCCAGGATGTGACGTCACAGAGATGCTTCCGAAGCGCGCGCAACCATTCAACGCACACACATAAGTTAAACGACATTGCATCGATTGCAGATGCCACGAATAGTCAAAGGCAGTCGATTTAAATCGATGAATAATAACATTAATTAATATATATACAAAGACAGTTTCCGTTAGATCATATATTTAGTCTGAAAATAGATGATTTCAACTTGTTCTATGTCATATTACCGCGACGTAACAGAGAATTTAGAAACATAAAACTAAACATATATATAACGTTGTTTGTGTGTAAAACAAGATGATTGAAATACCACTTTATAGCCGAAAAATGAAGTAATGTATAACAAAACCACGGTAAAGACTATACTTTACCAACAATATCTTCTATTTCTCTCACCCTAATTATGTCTACACAGACACAATCTAATTAATCTTGGCCTTCATCAGTGTCGTCGCAAATTAGAAGAAAAAAAACAATCTATTTCTATATGAAAATTTTTGATGATAATTCCAAAAACAGGTCGTTTCTTTGACAACGTAAGCAAAACAGATTCAAGTCATGCACTGACTCCAACTGAGTGTGGCCTTGTCTGAGTCAGGTTTTTAAAAGAAAGGAAAGGATTGTATTTGATATTTTTAATCTTTGCGACTGAATGAACGCTCAGCTAGCTTGGCCTTAAGTTCCTACAATATACATCACCCTAAAATTAATCAAAGAGTAGTTTTTGTTCATACACCCAGTCATAATTTGACTTGACTTTTTTTTATATGTTTTCATATCCTCTGATTAGCAATTGTAATCAACCAGATAAGTTCAATCATTGGCTGGTTTCTGGAAAAAGTTCCAAAAATAGAGAGCGATTGATAAAATGTCTCGTTATATTACGTTTAGAATGCACATTGGTCAGTAAGTTTAGTGATCAATAAAACATTTGACTTCAATATGAAATAGCATTTGTGTCATATTAGCAATACAATTGACAAAAATGTGGTATTTATAAAAATACCACTCCGTTTTCAGGATCGGTGCCGCTCATATATATACATACTTTCGTCTTCACATTTTGTGTACGCTTTCTCAACCTTCAAAAATTCAGTGATAAGGTATTATTATAGCAAGGCTTGATATTGAGTCTTAAAATGAGTAGTCGAAGGGGTTATTACCTGGATACAGTCTTTACGGTAAAACTATAGAACTGATTTCACAAGAAACGATATTCACACATACGGATGTAATCATTCTTGTGTTTCCGCAGTGCTGAATTCTGCTCAGTACTACACAATGAGACACACTCATAATTTCAGTATGGCTTTGAGTGAAAATAAAATACTGCACCACTACTAATTTCCTCCCACAATACCGATGTTTATTAAATGGTTACCGCAATAAATCGGTCTAGCTACATTCTTTTAGGTTTTATTTGCATTTGCAAATGGACATGCTTCAAATCGGTCGACGGCTGAAATATCGCTGGCCGAGACGGTTAGAATTTTACTACCAGGTCATCAATCATTACTGATATTTCTCCCGGGTGCTTGGATGACGGAAAGGAAAATTGACATGGCGAGAAAGGTACTGCACGAAGAGGTATCAAATTAAACGCAGTATTTACAATAAATACCAAACCCGCATCTAATTGAATAAACAAAAAAAGCTTGGAAGACTGAAAATACTCGAACCGTGATGCTCCCCCAGCAATAGAACAAATACCCGGAAATTTTGAAAATAGGCCGCCAGCTAATGGCATTGCGATAAATGCATTGGGTAATAAATACCAGTAGCAGGTGAATATATATAACAGGTTATTACTGCAACTAACGTTGCCAGTGCGTAGTTCTGATTAGCCCCGAAGCTATGTGTTGACGAGGAACCGAACTAGAATAATATTATAAACAGTTAACCCATGTACGTGTTTCAAATGTGAAATACTTATAGAATATTATATGAGAAACAGCTCGAATGCAAAATCAATTTTGTCACTCAGCCATTGCACTCACCTCGGAAGACAACGGGTCCCCTAATTTTGCCAGTTCCTTCATTTGTTTCATCATGTCATCGTACCTTTCAGCTTGTTCAGAAAGTCTGGCCATGATGACCAAATCTTCTTTCGATGATTCTGTAACGAAAATTAAATTTGTGCAATTCAAATTTATTAGCAGTGGGGAACACCCGATGTAGCCTGTCAAACAAAAACGCAAATTTAGGTTTGCCAACAGTATTGTTGGGGTCTTTCATCTCGATTTTTTATGGAAGAAATATTTCCAAAAATTCACATTCTTGATTATTATAACCTTGTGCTGTCTGTGATGATTAAAAAACAAGCGTTGAAAGGCTTGTGTATTTAAAAGATGTACATATCACTTTGTGTGGCATAAAGTTTTGTGAAAACTGGCATCGTGTAATATGACTCATGTAATAATTATTACTTTGTTACGGCCACGCCCAGTTTTACCAAAAAGCCTTATTGGTCAAACTTCAAATGCCAAAACTATGCAATTAAAATACATCATGGGCTCCGCAAAATGCGGTGTCATTTCACCAAAAGGGGAAATAAATTAAATTAATGCGAAGACAACAACACATATAAATCGTAGTTGGAATATCCTACTCAAGATTATGAAACCCACCACAATGATAAATATACTTACTAGAATCAGCCATTGCGTTAGTTGAGAAGTATTATCTATATAAGGTTATAAAATTAGCTGGAGATCGAGACTTCTACGCAGTGACGTTATTGTCCAAGTGGGCGCAAAAGACTTCCTTCCACAATGGCGTTCTCTATATTGAACAGTGCAGTATTTCTAAATAACTGACTTCAGTAATATATTTTCTGTATAAATATTAAACAATAATTAGTGTGGGTGTAATGACTGCTGATTAGAAACAGTAGGCGTTAAGCTTTTCAACACTTTTAACCGATATGTAAAAGAGGAAGAAGCAGGGTCCCGAAAATAGTGAAAAGTTTACCATACATTGTCCTAAACACTTAATAGCGATCTATGCCTAGACAAATAATATTTTGCAACTAAAATATTACATCAGGTTGTGCTGAAGAGCGTTCTTAGTCCAATAAATAATTCAAGAGATATTTGCGGTAATGGTGCTGCTTTTGCGCAGACAGTCCCATACGAAGTCGCCACGTGCAACGTTCAGCACGATGATAAACATCTGGTTCATAATGTGCAGTTTATTAGAAAAATTCAACTAATTTATTTCCCGTTACCAAGGAGTGCGTTTGAGATATGAGCGCGCTGTTTTGTATAAGAGAACTAATATAAATAAATGACTATGTATAACCTCATGCCCAATTAGAAATAAAAGAAAATAGGAATCTTGTCTCGATACTAATATTTATTCTCCTAATCTTTTTGTTATAGAAATGGTAGGTATAACATTCAACAAATAAAATGTTTGTATAGATGTGTTGCAAAAGAAGCTATGCCGATTTACAGAAAATCGAAATTATTCTTTGTCCTGAAGGAGCAAATCATGGATTGTGGCTAGGTGAAATAGATTATTAAATCGAGAGTTGAGGCATAAAGTAAAACTTAAAACTACGTTTTTCCATTTGCAAACAACAATTGAAAAAAGCCTACATGCAGGAATTCATCTCCCGAACGGTCACATATTTACAGAATCAGCTTACTGACTATACTTTAGTAATGATCGTTTTTTTATTGACTTTCTTCCTACATGTTTCATGCTTGGTGGATACGGCAAAAAATAATTATCACCAGCTCAAACCTACTTTAAATTACCTTACAAACTCTACTCTATTTTAGATTACTTTCCTGGATTACCTAAACAGGAGTTGGAAATTATTCGCACACTGAGTTTTGTTTTACTAAGCTAAGCGCTTGCTTCGCATTACCATTAATGGTGAAGTTAGACGCCTGATTTCAACCACGACTAAAAAGCTACGCAATAAATTCGCCTAAAATACTGGTTTGTTCTATCAACAGCGTTTAGGCCTTACCTTTGCCAATCGGTTAATTCAGCCTGAGGGCATGATACTACCGGGCCTGTAACGTCAGACTGGAATGTATCGAATAGATGCATGAGCAAAACTGAAATTTCAATCTGAACCAAAGTAAGAAATTTACATTTGAACACTACGTGGGCGAGGGATGTCGAGAAATATTATGCGCGGCTTACGCTGAGAACACACATGATGAATGAAACAGTGCGTTCAAATTTTTGAATGGAAAACAGATGCATTCGCGTCGCTGAAAATCAATCGCATTCGCGTTTCATTAAACCGGAGGGGGGGGGGGGCAGTTTTACTCCTATCGCACAAGGATCGAAGATACTCCGAGCGGAAATACAGTCGTATATATCTCTCGAGGATAGTCATGTTCAAAAAAGAAATTGAATTTTCAAAAGTGTGATGGATGAGTATTGACTGCATAAAGTGGATTATCGCTCCCAATTGGCCAATCTTCCACACATCGAGATGATTTCTACTAAGCCTTAATGAAAACTGGAAGACTTCATCTTACAAAATTGATTACATTTCTAATGAATATGCAATCTTATGCCAAATAACAATAAAAACCTTTCAATAAAGGTGGATGCTAATTTTTGATTTTGTAGGATTAATCGAAATCATCAATTTCCGAATGAAATATTCCTGTTTCCAACGAATCAATAATACGGAGTAAATGATACTGTTTACCTAAACGCCTAATTGAATAATCCGGCCGAGAGAAAATCTTGAACGGAATACAATACCTCTTCTGCCAAAGGTGTTCCGAATTATACTGCGTTACAGCAAACAAATCATATCTTGTGATTTTCTACCTTACGTGCTGTCATTTAGAAGGGGGAAAACTCAATTCAATGTAAAATCATTAGCGACCACTGTCAACAAAGGAACTATTTTAAATAAATTATCAGGGCCCTCCCGCAAACGCTCAACCATGCCGCTTCTAGATATATCTTAAAAATCGACATGGCCAGGAAACAGTTCGGTTGCAAGGAATTCTGCACTACCTGACATTTTCAGGAAGAGAATAGAAAAATTTCGTTGACAAGGGGATATAATCATTACGCCTGGATAAATCGAGTGCGAAAACTTATAAATATTTTCTGGCTGAAGCAGGACCGGCTTAATTAATATGGTAATATCATTACCAGTGAAGCCATACTAAACAGAGACTGCTTTCATCCTAACTATCCGAGATTTTCAATCGCGACTATCGATTGGCTGAGAACTCCCATTAGTTATCGGCCATTGTACCGCAAACGAGAAATGTCTTCCGAAACTTTTGTCACCTGGAATTATCCACCGGCGCTTCTAGCAGTGTTAATTTGAATATATCCATAGCACGCCCCAGCCAAACGGGCGTTTTCCAACTCTGTCTGGAATAAATTGAAGCCTGGAGCTTGGTTTTTATTCGTGAATAAAATACTGACGGAGTTATAAAAATTGAATAATAATGGACGAGGCGGGCTTATGCTATGTGAGCAGAGGATACCTCGGATTCAATTAAACAAGGTTAAAAGATTGGGAATCGCGTAAAGTAGAACGAACTGAACACGTCATATGTGCACTTGTGCAGTCATAGACGTCAGATAATGCTTCCGGCTTCCGCGATCCTCACATCGACTAATCATATACCTATAGAGCTTACTACTTACTGCAGTTGTGTAAAAAGCATTTCGCCATTTAGGCGCATTCCATATCCAAACCTACTTATCTGAAGGTTATTCCACTGCAGCAAACAATTCAAACAGTTAAATTAATGGGCTACAGGGAAAGATTAATGATCAAAGTGGATCAATAACATTATCACGAAACAACGCAGTATGCGCTTTATCTATCGGGAACTTAATCCATCTTATTCAGTCATTTTTGACATTTGATGAAATATACTGGGCTTGCTACTGCAGTACTATCAGATTCGGAAACTCATTCATTTCAAACCCGTACAATACTAGCGTAATACTCGAAGAAAAAATAATCACAGGCTGATACAGTCAAACCTGTGATATTAATCTCCTGATATCATAATGTCTGAACGAGGAAACCGGAGAAAGTTAGCATAATTTGATGAGATATAGGCTATGTCTGTATGTGTAAAATTCAGACACGACAACTCAACGCTCCATTCCAATTCCCATCTATACTTCCTCATTTGTTCTGAACAATTCTCGGTACATTTGAAACCGCGTTTACTGAATTCGTTCAACACCGCATACCCATGGACAAATGAAAATATAGTATTTACACCGAACACCGATAAGGTACAACATACCAGTACATCAACAGAACACTGCTCCTAACACGGTCAATTATGCGTGACGATCCACTCACTTTACAGCCCTTTCATTCATTGATAACGCAACCGATCACTATTTTGTTACTACAATAAGACGGCCGAAAGACTCAGCAGCCGGTATCATAACGGCTAACAACAAATTATTAAAAAAGAATATCACGGATATAATACAGTGGCAACTTCTGCGACTGAATTCATGCCTGAAGCTATATCATTGATATCTGTTTAAGCACCTCGCAAACTATTGGCTTTACTTGGTATAATCAATCTGACTGAATATTTCAGCTAATTCAACTTCAGCCAAAGCTAAAAAAACGCGTGAAAATGTGAGCTTACTACGGAAGAATAATACTTTTAATAAATTTGTAGCTGTGCTATTATTTAATAAAGCGTACATTAACCGCACAAGTTAAACAAACACAGAGCGTCGAGTCGGCCTTAGGATATCGCACAGCCTCATTTGGGTGTTGGCAGTCATGAGTGACGTCACGAAGTTTTCCTCTTGGCTCATTTATCGCCACGGTCTGCTACATTCACTCTTCTACATAAGAGAGATTAAAGTTTGCTCTTTGGAGGAGCACGTGAGCACGAGCTATCATAGTGCACGCACCGTGCATTCTTTCATGGGATATTTTTGCCGCCAAAAATCTCGAATTTCAGTATTATTAAAGATGCCGTTTCTAACCATATATTTCCAGTACTAATCGTGTTAGATATATAAAGATTTTTCAAAAGATGTGTAAAAGAGAACCCCGTTCTCGAGATATACAAAAATATTTCATATAAATATAACGTATTTTATAATAAGCGAGATATTCCCGGTATTTTCAAAATTAAAATTGCTAAGCTTGCTTTCGATCCATAATACGTAATACCCAATTCAAAATTTTGAGCTCATAACATGTATGTCTTCGTTTGCTGATAATTCAACACAAGAAGTCTACTTTTCCAGCCAGAAGTTGCAAATATGAAAAATATTTTAAAAAAACACGCAAAATTTGTAGCCGATTTAATTTCGTGCCAAGCTTTAAATTACTGACTTAATTGCCGCACATCTGGCAATTTTTGGAGCAGATAATGACATTCATTAGATCGGGTAAGAATATACTGGAAGGTTAAAACGAATCTGGGAAATAACATTGGCCAAATCTTGGCATCAGTTGAAAGCCAGTTAGATGTAGGGATTGTTTATATGGCGTCAATCGCCATTCGAATGACCTCCACGTGAAGGGTATATTGAGCTGTTATTTGAAAGCAGTTTGATTCAAGGGCAGCTACACAAGATGTGGAGGCCTACCGCTGATCAAGTGCAATGTAATACTTTTGTTATCAACGGATTCACAATGTCTCTAGCCTAAATAAAATGTGCCATGGTGATTATTGTTAGGTGTATAGGAATGTTAATATAATTGAAAAATAAAGAGAAAAGGGGTTGATGAATTTAGAGAAAACAGACTTACCGACTGTCAAGGAGAGCAGTAACTAGACGTCCCAAGTTATCTACTATATATATTCAGGTTGTATTGGCTTGAGCCGTGAAATTGGTGGATGTCGGTTGCTCTGGTTGGTGCGATCAAACTATTCGATAGAAATCCCCGGAGTTATGTGCAGCCTCGTGTAATTGTTATAACATCACCAACAAGAATACAAGTGAGAGTCACTAGCGTTCTACCTAAATATCAGATATATCCTCGAGATATTTAGCTATATGGCAGGGATAGGAATTCCGGTCAAGTTACACGACTTTGCTGCAACATAGGGATAGGATAGGATTTACATATTTATCCCGGGGGAGAGGGAAGAGATGAGACGGCTACCATATTAGAGATGTACCGATACCACTTTTTTCGCCGATACCGATCCGATACGCCGATACTACAAAAAGGCCGATACTACCGATATTCCGATACCGATACTATGTAATTATTACTTAATTAGGTGTGCTGTGTCGGGCAGACGGGTTAAAACAATGGTCTTTGGGCGTTGTTCATAGCACACATTATTTCAGATCGAAAAGAGATCTATCACATAATATGAAATTGATGTTTGGCATCCAGATGCTTTAACTGATTAAGATACACGTTAGTAATCTCGGTGTTCAATTAGAAAAATCCTGAGCCGGGATGTCCAATTCGAATTTATTGTTAATATCGCGACTTTCGAATATCGTTATTTATGTTTAAAAGAATATTGCTCACACATTCTAGCGCCGCCGTCCTACGTTCAAATTAAAAGCATTTTACAAATATTTTATTTTGTGGTTAATCGTAATCATCGCCGCAATAAAACAAAGCCAACGTGAAAGAATATCAATCAGCACCGACAAGAAGAAAGCCTACCCATAACCGTCGAGGAGGTTTTTTTACTTTACTATTTTATAATATTTCACAATTGCTATCATATATTTTGAGACAATCTAGTCTAACTCTAGGCGGTCATGTCAAAATATCTATAAAGAAATTGTGTAGTTAAACAAAATTAAAATTAATACCTGCGTAGACTGATAATTGTGTCGGAATTTAGTTTATCGATGTCGACGGACTAAAATGATAGTCGTAATTGACGACAAACAGTCAGAATTTATATCCGTGCCAAAAGTGCATGTGCCGTTATTCAGGACCCCAATTCCACTGTATGATTTAAAACTGGGCGCCTACTTGCTTTCTGTTATGTGCTGTGTTGATATATTTCTTCATAATTACTATGTAATATCAAAAATGTCAATATAAAAATTTGACAGCAAAAATAGCCAAATTAGTTGAGCTAGTTTGGCTGATGAATAGCTAAAAACAGGTGAATCCTATTCCCTCGCGGGGGTGGGGACAAGTATGGCTCATAGCTCACGATCTCTCCAGACAAAAAATAAATTGAAAAGTAGTATTCCAACTTATCTTTTAAAACATTCTGGACCAAATCAAAAAGGTAAATATATCGAAAATATCGGCCTTAATCTAACCGATACCGATATATGGCCGATACCGAAAAAATGACCGATATTGCCGACACCGATACCGATACATCTCTAATCCATATGGCGTACCACGGCCTATCGTCCGGTTACCATTCCAAGTCGGGTATGGGATTAGTTATATTGTTTGTTTTCGGAAGCAAGGACTTGGTGGTGGAGGAAGCCGTAACCGACCAGCGGTTACGTGAAACACCCAACGACGGCGAGGAGTCCAGCAATCCTCTCGCACATAACCATACCTGCATGAGATTCGAACCTGCGAACCCACGCAGAGTAATTAGAGGTGCGGTGGCGAGCGTATTCCTAACGCTTAGCCCGTTGAGCCACACCGCCGCGCCTAAACGCTAAGCAATATATAATGAACGTCCAACTGAACCGACAAAGTGGTGCAACGCTCAAGGTCTAATCACGGCATCCTTCTCGAATTGTGGTCTTCTTGCGCACTGACCCTAAATTTGAAAAACTGCTAATTTCTTCCAATCGCTCCCTGAAGGTTATAAATATGTCATAACCAGCATTGAGTTATAAAAGTGATGCAGCCAGACTCTGCCATCCCATCAACTAAACTTGAAATGAATGTTATCTAGAAGCCCTTTGAGGGGATAAATTGAATGTCCATGGCAAACTCCTCGTCGCCGTAGGATGGTTCACGTACACGCTGGTCGGTTACTGCTTCCTCCACCATCAAGTCCAAGCATTTGAAAACTGTCTAACTAATCCCAAACGAGATATGGACTGGTAACCGGACAAGAGGCCGTGGTTCGCCATATGATTATCGGCTTTCCTCTCCCCTGGGATAAATATGTAAATCCTATCCCAAAGCTATGCTGGTAAATTTTGTGCACGGACACTCATAAAAACAATTATCAGGTAAACACTAATCACAAGTTAACAGGTCTGTAATTGATGAGGCCGATATTCTTGCAATATGCACACAAAACAAAAACAGTAATACGCCAGTTAATGAATGTTTAAAAAGGTTGGTAATTGTCATGGTCATATCATTTTACATAACAAACTGTCAAACTGTACTGGTCAAGGAAGATTAGCTAAAATGAGTTTCATTCAGTTCTTCACCACACTTTTCTCTTCGACCTTCGTCTGAATAAAATCCAAAAATTAAATCTCCAGATACAAGCAACGATATTTAAAATGCATCTGTTTATTATACCAAATATACACAAAAACATAAATATATACCAAAAAACGTATCTATCTGTACAGTTGGAGATATCTCATTTACAGTGATCATTGTATTTGCTGATGTGAAGACTAAATGGAACTAAGAAAAAACCGGAAAGTACAAAAACTAGGAAGGTGTCAAAAATATGTCCCATATACAATGGCTCATACATGAAATGCAAAGCTCACCCCAAGCTCAAGCTTGGCAGAGTGTAACTTACGGCTGGGAGCGCTAAATGGATATCAAAATAAACTTCAAACATTGGAAAAACAAATAACCAAACATAAACCAAGTATAAAACCATATCAAACACGGGGTATAAATAATTAATATTTAACAATCTAATTTATCTACAGATTATACTTGATCATAACTAATTACAACTAATTTTAATTCCAAAATATATACAGCAAAAGTAACCAAAAACATACTAATAATCTAAAGCGCAAATCATGGCGACTCCACGTTTTATCCAGTGCTTCTGCGATTTTTCAGTTGGTACTTCAACAGCGATGACATAGTTGGTAGAATGTCCAGTGGTCGACAGAGTTCCAGCTCTTGTTAGAGTTTTGTAGATTGGGCATAAGTAGATTCCTGATGTTGGTGTTACTCTGCAAAAGAAGGCAATGACATTCAGATACTATCTAATACTCTGAAACATATTTGGGGGACGGGCACGTACTTGTACGTATTTAACTTTATTATTAGATTATGCCCGTCCTCCAGGTCCTCTGTATTTTGTTTGCCCTTTGTTGTTGTTTTGTTTTTTGTATGTATCAGAGTGACCAAATGAAATTGATTGATTGATTTCTCGAATTGCAACGTGAGGGATAGTTGATGAAAATCCAGCCAACCAGAATGCCATGCTACAGTACCGGTATAGGATGTGTAAGCAATCAGAATACGATTTCCATCACAAAATGCGTTATGCTTCGGCTTACTATATTTACATATGCTGAGACTATGTAATTCTCTAAATAATTGCCTAATTACTTCTATGAAACTTCTCTCTCTAGAATATGTTGTTCCAAATGACATGGGTTCTCTGTTTTTTGGGGTCATCACCTCATACTTGAATTTAAATGCTATTTTGACAGCTTAGTGTTTGCTATATATCAATAAGCTTCCATTGGATAAATCTTCGATAAGACAAATGGAAATATTTTACATATGGGAATATATTTTGTAAAGACTTATCAAGCACATAAAGTAGAGATTGAAAACACTCGAATATAGTAAGTATTATTGATCAAAAGAATTGTGCCAAATCATACCGATTTGCAGCAGGAACAAGCCACATGATAGCCATATCTGTATATAGTTCTTTTGCTTTGGATTCTGCTAACATACCAGTGGTACCATCCCATCTACAACCTTCCAGAAATAGACCACTGATATAACATCCATCTGGTGGTCGAGATTTCAATTCATCTTTAGATTCTTTCATCACCTGTAATTTAACAACAAAGATGTGAAAAGACCCACTCATTTCTTCTTCCATTTTTCTCCGATGTAATCAGTAAATAAAAAGCTAGATTGCTTGCTAGTGAAATTATTTGTTTCTACAGCGTTATATTGCTAAGCGTTAGAATATGCTCGCCACCACACCTCTGATTACCCTGCATGGGTTCGCAGATTCGAATCCCATACTGGCTTACTAATCCTCTACCCCAAAGGACTTGTACCTGACCGAGAGGCCATGGTTTGCTATAGGATTAAGCCGTCGTATCGCCTTTTCTCTCCCCCAGAATAAATATGTAAATCCTATCCTAAATTGTACTGAACTGACTAAATTGGACATACATATCGAATTCATAGGATTTCACTCTTCATGGAATAAACCAGATAAATTATATATTAGAACTGAGCTTGAATAAAAAAGGGTAATAGTCTGAATAATGATATATTTCTGAGAAAATGCTTTTAAGAACAACATTGACATTAAAGTAAGCAAAAGAGGAACGAGTCAGCATGTATTATTATGAAATTTTGAGCAACTAAAGAACTCACTTTGAAATCAAATGAAACAGTATCAATGGATACAACTTCTTTTCTTGCATAATTCTGCAAAGTACCAGTCAGAAAAGCCTGAAAAATAAAATAAAAGTAATGCACATATTTTTCAATCATTTTCAATGCATTTTTATCTGAGGTAGAAGTGTTTAAGCAACAGATATCAGACTGCTGTTTCGACACAGCAAATAATGCCTATATTAAAAAACATAGTATAAAATGTTAACCTGAGGAAAGAAGAATCCAGATATCCAGAAGACAGTAGGTACACCATGATCAATCCAATGCTGAATAAACTTCATTCTTGAAAGAAGATCTTCAGTCCAAGATGCAAGTGGTTTTAATGATGGATATGCCTGAAATGCAACAAAGGTTTTAAATATCTTATAAATATAATAATGTTATAAAAAATCGCAATAAGAATTGAAAATTTACACAAGAAAATATTAATCATATAAATTTTCAGAAACTACTTTCAGATTTCTTTTCCAATTGTTGATAATTAGGGTCTAGTTCCCTGAAAGCTGTCAAGGACTTCTAGTTGGCGTGGCATAACCATTTTTGCATATGTCATTTCTAACCCTCACCTGATTACGTCATAAAAAAATTACGTCACTACAACGTCACAGGGACAAAATAAGGCCTGTTAAAGTATACGGTTTTTCGTCTAAAATGCGCAGACGATCAACCGAAATCAATCAAGCTATTTCTCTCGTTTTCTCGCCGTACCGATCCCGATATGAGAGAGAATGCTGGCGTTAGCGAGTTCGTTATTGTCGGCGGAGATGCCATTTCAGACGATCGTAGCTTTTCTTTGGAAAGCTCCATGACGTGATTGTGACGTAATTTTCGGATGACATAGTCAGGTGGGGGTTGGGAATACTAAATGTAAAAATGTTTGTGCCACGCCAACTAGAAGTACTGACAACGTTTAGTGAACATGCACCGATAATTATGTAGATCAGGGGTGGGCACTTCATTGTTTGAGTGGGCCAAATCCAGATAATAACCTCAAAAATCATCGTCAGTGGACAAGAAAAAGCTAGGACAGTCAGGGTCGTAATTCAGCAGGCACAATATTGGGCCGGATGAAACAGTTCAGTGGGCCGGATCTAGCCCATGGGTCATAATTTGCCCACCCCTGATGTAGATGATTTACACTGAGTTCTTTGAATAAAGGTAAATTATACAGGTAAAATACTAATAATACCAATATATAATGAACCACAGAAAATGCTTCAAACAAACCTTTCCAGCCCACATTTCAGGAACAGCATTGATGTATAAACTGTTGAACATTTTTTCCAGAGATTCTGACATTACAACAAGACCTTTGATTGCTTTCAATAAATCTTGAGACGAAGAAATGATGGTTTTCAGCAATCGATTGTATCTGAAATGTCATAAAATATTCTAGAAATCTTTCTCAACTCATCCAAAATGGGAAAAAAGTCATATCTGTATGAGTGAGAATTTTAGAATCAGAAGATACCATATTGATAAAAGTTTAAGTAGCAATTGGTAGTCAGTGATCATTAGTAACCTTGCTCAAGAGTTATGTCTGACAAGTTACGCGCACCTCAGTTCAAAAAATTTTCCCATAAAAATGGTACGAGGTACTAATCACTACCATTCTCCTACAAACTGTTTCGGGTCAACCTGTCACTATGATTTTCTGGCCTAGTTAAGTTTAAAAAACAAAAACTGGTATTTTTCAATCTACAATATCAGATTTATCGAAATATGGATGAAATGTGAGTAATGTACCAGTCAGGATCCAAACTGAAACCCTGATCAATGATTAAAGCTTAATTGGGAAAATTTACTATATGTTAACTTATAACACCTAACAAAATATAATATGAATACCAAATTTAGGTGAAATTATATGGAAAAAAGGAAACATTGTGACCAAAATAAATTGATTATGGCAATGAAATGTTATGATACATCTTGTGGCTAATCGCAGAACAGCATTCATTGCCCCAGTAAATATCTTTGAATGCAATTTTAGTAGAAAGTTTATTTTTTGTTTCTGCTTGGTGTAGCCATCCATATATGGCATTAATGTTATAAATAATGAATAAATTTTTTGAAGAAAACTTTTTCAGTCTCCATTCAATATAGTTAAAATCGACCAACCTGATGACTTCTTGCACTACAACTGTGTTCATTGACTCTTCGTACAAAACAGGATATCTTTTCATCACCATTTCAATATCAACAGGTTGTGGGACACTTTCCAAAATATTCTTTGCAATTTCTTCCACCATCTGTAGTAATAGAATCAGAAGTCAGAGAATAAAAATCAGTAAAAACAATATAAATTTCAAATAGGGTTAAGTGTTTTCATGATGCAATGGCTAATTAATTAACAAACAGTTTCATTCCAATTTCCTTGCCTTCATGCAGCATTACTCGCACGAATACTTGGATTTGATGCTTGATTGTAACACATCCTAGCTTTAAATGCAAAACACTTTTAATACAGAATTACCTAACTTGTGATAACCAAATGTCAACAGAATTTTACAACTTTTACAAATTGAAGTATATACAACCGTTCTGAACAATAATTTATTTAATCATCCAATCTACGCTAAATCTGGTAAATTATAATTGTATATTGTTACACAAAGGCATCATTAAAGTATCAGCTAGCATATTTTTATGAAAGTGAGAAATGCTGATAAGTCAGTCGAAAAGTGAGTTTGTAATTACGTCTCAAATTAGATGACCAGAACTAATGTAATTTTTTGCCACAAACAATCTCAATGGTTCAATGAATACTAATTTGAGTTATGTATTATCTGTTTTTCATTTTTTCCCCTCGGCACACAAAATAAAGATTTTTCATATTTATACAGAGAAAAGAAAAGTCCATTAAGATGGCTCTAGCTTTGGTGAACCACGGTTTTGCATCTGGTCACCAGTCCAAGGTATGAGAATAGTTTACTATTCATTCATTTCAGAGGCTTGGTGGACATGGTGCTGATCGAAGCCATAAGTGTAAGGTAATCCACCAGCAATTAATCTGGCCCATACTATGCTGAAAAAGAGTCCAGCAATCCATCAGACAAAATTATTCCTCATTAGATTACAAACTTTGAACTCGCACTAGATGATAACATGCTGTGATGGCAAGTGTTTTTTTCTAACGCTCTCTAAATGTTGAGCCACATTTTTACACAATCTCATCTTCGAAACTAAAAATACATTACATCAATAATCCTAATTGACACAATGGAATAACAAAAAAAATGGAGAATTATGCAAATCAGACCTCTTCACTTGATCTTCCACCACCAGAGGTTGATCTGGGTTGAAGCATAAGTAAAGCATTGAGAGCAGAGAATGATTCATTCTGAGCAAATGTAATGTTGGCATTGTCGTGCATTCCAAATATCTCTGGCGTATCATTAATCGGAAGACTTCGAATATATTGAATGTATCCCTACAAACAAAGAATACATAAATAACATGCAAGGTATGAATTAGCACAAACTAACGTTCATAAGGTTAAAAAAGTTACTTAATCGAAATTTTCAAAAGTCAAAAAACCTAGCTATTATCAATTGTGATAAAAACAAAAAAATAGTTATTATTCAATTTAAAACATATTTCAAAATGTTGTATGGCTCTTTCATTGTCATAAAAATGAAAACAGTCTAAAATGTCACCCAAGTCAACTCGGATCATCTCATGGTTATTAATTCGGAGCCCTATAAATTCTCAGTTGATCACATTGTTAACTAGAGCCAGAAACTGAACTGAAGATAATATTTTCTTATACTATTTTTCTGTATTAGTATATTGTGTAGCAATTAGTGCTGTGTTACCCTAATAAGGAAGAAAAAAACTTTTTTTTATGAGTGCGTTCCAGTTTCGTTTTGAGGCTAGCTTAACACAGCTTGTTACCTGATATACACAAATAAAACTTACCGTAGCCAAATGGCCTTCCTTAGAGCTAATTTGATAATTTTAAATTTGTCATTTCAAGCCAAACTTACATTGTTATCTAAATCAGTGTCAATCTGTTTGTAAATTCCACTTTCAGAGTATACATGATCTGGTTTGAGTACGTCCATACTATAAAAATCAGATAAAATATTCATCAGACATCTACGATCCCAATCATCTGTCACTCTACCACCATAATTGATATGACCAGCGGTGTACGTCAAGACCTGAAAAGATAGATGAGAGAGTTATGGGCGTGGTATGCTACAAAAAAATGTACGGTATATAGGATACCCATCATTTACTTTCTTAACCAAGCAAATGGGTACTCCCGTAGGATTAGGCCATAATTTAATTCCGATTTTCCTCATTTTAGTTCTATTACGACTACGAGTTTGAGGAAAGTCTGTGTTAGCCAAGTGAACATACTTTCTGCTCATAGGTTTCAGTCCTTTTACACAACTTGATGTAAAGTAGGCGAACAAAATTTGTTACCTCCATATTGGTACATAGGCTTCTGAACCGCCAACAAATGTACATACCGGTATATCAAAAGTGAAGAATATGATAATTGATTACTAAATGTGTGTTTGTCACTGAAGCTGACAAATTTCCCAATAATACCCTTCAAACTAGATATGAAGTGTCAGTGTTTGTAATTAATTTCCAAAAAAGAGGAATGTGTACTATCTGTAAGCACAACAATTTTATACTAGCGTTCTAATAAACTGTTATTCACGATTTATTTATATATTCAGTTATATATTTCATTACTTTTTTCTGTCTGATTTAGAGAATAGGTGATAGGTTGGTGACTTCATTGCATGGCAAATTATGGAACTCTGGGTTGGTAGAATATTTAGGTAAGAGAAGCCAAACAAAAACACACTTTGCTGAAGTAAAGAAATCTTGTTGTACATGGTCATCATACCATGGTGTTCAAACATGCACTTAATGCATAGAGCAATCACTATAACAGCGCAAGTGGTATTTTGATAAATGACAAGGTTTAATTAATCACTAACCTTGGAAGGTATATCATCATATTCATCCAAGAACATTTTCAACTGAGAAATACAAATTCTCAAATCTCCAGTTGTAAATTCATATGGAATATTGAATCCCAATGCTCCAAATTTTCTTCTTTCTAAAGCAACTCCGTGGAACAGACAAAGGGAGAGGAGAAGAGACTTGAACTCACTCACCTATAACAATTTGGTGATTTACCGGCAAATTAAAAATGAAATAAAAATACCAATGCAAAATGTTGAAGTAATTCTAGGTCTAATATTCAGTGATGATTTATGAGAACATGTCGATCAAGTGCATTAATATGGGAAAAATCAGGCAGCTAATAAAACAGACAATATTATGATTATTTCTATTATTGGCAACAAGTCTACAAGTGACTGAACTCAAATCACTCAGTATTGAGACAGAATTTTCATTTTTATCTCAATGTAAAAAAAAACTTTATCATACCGTGAACTATGACCTCTGATCCGGTTAGGTTCAAATCTGGTACATGATTGGTTTAAAAAGTTAAACATTACAGCGGTTGGTGGCTTGGGAAAGCTGTACCTGACCACTGAATACATGAACCATCCAGTGATAACGTGGAATTCCAACGTGCTTATTTTATTAAGGGCTTTAAGGACATTGAATAAGATCTTTCTTTTGCAGTCAAATTGGTTGTAAAATCAAAAAACTATGGCCTGTTATAACATCATTGTTCACATACCGGTAAGTTTTCACTTGACAAAGCTAGCAGTACAAATTTAATGTAAAATAGGAAATCGTCAACCAAAAAAACAGCCTAGCACCTTGCTGCAAGAATTCAAGAAATCATCATTTTGAGACATGTAAGCTCGTAACAAATTAGCTTTGATTCCTTTCGGAGGTTCGATTGTCATCTTACTACCATTCTGTAGAATTGAAACTGGAAACCGGTTGCTTGGCATAGATGTCAACCACAGTCTAAAGTCACGATGGACCTAAAACAAAGCGATTCAAAAATATAGAAAAATTTATATTAAATGGCAAGTTATTACCAAAGATTGCACACGCATGCCTAGATTTGACCAAGTTTAAAATAGGTTTCGACAAAATAGTCACTTTTATAGAAAGAAACAAATACTTGTATGACGAAAAAGACATACAGAATTGTTTTTAAATATATGTTGTTGTTGATTACAAAATGTCTAAAAAAGTTAGGTTGAGGATGGATAAATTTCAGAATGTACATTATTTTTTACAGGGAATCCTGATATATGTAAAATTGCAAAATATGATCTTTTTGCATAAGTCAGATGCAGTGGTGTCATAGCATATGGGTAATAGGATACGAGAAAAAAAATAGTGAATGCCTATTGCCTATTAAAAGTAATACAAACAATAAACGTCATACAAACAATATATTATTACTGCGGATGATTTACCTTTTCTGGATCAATACTTTCAATCAATCTTTCCAGGGAAGGCATCCAACTTGGTGACAAATGGCAATTTTGGAAGAAAACCCATTTACCACGATCCATCGCACTTCGTAACAATGCTTCTGCTCTAGGACCCTAAAAAGTAGTAAAATACTTTGCTGAATGAATTGAAAAAGTTGAGAAGAACAGGGAATAAGATACGCCCAATTCATATTATTGTATGATTTGCTCAAGCTAAATTTCAAACTTGAGTTTTAGTGTACTGAATTCAAAGTACCTTCAAAAACTTCAGCCTTGAAAAAATATCTTCATGGATCTACCTGGAAAAATTTGATAATCTTTATAACACTTACCTGTCCCTGTCCGAGTGATATAGCAGATAACTTTTTGGAAAATCTCATTTCTTCGGCAAATTTGTACAAATCTGCTGCAGGGTCAGTTCCGGATGAAAGCACAAAAATGAGAGGAGTGATTGCAGATGATTCTTTGAATACAACTGCTAAATCACTGGTCTGAGGCTCGATGAAACGTTGCCCAAGGTATTTTGCAACATAGTCTTGCATTGCGTTGGTAACCTGAGTGATTATAGAGAGGATTTTACAATTAAAGTTGTGTCATCAGAAATGCTAAATTTCAAGATTATTTATTAGCCTACTAACTTGAACGTAAAGCTGGTTAACAGAGGCTAAAATCACATATTATGGGTGAGGCAATTCCAAAATAAAAATTATAGAAACCATAGACACAGTAAATCTGTTGCAGTACTGAAAAGTCTCTCCCATTTCTCAAAGTGTGAACATGTAATTTATCTTAAAAAGTGGTATGCTATAGCGGTGACAACTTCATTTCAGTATTAGCTATAATGCGGCATTAAAATTTTCCATAGTTCACCTTCTCAGATTATATAGGCTAAATAATATACGATACATAATCAATATGCTTGAAATTTAGACAACAGTTTTCATCAGATATCCAAAACATTTTATTCACTCAGTGTAACTCTTTTCGATTATTATTGCCAAAGCGTGACCAACAAGGGGTACTGCTACAGAATTGTGCACATCAATTTATTTAAGCCATATCTCCCTGTTGTATAATACTTAACAATACAAAAAGTGATCTGTGCAAAATTACTATACCTTGTCAGCTCTTAGGCATCTGAGCACAATAATTTTTTGGAAATCGTCAAGATCTTCTTGCCATTTACCAGGTAATGGTTCACGATGAGGTTCGACTGAATCAAAGATGTTTCTGAATCCATCAATGTGATTTTGGAAGTCTTTTGCGAATTCGGAAAATTTAGGCTGCAACAGGTAACATTTAGATATAATATTAATAGACAAGTAAAGCTGCATTTTACGAAATATTAAAAAGTAAGTAAACCTGTATCATACTGTATTTTGGTTCTTGCGAACGTTGGTCATTGAAGCCACAAATTCAATATTATTATAGATAGACTCAAGTATGCCCGTATGCTTTCTTATAGCAGAGCCTACATAAATCGTTTCCAGAAAATTCGCCGCAGGAAATGCTGCAAAAGCATTTTGCGGTAAAACAAGTATTTGTGATAAAAACAGTTAGGTTTATAGGGTTTGGGTATGCTCTTGAATAACGAATCTTCTTTAAATAAAAAGGTAGGCTACTTCAAAAACCTAACTGCTTTTATCACAAATACTTGTTTTACAGCAAAATGCTCTTGCGGCGATTCTTCCTATTCGACGAAATTTCCTGTGGCGAGATTTCCTACGGTGAAATTTACTGCGACCAATTTTCCTAGAACCTACATAAATTAGTGCACGGGTTTCGAATGACTAACTGTAAAGAGCTAGAGAGTACAATTTTTGACTAAGGTACACGAACAAAGTGCTACAAATCCTTATCAAAGAGTAGCTTACCAAAGCAGCCAACATCAATATGTCACCCCATGATCTGTCAGAAATCCAGTCTGGAGCAGGGTTTGATAGTTTGGCTGGTGTAACAGTTCCTCCAGCTAACAACCATCTCCATTCATCCATGTCAATTAGATTGTCATTCATTTGGATTCGAGCCTGTTTATTTGAGAACAATATAAGCATTTTTACTGAGATAAATTTGCAGCAAATCATGGTTTTCTACAGCAATTAGATTGAATTTTACAGAAAAAATACAATATTTTGAGTATTCAAGCATATATATGATTTACCAGTATTAAAAACTCCACTCCAAGATGAAATTACAATACTAGACATGGTCAAATAATATGACTGATGTGTATAATCAAGCTTACAAAGATATATTGCCATATATTGTTTTTCATATTAACATATATTTAAAAAGAGAATCTGTTTGTCGGATCATCTACTTACACAAAGCAAGAACGCAAACATAAGCTTGTGACGTTCAAACAAAGATCTGCAGACATTGGAATAAAGACTGAACGTATTGTATTCATTGATGTTATGAATTCTTTCCTCAATTGTATCTGAAATAGAAATAATATTCACCAAGATTATCTAAAATGCAATGATAAGCAGTAAAAAGATCACAGAAAGCTGTATTTAGCATGTTATAAGATCGATGATATGAGAACCATATCTTCTTTTCAAGCTTCCAATCTATAGATAATAGCAGGCCAAATCAACGTTCCAGAATAAACAAAGTTAATGTAGAAAGTTGTGGTCAAATAGTAGTTACATAAACTCTGATATTTGATCGTATTTAACAGACACCTCCGAGTCCTAAGTAAATTCATATAGTTTCAGTCGCTCTTGGTATTTTAATGATCGTTCATACCTTTGCTCAATGTTGAGTCTTTTGAACTTATTAAGTGCAGAGGACTTAGATTTGAGCAGATTCTTTAAAAAAGGATAACCACCAAATTGAGATCAAAAAGTACCAAAACATAGAACTTGAAATCACTAGTATGCTGATAAATACAATTTTAAATATTCAATGGCATATGTTTCACTATGTAAATAAAAGAAGATTTCAAATTCAAGCCTGATATGTTATAGACCAGGGGTGGGCACGCGTGCCAGGGGAGCCTATTTATTCGGCATGCGAGCGAGGCCTCTGAAACGCGATCATTCTCCTTCAGATAAAGAGTTTTAAGTCTCTGAGTTATCTGATGAAACTAGGTGTTCGTTTATTCATTATCGTTTGTTAACAATCTGTTATTTATTCACTCTTTTTGTCCTTTCATGACATATAAAGACATATAAAGCTACAAAGTAATATATTATGATGTAACAAATGAGCTCCCGCAAAATTTTGTTAAGGAGTGCACAGTATTCATTTGGCTACATTCTTACGTAATACAGTTCGTCTGTGCCACCCTTTTTCGTCATTTCTGCTCGATTCATGAAGTTTTACAGCTCATGTTGGTTATAATTACTTGCTAACTTACTGTTATAAATTAATATCATAGAGATTAGGGAAGGCAATACAAGAGAGAAGTGCAGAAAACAGACTATTGCGTGATTGGGATGCCATCCCCGAAAATTTTTCGTGTCTAAAAAACTTTGCAACTGCATCACATCATGTTTTCATCAACATATTATGCTTGTGAGTATGTGTTCTCAGTTATGAACCTTATTAAGCCTCGTAACAGGAGTAGCCTGGAAGATGCAAGCAGTAGTTCGTGTATTTTTCTGAAAGTTACAGTTTTTAAAACTCAATGTAAAATCCCTATCAGCGGTAATGCAGCAGCATAAGTCTCACTGATATAGAATAAGAAAAGTAATCAAGTGTATTTGCCGTACTGATATTTTCCCGAATAGTGAACCTGTCTATACATGTTAAAAGGTTTATTATTTTGTAATTTTGCTTTGAAAGTAGCTAAACATTGTTTTTAATTTTGGCCGGCACGCGGAAGAATTTTGTTGTTAAATTTGGCAGATTTTGGCACTCAAGTCAAAAAAGGTTGCCCACCCCAGTTATAGACTTTGAAAAATAAATAATAGATTTTATTGATATTGGTTTGGTTTTATCCAACAAGCAAAAAATGTACTAACCGGCTCTTGCAGCATTAGCAATGCTGTTCAAGAAAATTCCGACAAACCATTCTAATGAATACTGATACATGGGATCAATATTAGCTAGATCAGACACACAGAAGAACAAGATCTGAGTACGAACGGCAACAGGAATATACTGAGATCTGGTTGAGTCGATGTCTTTTTCAGTCTGCTCTGCAATCTCTACTTTAGCCTGCGGGAGAATGGAACAAAGGATATACAGTAATCCATGATTGTAACAAGTAAGTGTAAAAATGCAGTCTTTTGTATAACCAAGACGATTATCCCAATTCGAGCCAGGTATCCAGAAGCACCCTGATAAGTAGTGATATTTTATTCAGTACTTTTTAAATATAATAAGCTTCAACTTTTATATGAAATGAAAAATACAGCTTTTAAATCAGATGAAAGAGTTAGACATTGAACTTGCTGCACTGAATAATATTTCTCGAGAAGCTATACATGTTAAACTAAATTAAATATGTAATGAAGGAGACCTAATTACAAAAAATATATTTATATCTCATCAATGTAGTTGAATTTCAGATACTCTGGTATTGGTTGAACGTTTGACAAATACACAGATTACTTTAAAATATGTCGTAATTGAATGCATTTTGAATTTAAAACTAATTTTAGAGACAAACCAATTCTGTACAACAGGGGTGGCCAACACGTCGATCGCAATCGACCGTCTGATGTTGGCAAATTTGATAATATACCCAAAAAATTGTCTTGAACCACTTTCATGCAGCGCCTGTTGCGTGTTTTAAAACAGGATGAAAACAGTACTGTACAAGCGCGAAATACGATATACACATACAATATTTCAGTCTGGGCAAGCTCGATAGAGCATATTATTACATAACAAATTTCTGAGGTTTGCCGCTACGAAAGTCTAACTCTAAAGTGAACGTGCAGAATATTGTGTGTCTTGACTGAGAAATGACTCTACAATAACAACTATGTAGAATGCAAAAATTATTTTCCCACTCCAAGAGTAGTGTGTAAAATTTTATTCGCAACAAGGCGTGGTGGCGTCAGAATGCCCAATTTTTCCTAATTCCGAGCAAGCAAAAAATCGGGCTTGGAGGAAATTGTAAATTAGATACTGAAGTTTAAGCAGTCATGTAACATTTGGGGTTTGAGAATATTTATTTTCTGCTGTTTAGATGATATTGTACATGGATACTTGACGAGGTTTATTAACGAATTTTCAACACTTGGATCGCGAGCTATTTCGAACATTTTTGTCGATCACTCCTGCTGTACAACAACAACGTGCATCAAGAAAAAATAAGCTCAGATTACTGAGTACAAAACAACTGAGAAAATGACAACAATGACGAGACATACATGACAACTTGCACACAGACTCACTTTTAACTTCCAATAACAAACTTTATATTTTCCTCTCTTTGTGAAAGCAATAATTAACAAAAACATATCTAATTTTAATATAATTGAATAATTTTCTTCTGTTCTATTAATATTGAGTTAAATGTTTTTTGTAAAATTTGCTAGTCTGATCACAATTTTGATGTAAATATTTATATTCAGTACATTCAAAATTGTAAATAATAAGAATTCCATCTTAAACAACTCGGATAAAAAATTCCCTAATTCGAAAACATCGCATATATATACACAAGGTAAAGTAAACACAAGCTTTGCCAACTACTTGAATTTAGAATAACTAATCTATAGCAATAAACTATTTATTTTTATGATCTTTGAGTGTTAATATCGGAACTGTGGAAGTTTTTGTTCATATTTATTTGTCTTCAATGTTCAGCAATTTGAAATCTGAGAGTCAGCATTTATGATGGCTTAAAATTAAAAAAGAACTTTGCGTTTTACTGTTGGATTAATTTGGAGGTTTTCAAATGCAGCACAGCTAGAATTAGGAAATATCTGAAATTTCATACTTGAAAATACTTTTCTGTGATGTGTACTCTGGATAGTAAATGGCCGTGGTTCACCATATGATTAAGCTGTTTTATTATCTTTCCTTTCCCCCAGGATAAATATGTAAATCCTACCCTAATAATTTCATGTTAGCTATACTTTGACATTATGATATCACAAGCATTCACATAGACATACAGGATAATCAATTATGCATATTTGAATGAATTCTTTGCACCGAGCACATTGTGTGTCATTGTCAGTCATCAAATCTATGAAAATATTATATTTATAAGAATATAATATGAAACAAACCTGAATTTCTCCAGCCTTGATCTTTGAAGCTTCAAGAATTTCAATCAGTTCAACATTATCCACTGGATTTCCTTCTGTTGCACTTAGTCTGTACAAAATTTGATCTTCAATTTCTTTCAATTCTTGTTTCATTTTTGCGTTGGTTATGATCAGTTGATTCTTTGCCTCTTCCAAATCTGGACGTTCCTCAGCTACAACTCGACCAAGAAGCTGATCTTCGAGACCACTGAATTTGTAATAATGAAAGTTATTGAACAGAATTTATTTTCATATTTATTCGACTGGGCCAAACAGCTTAGTTTTAAAAAATTAGAATATTTTCTAAATAATAAAGACTACCTTGTACATATGCAGAAATTTCGTATTTCTACAAGAAAAGAAAAAGTCATAGCGCAAATAAAATATGAGGCAAACAACAAGGAAGCAGTTCGTATATGTCCTAATTGAGAGGAAAGCCAATATTAATAATGAATTTGTCAGCAACTTTTGTCTTTATGATTTAAAAGTGAATCCACCTGAAGGCTGCAGTTTGCAGATTCTGTTTCTATATTAGTCTCACAAAAGAACACATTATAAATACAATATGGCCTGTAGTATCTAACTACAAGGATAGGATAGGATGATAAGATTTACATATTTATTACAAAAAGTAAACATACCTTGGAGCAAGTGTAAAGTTGACCACAGTTACTTTAACTGATACTTCAGGAGTATAATGTGGATTTGGTAATTTAGATGTGATGTAAAGTTTGAAGTCATCGTGATATGGAATCACAGCATCACCAAGTTTGATCACTAGACCACCTTGTTGTTTGAATGTCTAGAAATATTGAATAATGCTATATATGTTCACTGTGTAATAAACATTTATACGGCTAAAACTTTTTCTCAAATCATTTTAGTTTGAGCGTTCAAGTTCAAACCCTAGTCCGTCCAACCATGGTAATATATTGGGTAGTCTAAGAAGAACCACTTAATATATCTGAGTGAAATTGGCCAAGCAATCTTGTTCAGAAAATTCCGCCTTGTGACAACAAACAGTCACAATATTTAGTTGGTAATTCTGATGACTGCTCCTATTGATATAGTATTATCGTCTATAAAATATTTAAAAAACCTTCAAAAATTCAAAGCAATTTAATACAGCGAGAATAGATCTTTATAACAGCAATAAACTATGAATGGTTGAAGAGCATGTCTTGTCCATTTGTATGATATGAAAATTGGAATTTTTTTTCAATTTTGTGGAAAAAGAAAAATATAGATAAATTTACACTATACATTCATACAGGAAGAACTGTACAATTATACTACTGTTAGTAGTGATTTGTTGTAATGTTGCCAATATTCAACTACATTCCATGAGATTAAAATCTACCAAATCTACCGGTAATTAGAAATAATCCATGAAACAGTGCCATAGTGTAGTTAGCATACTTGTTTCAAGAGAATAGGTTCCAAGGCTGGATCTAATTCTTCCATAACATTTTCAAGTAACATCGGTTTTCCAAATCTGACAGCATTTTCCAAACTTCTCAGGAAATCACGATCAGTGAGTTTGATGACATCGAGTCCATTTTCTCTTTCCATAGCTTTGACCCATTTGTTAGCCTAAGTAAAAGTATTTGTCTTATATATTTATACCATGCTAGTGAATTTGTCTTTAATATTTATTTGACCTCGGCTATTGATAAACTTTTTGGATGTCATGAATGCTCATAACCATACTACTAGAAGGTGTTGTTTACACATTGACTATGAATACCATTTTCATACGTACCCCAAAAGAAAGAAGAGCCGATAGGATAGCTTAGTCATATGGTGAATCACATAAGTTTACCAGTTCAGGAGATTCAATTACTGAACTTTATTAAGATTTAAGGTGTTAGTAAAGCATCGACTTTCTCAAAAAAAAATGTAAATGTAATTCACTGAATAATCAATTCGAGCAATTAGGAACTAATACACATTCGACAGATAAGAACTGGTCTACTTTATTAACTTCTATTTATTTCAAATTTCTGCGGGCTCTATGTGATTCGTTTTTTTCATGTGATGACGTCATCAAATTTAAAAATTGCACACTTTGTGGCATACTACTTCGTTTTGGCCCTTGTTATATTTAGTGTTAAACAAGCTAGTAATATAACTCATACCTGTCCTTGTGGATCAATAAACAGTGGCCATCTTTGAGAGTATTGTACAATCACTCCATTCTCAACACTCAAATTATCCCGAGGTAAACCACTGATTTGCCAACTTCTGATTCGCACTGGATCACTCAATGTGCTGATAAGAGTAGGTGATTCAGTTCTTGGTACTTTGTTTTGATCCAAAGCTTGTTTCCACTCATGTAAAAGATCATGCCTGTATTCACCCTGGAATTAAAGAACAGAAACATGAAGGTATTTCATTTTGAAATACACTCTCACACAATAGAAAGCTACCTTTGAATATTGATTGCTCTTTTTTGTATGAATGGACAAATTATTTTAACTATAGTTTGGAATAGTTCTGCTCTGTCGATTTTGACATGTATAGTATGAATTCCTGCCAAAAAATTCATACGTGTGGCGCACCGTGCCGAGCGTTAAGAATACGCCGGCCACCGCGCCTCTCATTACTCTGAGTAGGTTCGCAGGTTCGAATCTTGTGGGGGATAATGATGTGCAAGAGGAGTGTTGGACTCCTCGTCGACACGGGGTGGTTTACTCAACCGCTGGTCGGTTACAGCTTTTCCCACCATCAAGTCTATAATCACATATTATTTGAATTGCTATCATATTTTGAAAGTATAATTCATTTACAATTTCAGTAAGTAAAATTTGACGCATACCTAATTTCACCACCCAATAGCAATTTAGAATTTAATGAATTGAAAAGGAAGAATTCTAAACTACTTGGATCACTCATTCCTCAAGCTACTTAAAAATATATACATACAGTGAAGGCTCCCAGGTAAGCAACGGATCCAGCAGACACCATAACATCACCAATGATGTTTGCAATCATGTGATTGAGTCTAGTAACAGTTTCATGCCATCTGATTTTTTCATCGGCCAATCCATTGATCAGTTTGTCTGCTCTGATAAGTCTATCTTCACACTGTTTGCATTTTGCTTCCAAATCTTCCTTCTTGTTTACACCTGAAATATGTTAGTATTGCATCATAAAAGAGCATAAAATATAATATGTAATTAAAGTAAGTAAAAAAGGATACATTTAATATAATTTCTTCAAACTATGGTCATAAAATAGTTATGGTCATTTAGAGTTACCAAATTATATTTTTTTGGCTATTTTTTTCAAGCCAAATTGGAATTGCATGTACATCACATGGAGTTTAATGGTTAATTTCTGAAAATAAAAGCTTATTGTCATTCAATAAATGGTGGTTACATGCCAAATAAATGCTAAGTTATACCAGCCTTGTATTCTTTATTCATTTATCTTTGAATATGCTAAATTGCTTGTTTTGTGAGCTGTAGGGAAATAATCGTTTTCAGTAAAATATAGCAACTCCAATTATTGAATGATTCTACAAGTAAATTTGAAAATTCAAATTTACTGCCTCATTCGAATGTTGAAAAAACAAAATTTTTGTGTATACTCTCTATTCAGTAAAATATTGAAAAAAAAAAATGCATAGAACAAAAGTACTTACACAAAGTGTATTTCTCTTGCAAGGTTGCAATTCCTTGTTCAACTTCTGCAAGTTTACCTTTTGCTTCATCTAAGATTTTCTGAGTAGCTGATAATTCTGCTTGTGCTTCAGCTAATGCAGCACGTTTTGGTGCCACACCTTTTGCAACAAAGTTATATCTAAAAAAACGAAAGTAAATGGTATAACACAGTAACTCATATAACAAATCACTAAAACTGGATGATACCAAATTTGCAAAACTAAACTAAATCCTAAATTTTAATAAATGGAGCAAGCACGAAAAAAACAAAACCAGGAAGAATCCAATCTTGTAGAAAGACTTCAGAGTTAAATAATTTAGATACCGGTAATCTAATAGGCTCATCTGTTACCTCCATAGCTTTTTTCTTGTCAAAAAGATAATGGCATTTCAAATTTCAGAGTGAAAGTGGGTACTCCTGTAGTATGCGAACCAAGATGGCGGACATCGGAACATAGTATGTGTACCAGGTTAGGGTTAGGCTATAATTTTATTCCAATTTCCCTTATTTTAGTTCTATTACGAGTTCGGAGACTAGTCAAGTGACTCCCGTAGTATTTGTACCTGAAATTATGGTCTAACCCTAACCTGGTACACATACTACGTTCCGGTGTTCCATTTTATTTGCTAACTCAATGAATTACCTCACCTGGGTAATAATACTCAGCAACATAATAATTTAAACAAATCGAGATAAAAAAATACAAGTCTGTTCAAAAATATCAAATGCATTCAACTATAGTTGATAATTGCTATTAAAATATTTACCGTAATAATAATTAATATAAGTACATTGTATATATACAACCATCCAGATACGAATGTTCCCAGATCGATTTTAGGAAACAATTTTGAATTAATCAACAAAAAATAAATAAATTCATAAGCTTACTTATGCATGGCTCTGGCCCACTGGCAGATAGAAGTACATGCTTTTGATACTTTAGCAATTGCTTGAGGCATGAAATCTTCATTGTCAATATAGGGTTGAATTTTAGTGATAACAGAATCGGGGATGTTGTCACGATCGAACTTGAACAAGGATTCCAGGAACTGAAAGAAATGAGAGATTGAAACAGTGTGCACAAAAACTAATTTTGTTAGGATAAAATATCTGAAAGAAAGAAAACTTTGTGAAAATTACTGATTTTCAGATACGGTAAAATGGAACATGGTTGCCATAAAGTCACGCACCAAGGTAAATATCGAAATCTCAAAGATATAAAAACCTTGGAATCATTTAATCTTGATTTTTTATAGAGTCTTCTTTAATTCATCATGATAACATTCTAAAATTAGAATGAGTCACCTAATAATGTACATCGGCATCATGGTAGATTATGAGTTTTATGTTGGTGCGCGACGTAAAATAACGTAAAATAAGATTATTTTGAACTACCGGTAATCACAATCCAGATGATAATCAAAGTTATTACAATTTCGAACATATAGAAGTATGACTCACTTTGCCAGGATCTTGTAGAAGTGCTTTACCAGGTTCCCAGTAATCATCAACCTTTGTTCCCATCTTTTCACCGGCAACTTTCTTGGGTTTAACTTCCCTCATGATGCATACTGCCTCAATAACAAGACGCACACCAGCTGGTGGCCTCATCATTGCTCTCACCTGAAGTAGAAAATTTTATTTGATTGTTTCTCAAGTAGATTTCAGTTAATTTTTGAAATTAAATTAATTCTCTATTATGCTCACAAGATCTTAGATTTTTTAATAAATCTGCATTTTTACCATTTAGAACAGAGGTTTTCAACCTTTTTTCCGTCAAGTACCCCCCGAGTCACGAAACAATTAAAGCGAACCCCCGATAATCAGACGCCGAACAAAGTTGTGATATACTGATATATTGACTAGCAATTTGTTGCAACACCAATTTATTGACCATAAGTAACTAAATTAAATCGTCTTTTTGATATTATTGCCCTTGTCGTCTGCCTAGCTAATGGATTCTTAAAATCTCTCCCAAGTTTCAATAAGCATAATTTTCTAATGCTCGCAGCACGCTGTCTTCAGAGATTTCACAGTTTGTACACAAAGCTTTGAATTTCACATCGTTGCATCACAATGACAACGACGCAAGATCCGGTAAAATCTACGTTTCAATTGGCGACTAGTTTCATTGGGCACGCATTTTCCCATGGTATTAATAAAGGATATTAAAAAACAGCAACATACAAAAACTTGACTGTCATCCAAGTACCCATAGAAATCTTCTCATGAACCCCTGGGGGTTTGCGAACCCCAGGTTGAGAACCCCTGATTTAGAATATGCAAAAAATTTCAATTACATTTTATTTGGGATTTTGACATCCTCTACCATCTTTATTAGTGTTTATGTTCATATGTGTAAAGAAAAGGTAAAACAGAAAAGATGGCTCAATAATGCCAACCAAGGAATTGCAGACCATTCTCAGATACCAGATCATATTAAATATGAGAATAGTTAGCTAGTTAGCGAATTTTTCCAATGGAGTTGCCACAAACTTTATACAGTTGGGCAAGCTTCATTTTCAACTTTCATGAAAGATTTCTGGAAACGAGCTCGCAAACCGGGACACATTCAAAGCTAAAAAAAAGTTCACTTTATGGTCAATCATGCCATAAATATGATAACAAACCCAGATTAAAACTTTGAAAGACACTACCTGACAAGAAAAAAGCTATAAAGTTACCAGATAAGATACTAGATCATTCAAATTATTTTTTGATTGATAATAATGTAGTTATGATATCCATAACAAGCAAAGTATAGTAATATTTAGCCGATGAATGAATCCTAAATGCTGGAATCAATCGAAGAGTTTCCCAACATTCACAGGACAAGATTCACAATAATATGCTCTACTTCAAATATCATAATCAAAATTTAACATAGAAGGGAAAAACAAAATATCTAGGTATAGACATTCCCTACTAAAGATATGATTCAACAATAATTAGCATTTAAATACCTCAATGACATCATTTTTGTTCAAAGATTTCAAGCTTGCCAGAGCAGCCTCTAATGCAGGTAAAGCTTCATCAAGATCTCGTTGAGCGCTTTCAGCAATTCCTTGTGCTTTTTCTGCTTGCACTGAAGCTTCTGCTTCCTGCTTTTGCACAACTACTTGTGTATCTTTTGCTGTTATCTATAGGACATAAAACAGAGACAATAGTTGTAGGATAACTGCTGAAGACATTTGTTGAAATTATACAATCTAACATTTTTAAAGCCAGTGTATCTGATCACAAGCCTGGTACAATAAACTCCACAGGTGAACTGGCTACAAAGTAAGAAAATGCCCATAATCATATTCCTTACTATTTACTGCAGGAAGTGCGAGTTTGAGTCTTGCGGCAAGCATCATGAGGAGCATGATTTCTATACTGAGTGCTGTTGCAGAATGGATATGGAATCGTTGGCTAATACTCTTTTTACTAATAATGTAGTGTTATACTGAGAAATTGGGGCAGATCTTGATAAGTTTACAGTTGAATACTACACTAAACCACTAAATTGTGGAAGAAATTGATCAAGAAAAATTTTCTGGTTTGTGCAAATCCAAAAAGTGTATATGGTTTCTTCTACAGTACCTTGTTCATAATGAAGGTAATAAAAACTTGATGAAACTGCTTGAAAATAGTTAAAACAAACATAGTTTTATCTTACGGTATCTTTCTGAATTTGTTCCATAGTGTTTGCTGTTTCTATTGCAGCTTCTTCAAGTAATGGTCTCATTGTTTCCAGTTCTTCCTGCATTTTTGCAACGTCATCCGCTGTACTTAGAAGCTACAAATTTAAAAGTGTTTTGCCGGTAATCGGAATTAAAGCCGTCATATGAACTAAGTACCAACCAGTGACAAACAGCAAAGACACCAGTGTACACTGTGATATTTGGTAGAAGGTAGAAATTGGTTGAATTAGTCAGTGATAGTGACCAGCATTGTAATCTGTCACATCAATGTCCAACAATGTAGTCTTGTAATGGTAAAACTTTTGCAATCTTCGATTGAATACTTACTTTATCCAAGCCAGTTTTCATTCTGTTTTTGTTTGTACTTAGTTCACTGATCTTGAAGCCGATAAGTTTGCTGAATATTCCAAGCAATTCAAGGTATGATGTAGGGGTGACATAATTGTGTCGAGACAATTCAGCAAGAAATCTCTTTGATGCATCAGCAACAGATTGATGCATTTCAACACACATGTTCACCATACCTGATGAAGAAGTGAATTTAATGAAATGAAGGTATTTCATTATCAAACATGTATATTGATATATATATGTGTGATACACATGTGAAATTCATGTCACTTAGTAGGAACCGAGAAGGGAAGGTCAGCGAACATTGCCCCAGGTCTGCGGGGCTCAATCTAACTTAGCTACAATTTTGTTGATTACCAACCATGCATACTTCCGTCACGCCAACAGCAGGAAAAGTCAAAAAATGGAACAATTGAATTTATCGCAATTGAGTTTACGAGAATACACGGAGTCGAGCCTTCTCTTGAACATTTAGAACATAATCGCCACATGAAGATTTCAACTTATGTGCAATAGCCTGTAATGCAAAGGCAAGCACGTTTCTAATGCTTAGCAATATTCGCTGATCGGCAAGCCTTGGAGTACCAGTACACATCCACAGATGATGATTTATAACCTGTTCATCATGAAATCCAGACTAAACTTCAAAATATGTCTCCATTCAATTCACACCCACCTTCCATCAAATCAGCATTTGAAGTATCAATATCGGTAATTTCACTCAGGAAAGTGTTTGCAACACTCTGCAATGCTTCTTGTGGCCATTCACTAAACCAATCAATTGTACAGCAGGTGATGAGTGAAGGGAACATACGAAGGCGAGCACGGAAGATTTCACCAATGGGGCTAGTAAAAAGAAGGTTATTATTATAAAAGTGATTACCAACAGAATACACATAGTCTAGTCAAAAAACTGAAAAACTACGATAACAGTAAGCGGGTTCTAAATCTAAATCATATTTCCAATAGAATATGACATCCTGACATACTATAAAATCTGATCTGAGAATGTATTTATATGTTGAGGTGTTTAAGATGTTGGCATTACGTTAACTACGATGGCATCATAGGTTGAAGATCCCTCGCCCAGAATGTAATGAATTGGGTTGGTAATGCATTGTTTGGATGAGAAGCATAAGAGTACCATACAAACAAAAAATAAATTACCAAGTTTGACAAAATATACCAAATTCACCAATCTCAGAAAATTATGTTATACTACCGACCTCCTTGGTAATAATGAGAAATAAAATGAATATACTGTAATAATATTTTGCTACACAATGAATTAAATAAGTTGCACAGCAATAGCATACAAAAATTCCAACTGCATGATACATTTTTCAGTGCCTCGTGGCATTTTGGTGGTTACCCAAAACTTTTTTAGAGATGAGCCTCTTTCTCTCTAGTTGAGCATGACTTTATTCTATGATGAATTTACTTTGAAAGAAACTGCGATCATTTTCACTCACCTCATACACACAATGCTGTGTAGATTTGCTTTAACACGTTTTGTAAAAGCATTGAATAAGTTTGATTTTGTTGGTGGAAGACCGGAATCCATTACTACTGGTTTCATTGCAGTGAATATCTGATCTTGATCATCAAAATTATAAATGTTCGGTACGTCACCAGAGTTCAGAATATTATTCAGATCCTATAATGAAAGTTTCTATGTATATGGTGATTCATTACAGAATTTGTTCCAAAATTCTAAAGGAAAATGTAGTGAAAACTGTCTTTTCATATGGGTTTGATACTATTACTGGACATGGATTGGAAAATAAATCATTGTTATAAAAAATTGCATCTTTTCGTGACTAGTGGACCAATTGATTCTAAATTTTCAACACTCAATTGTTGCTATATAGTGATTACGGTAAGTTGAATTTTCTTTTTCAAATTTGCACACAAATTTTGCCAGTTTTGGCATATATCATGTCACCATGTGGTATTCCATCAGCCCAGTCCACCAGTATTTTCACCCAAGCCCGGACTGCCTTCGCACGTTCATGTATTTGAGCATTTCTCGTTTATTTTTGAAATAAAGTTGAAAATTCATTTCAACATTTTTGGAGATATTCGCAACACTGAAAACCATTTTTTTTTATATATAACTTTTTTCAAAAATTTAAATCTACATCTTTTAGGTCAATATATTAATATCTCAATGTTAAATATTATCAAACAATTTTTTTCGAAAGCATTATTATCATTTGCTAACAAACCTCCAAGAACGATTCATCCTTGATCTGAGTATCACAAAACAAGAAAACAATTGGTTGATTTTGCAATCCAGCTTTCAACATGCATGTTTTAATGTCTTCTCTCCATTCATTCACTCCATAGTTCTTTGCAAGTTCAATTTGGAACAATTCATAATCAGCCCTGAAATACAATTCGATCCAAAAATCTCGAGACATAACAAAAAATGGCAATTTTATACAGCGTGTTGAGACAAACTAAACTCATTCAAGTATGAGTGCATTTGCTCAATGAAGCATTTGAAACAAGCTTGCCATCCCAGTTCAGTTTACCCTGCGCTAGTTTGCAGATTTGAATCATGTGGGGAATATTTATTTGCAAGAAGATTGCAAATAGTAAGTAGTAGTCACCTTAGTAAGGTGGTTCAATTAACCTCTGGCCAATTACCCTTCTTCCACCAACCATGAAGTTCATGCATTTGTGGCAAAAAGTGGTTTAATTTTTCCCATCCCCATCATGGAGAGGTAACTCAACAAGAAGCCATAGATCACCATACGATTAGGACAATTTATAGGTTTTTATTGTGATAATTATGAAAATTCGATCTGTTACTAAAAGTAACATACATATGAGTAGCAAGTCTTGATAAACTCTGTCGCCCACTTCCTCCAACTCCTAGCAGTAAAGCATTTCCAAGTGGTTGACGAATAATACGAGATATTCTGCAAACGTGTTGAACAGCATCGAGGAAAAGTACAAGTTTCATTTGAGCTGTGTTGACTTGATTGTAATCTTCAAGGAATTCATCAATGACGCCAATCATCTGTGATGTAAAATAAATCAAAGTTGTTTTGATATGACCATAAAAACTGGATTACAACATGTTTCTTTCAATTTCATAGGAACTTTTCAATAATGAACTGAACTTGCAACACTATTCAGTTAGGGACAGTCGACACCATTGTACTATGTGCTGAAGGGATCGAGTTAAGACACTTAGCCCAAGAATATCTTCTCCTTCAGGGTGTAGTAAATTAGGTTGACAATGCCAAACTAGAAGGATTTCAGTTCTTCCTAGAATAGTAAGTACTATTTTAAATACCAAAGCCTCGTTTTAAAGTGAAGATATGAAAATGCCATTTAATAAAGATGACAGGTCCATATTTCTTGTCAAAAACAAAAGATATGATTACACTTTTCAGAGATAAATAATTAAATGTACTAAAAGTCCACAAATGCACCAGGGGATATTGATAGGATGAAAATTAAAAGCAGTTCAGACAAAATTATTCAATATAGAATAGTGGTTTTTAATGAAAATGAAATCAATCTGCAACATCCTCGGCATTATTGTTCATCTATATAGTTTATATAAAATGATACAAAAATTACACCTTTTTATGATCTTCAGCATAAAGATATAACTTGTTGTCTGAGTTTGGTTGAAAAAAATCTCCAAACAACACGGGCTTCAGAGGAATAACATCCTCCAATGGCATCTGTTAAAAAAATGAATGTTAATAAAAGTCAAAGCTGGTAATAACCATAATGCCATTTTCTAATTTTTAGATGATAATATCAAAAAATGAATAATTCCAAATTTGAAATATTGGTTATATGCAACATCGATTAATTTTTAGTGAAGCACATTAAAATATAAAGTTTATTCAAATTCAGTTTATAACACTCAAAGTTGACATGCATTTATGAATGGAAAAAATAAGCTTACAGATTACAGCTCGACGATGTGGCGCATCAAGCCAAGTAACAGAAATAGGCTCTCCACCGCACCTCTGATTACCTTTGCAGGTTCGCAGGTTCGATAGGCTTGCAGGTTCGAATCCCAAGCAGGGATAATTATGTGCAAGAGGACTGCTGGACTCCTCGCAGCCATATGGTGTTTCACGTAACCGCTGGTCAGTTACGACTTCCTCTACCATCAAGCCCATGCATCTGAAAACAAACAACTGGCTGACTAATCCCATACCCGACATGGACTAGTAACCGAACGAGAGAACATGGTACGCCATATTATTAAGCCATCCTATCAGCTTTCCTTTTCCACAGGATAAATATGTGAATCCTACCCTAATCCTACAAGCGATCTTTCGTTTCAATTGCCACCTAAATCTTGACTATACAATTTTAATATTGCTTCTTACCTTGAAATTATTCACAATTTTTTCTTCCAGCATGTTGGAAAACCAGTTTCTATCTTCATCATTCACAAGACGATCTTGAAATATTCTGCAACTCTCGTGATACCACAGACGAAGAAGCATTTCTTTGGACTGTGATTGAAAATATGAATAAAATGATATAGATTTGTAGACAAGGTGAATGAGCAAAATATTCATTGTTAAACTATCGATTCAGTTCCAGCTAAATCATTGAGATCCAAGATGATTAGCTTGTGATATGAATAATATTATGTTTTGGTTTAGTTTAGTGATAAAAACTGCAATCAGTGATTACATTTGCCATCGCATGAGGGCCAAAGAGTGGGCAGGATCGATTATTCATAATGAATACCTAATTGTTCAATTTACAATCGACCAAAGACTAAGGCGCTGGAGATTGCTACTTCTTCCAAAGAATATTACAAAACTAAAAGAGTCGAAGACAACGCAACGCACACATTCTTCGGTATTCAAATTGTTACAATCGCTGATTGTTTTTCGTCAACGTTCAATGCTTGAAATGAAGCATGACAAATTGACCCTAAACATCTTCTGACATAGGAAACAAGGCACAATCTATTTTATTTCAATCTTAGCGATTTTTTAGTCATTCAACTCTGAGGATATTCCAATATCACAAATGCTGATGTCCTTCACCAGTAGTCCTGATCATTATTTTTGATATGCAACATACGTATCATAAGTATTGGTGCGATGGCTGGCATGTTTCTAATGTGTTGCTGAGCAATCACAAAGATTGATGTCTAATTTCAGCAGTTGGCCCACTTGGGTGACACTTACTTCCACTTTACTGACTTCCATCATCAACATTCCTTGGAAAACTTTGGAAAGATCTCTCAAGTTGAAAGTATAATGTGATTTAGCTGGAGTTGGGAGAAGTTGTGTGGTGATTGTATCGTACATGTAGATGGTAGAATCTACTATTTCATTGCAAAGTTCTTGAATATCAGCTGGTGCTGGTTCTGAGGTAAACAAATCAATAATGTTAGATTGATTGACTGGTACTATTGATACATACTTCCAATAGTGATCTAGGAAGTTTTCAGAGGTGTGTTATATATTTTGGGTGAGATAAACATTAATATCTCTCTTTGACTTCGGCAAAACATGCTGAAATAATGAGAGCAAAAATTTTGAAATTGCAGAAAATTAACAAACTGTTAACCAACAGATACAAACTAAAGGTGCTCGACTATATATTATCTTCAATTTATAAATTCTATCTTCATATAAATGCATTACAACCCTTTTTAAACAACTTTCAAACATTATAAGCATTTACTTAGCCTTTCTAAACTGTTAGCTAAAAACATACCGGTAGTTTACATCCTTTTATATTTCTCTTCTACTGTCTAAAAACTTTAAAATGAAACCTGACCAATATCTAACTCCTCAATAAATAGATATTAAGTACTTCAGATAAAACCCTCAACTTATGTGTAATAATTGGTAAAGTATCTGAACTCACTTCCGAAAGCAATGAGGCTCTTCGATCCAGCTGAAACATGAATATAATGGTAACTACATTCCTGAATGTTATAGTAAACACCACCACAATCCAATCAGCCATAGCTATAAAACTGCACTTCAAAATGGCAATTTCGCTGTTAATACTGTGGTGATCTTAAAAACTGAGCTGCATAAACTCCATATATTCACTAACAATAACAACTACTTATTCTAATAATACCTGTGCTAGATTAAGTTGCTATAAATCGAAAAAAAAACAGGAAGAACTCAATAGATTACTATTCTGAAATGAAGCATTTGAATATATATTCTAAATTTTGAGTGCTCAACAGAAAAGGTATCACACAGTCGCAGAGATTATTGACTAGAAGGAAAAAAAATAAGATGAACTGTAGTGATTGTTACTCATAGCTTTCAGAATGCTGGCACTTTTGTGTGAAAAGTGGGAACTCAATTACCCAAAGTGATATTTTTTTTAAAAAAATGTATTTTTAAATTATTCGTAAAATTGAATTTTTTAAAATTTTTAAAATAATTTATATATTCAATTAATTTTTTAATTGATTTATAACTCCTTATTTTATTTCAAATAATAAAATTAAATTTACTCAGCCAGCTTTGAACAATGGTTGCAAAGATTCTCTTCTTGCTTGATATTTCCATGTCAGTGCAAGACACATAATTGAAATGTCGAAGTAGACGTTGTGTGATAGGATTTCTTCCACCACCTGGTGGTCCCATAGCACAGACAAAGGAGATGTCAACAAGTCTTCTGAAATCACCTGAAATAAAGATTTATGAGAAAATCAAATCTAGGAAGTCGTGCATCCTGCTTTGCATCAGTAACATATCAGAAATATTTGAAGAATATCAGCATTTATGATATTTGAAAGTATGCTACTCAAAACTTTGAATGTAACAAATCATTTTAGGTAATGGGCATGGTTTTATCGACTTCTATGCAGCAAAATAATTAGAAGCAATTGTTTTGTCTGCCTGTTGAACTGTGTATCCTAAAAACAAACCAATGAAGAAGGCTAAAAGTTAACATGCTTGAATCATGTAAATTACAAATATTGTCTTGTCTACAGTGAAGTCATAATTTATCCAAGCAATTAACTCAATGGTGGTCACACTAAATTCTAAAATTGATGAAAATGATCATGATTCTCTATTTGAGTGAGACTTTCTTAAAGAACAACATTATTTATTCTAATTATCTCAATATAAAGATAAACTGCTTTACCTATCAATTTTCTGTCGTACCATCCATTATGGTCCATCCATTGTCTCAGTAGTTCGATAGGTGGTTGTGCACCATATTTTTCAAGTGCGGGCATATTCAAATCATCAATAAAGAAAATGGCATACTTTCCAAGAGGTGGTGCAAAAACTCCCTTCCTACGTTTGTCAAGTTTGCCATCAATGAGATCCTACAATTATAAATGTAAATATAAAAAAATATATGAACAATTTCAGAACAGATAATAAAAAAATATAATTTCCAAAAGACTGTATAAGAAAATTCGATAGATTTCAAAAACTTCAAAAAACACTCCGTGAGACCGTGCAGTATAGTGCAATATGACATATGATCTGAAAAAATGTGGAACGATCAATAATCTATTTACCACTCGACCCGATATCATATCTCTATAATTATATTAAGAAATGAAACAGGAATGTTGATAAATGATTTGCCTATAATATTTCAAATCATACAAAATATTAGAAGGCATACTTGTGTCTGGTTTGCAGATGTCTTGGCAGAAAACATCATAAAATTAGGAATATATTCTTGCGGCATTCCTTTTAATAATTTATCTCCAACGACAACTGATTTCCCTGTACCTGTGGGACCAATCACCAGAACCTACAAAATAAAAATATGCTATATATTAAAATAACAATCCCCCTTACAATTAGTCAAATAGCATGTTATATTAGTATGACTCAACTCGACAATCATTGGATTGCCTACCCAATTATTACACTCTGGGTGAGATGGTGGGCATGAACTTTGAACCTGATATCTATAACTGGAGACAACCTTTTTAGCTAACAAACTTGGTAATCTGTTTGTATACGCTTTATTTAGAACAAACTTTCAATACAAATAAATATTATTTAGTACATTGAAAATTAACTACATTACCTGTTTCTTGTTGCATACAAGCATTTCCAGAAGAGCTGAAGTACAGATGGTATCGATTGTGGGAATAATGATATCTGCGTAAGGAGTAGCTGGTGTGATTTCAAATGATGGTGCTGATTTCAACCAACTTTTCCAATGGATCTGCAATTATCGATATGGATAATTTCACCTCAGTTTTTATGTAAATTGTCTTGACTCAAGATTGAAATTGGGAATGGTACTTATTAGGGAGACATTTCCCTAATTTTTTTTCGGACATGAAGTAGATCCATAAATCATTTTACAAAATTGTTGCCATTGGGGTTGTTGATGGTAGAAAATTTCCGCAACTTGACGATCAATTGATTTAAATTTTCTGTATGAAAGAATAGCACTATCTGTATGTTTTTAATGTACTGCAGTTAGTAATTTGACTCCTCTTATGTATTATCTTGTCTTCAGTAATATCACCAACTTACAGACATCTCTTTTGTAACACAGTTACCAAACAGAGCAAATAGTTACACTATCCCGATGTTGACAATTTGAAGCAACATGTGGGTAAGTTCATGCAAAAATACTTTAGAATCAAATCATAACAAGCCAAATTGCATCCTTTCAAACGTGCACTGAGATGATCGTTTAAACTATGCCTTTGACACAAACATGTAGTTATGTGGTGAATATTGTCTGGTTAAAGTGTTTTCACTGTAATGCTCAGCCAAAGTGATTGGAAAGTGCCAATAAGAACCTGTTTCCCTTCTGCTGTATTATCCTCATCATCATCCATTGAATCACCAGTTTGTTTCTTCGTAATCCCAACATCATCAAGTTGATAATCATAAACCAGGCCTTCTTCTGGGAACGGTAGTTTTACCTTAATTACATTTTAAAAAAATAGAAAATTGCAAATAAGACAATACAAGTCCATAATTTTTTATATTTAACGAGCTTTTGTGAACTTCTATAAAAACAAATTTAATTGTAAATTTCATATTCAGTATTTTCCAATTCAAGTTCCAATTCAACTCCCCATTTATGCATAGTGAATATTTCTTGTTACATCTAAATATTTTAATAATAATAATCATTCTACAGAGATTATGCTCTCTAAATATGAAGCATCAGTTTAAATTAAAATTAGTCTTTTAGGTCTCAGCCCAAGCAGAATAAGCGAATAGTTGACTTGTTTCATTGTTTTAGATACATAGACGGAAAATGGATGGCAAAAGAATTTGCAACCGACCTGCAGTTACATGAGCCACCACTATGACTGCAAGAAGTCATCCGCTCGCTCATAATTATAACTTACAAGATTTTAAACTTGCGAACCCACTCAGAATATTCATAGAAACAAATGTGTCTACTATTTTACTCAATCATTAATTATACTTATGGTATATACAAATAAAAAATGTTTAAAATTTATTAAATAATGAAAATATTATCGCTAAAATGTGAGGTAAAATGTTCAAAAGACAGCATGACAGTTACCAAAGAACTTAGTCAAGTAACTTGAAAGAACTTTTTAACACAGAAGTAAAATGATTTAAGTGGAAGTCACCATTCAAAACTGTGTCTATTCTTACCTCACATTCTTTCATTTTTTCTCTGACATAAACAGAAAACTTTTGTCGTCCATCATTATCAGTTGTACTTCCAATACTCCAAATCAGAGAAAAGAAAAACCATGGTTCAATGAGATCTGGCACTTTTGCTAGTTGTTCATCACTCAAGAAAGGCTCACCCTGGACATAGAAAAAATTGAATTTTAGCACATATCAGGGCATATTTTAAATCTTCCCTGCTTGATATTCCATATTTCAGCCATGAAATCATCCAAAATTAGCAAAATATGTAACATAACATTGTACACTAGGGAGTCTGAATTTGTAAACAAGTAAAACAAATAAATTTCTGGGAAACACTTTAACGAGAGATTGGACGAGTAGTTGAAATGAAGGGTTTTCAATTTCCATAGCAGCAACAATTTGAAAACTGATTCATGGACCCTTTAATATGCATGTTAAGCATGGGAATCAATAATTAACATTTTTCATTGAGAAAAGTCATTTATTGCACTACATTCTGAAAATGAATAGTCTTGAAATCTGAAGAAACTTCATCAATCTGCTGTACGATTGCATTTCAAACATTCCTGTATCACAGATATTCTTTCATCTCAAATCATAATAATGTTTTTTCGTTTTATTTGATACTAAAACAAATTGAGATATTCATGAGCTTTTGTTATTCATTAACCAAAATTGAAAGGATTTGAATAGCCATAGGGCAAATATTCCCGCATTGTTCACAAATACAGGGTTTTTCAACATGCAAATTCAGGCATACAAACATATTTAATTATATTATACATTACATGCATTGGTGATACATTGCAACTAAATTATTCAATAGGAGTTATTCCATTAAGTATGTAATCAATATAGACAATGCATGCAAGATGAATCATTATAGTACAAAAACATACGGTAATTAAAATTTGAATTTTCATCATTTGACTGGAAATATAATGCAGTGGTAAATTGATTTTAGCTTAAATGACAGAAATAATTAAATAAGCTGCAATTGACAAAGATTTTTAATTTACTGTCAACCAAGCCAAGCAAGGTGGCTGAACACCTAAGCTGAAGTTAATACAAATATTTGCAATGAAAAGGTGTTGCAAACAGCACATACCGTAATTGTTTTGTTGGATACCAAGAATTTTCCAATATCCAGCTTGATAATTATAGTTTGAGACCAGGAAAATTAACATGCATGCATACTAGGATAACTAGGATACCAAAAATTTGATAATATATAAAGAACTACAAGAAACAGAAATAAAGACTCCATTTTTATAGAAATAGTATTTAAAATTAAAAGACTTGTGATATAAAGTAGTATCCACATAACAAAAGTGAAAAATTATAATATTTGTGCCTATTCGCTACATATACAATGTCTAGTCAACAAAAAGATGTTGCCATGCCAACTTACGAGTGACATATATTTTGCAAAACGTGAATCCTTGGCTACTTTAGGTTTTGCTTCTCCCTTTGTTCATAGAAATTAAGTTTAAATAAAAATATAAACAAAATAATATTCATCATAAAAATGTCTGCAATAAAGGTGGGATAATGAATATCTGTAGTGATGCTGATTCAAAAAATGAGATAATTTTCCAGTCATGTTTAAAAAATAGATGATAGGGAATTACGGTAAGTTAAACTTAAAAGAGTCATAATTGAATTAAGGAAATCGATATTTTTTATTAAAATATGTTTTTTAATGCAGGAAAATCATGATTTCATTCCATATGAAATTGAAATAGTCAGAAACAAAATAAATTACAGGGAAGATACATGAAAGAATTCTTTACATGAACTAGTTCTACTTAGTTCACAAGCAATGGGTCCATTTTGAACACAAACTACTGTATTTCCCGGCGAATAAGTCGCTTTTCTAGACCCAAATTTTTAGCCTGATTTTGGGGGGGTCATCTTATTAGGCGAGTATGATAATTTTTCATTTTTTGGTGTCGCTTTATTACATATTAGGTAATGTTCTTTTATGGTGGACACAATCGCGAGTTGGACACAAGTAGATTAAAATTTAAAGACAGTTTGAATTCTCGAAGTTATTATGGATTGAATATTACGCTACAAGAAAATGTCATTATAGGCTATTTTAACCAATGTGCAAACGCAACACCACTAAAAAAGCATTGCATGGTAATTTGAAATACGGTATACGGGGATTCTATAGAAAACCTAGTATTTTAAAACAACATTTTGCACTCCTTTTCAACTCTTTTTATGAGGAGCATGTGGTATGACTGTTTTTGCTTTTCAGTTGGGGATGGTTAAAATTATGTGAGACCACTATTACCACTCACCACCGGGAACATTGATTTTTTACATCTAACTTGAGTATAAAATTGGGTGAAAGGCTGAGTCTCCGCTCCCAATGTATGTTTACAACCACACATTATTCATCCTTATAGGTTGAACCAATAAAATCGAGAACAAGAATAAAGTTCCAGATCTCACCTCTTTGGGAATCAGTGGTGCAAAGAAACAATCCATCAGTCTCAACATACTGAATACAAGTTGACCATTTACTGATGTAACCATCTCTCTCATCTTGTGACGCATGAAGTCTATTGAAGGCTGAAATATCCAAACAATTTTGTGAATCAATAAATAACACAGGAGGAATATACTAAATATATAAGGATGGATGGATCATGGATGTACCAGTACCGATATGGAACCTAGTATGAGAAGCCTGGGTGAAACACAGAGAATTGAAATCTCTAGAATGCAGAAATATCAAATTGGTTTGAAAAATTTAACACACTACACAGGCAGAAGAATCTTAATTTCAGGATATTATTAAATTCAGTGGAAAGATAGGAATCTCAAAATAAAGGTTTAAACTCAGTAAATCATAGAATAATTATATGAGAATATTTGTAATGTTTGATGAGCTCATTGTCATCCAACAAAGTCTATGCGACCAGTTTCATTAAAGCTCACTTTGCCTTTCATACACATGTATCTTTAGCTTGAGCAGTTATTTAAACGCAAGACCCTGACTATCATTTATAATAATTTTATAAGCTGCTCACACCCTTTTCTAGATATTGATATATAAACTCTATTTGACTGGACTAAAATTATAATTTATTTTCCATAGCAGGACATGGCATTTGTTATATTGCTTGTCTGAGTCAATAATATAACAGAAATCTATCATGAAAAATTTGTATTCGGACATTCCTAAGATCCCACCACATAGAAATCCTATAGTTACCTCCAAAAAGCGATCAAAAAGTGATTTAATCTGTTCTTGATGTGGCAACAATACATCTGGTATGTTTCTCATCCAACATTCAACAAATGGGTTTAGTCCAATATAACCAGGTTCAAGATAAACCATACCACAACGAGACACGGTAGCTGGTGATGCAACTGCCAAATCTGCAACCTGGAAACGAGCAAGAGAATATTATTATTGATAGATTGAAATGGATGATTGACTTGACAACATTAGCAAATGTATCACTGACATGTGACAATGTGTCAGTATAAATTTAGAGTGGCATGTGCGATAGGCTAGAAAATTAGTGAATGGGGCTACATATATTTGAAGCAAAGTTCAAAAATCTTGAGTTAAAGTCCTTATAAGTGTAACTCAAACTTTAACAAAGAGTAAAAATTGGATGGGCCATCCTAAATAAGAGCATTTAGTAATCCAGATCCAAACTATTTTTCAAATTGAAACTTTTTGGCCAGACTTGTAACGGTGGACAGTGAAAAAAAGAGCACATTGAACATATTTAAAACAGCTTTGTTACAGAATATGTTGAATGAAAATTTGACATGAACTTAAATTAGCTAATACTAAATTAAATTTTAACACAAAAAATATTTTTTGATCTGATCATTAGTTCTCGTAACAAAGTTTTTTAATAAAATTTATCAGGATTTTGCTTATTTTCATTCAATCAACATTTTTAGGCAACTTACCTCAAACATCATTGTCATGTGGTCAGTAAGTTTGATAATTTCTCCGCTACTTAGGCATAATTTTTTGTTATCATCGAGCACAGTGTTCATGTTTTCAATCCATACTGCATCAACTGGTCCATCAAACATGTACCTGTTAAAATATCAATATATGTTCTATTTTGATGAAGTTTCATCTTAGGATATGAAAATCTTTTTAAGTTTTAAAACAAGTATAAACATTGTCTTGGTGACTAATGTTTAAATTTAAAAAAGTTGCGACTGTAAAAGTCAAAAATTAAAAACACATTATTTTCAGACTGGTCATTGTGTTCTCATCGTGAGTGACAATAAATGTTGTAAATTTCTCTATGTCTGACACAAAATGAAAAATATCAATTTATCAAATGCAAGTTATAAAAATCTTTAGAAAATGTAGAGTAGAGTTAGAAAGTGTAGAATTTTGTTCAAAACACAACCACGTTTGTCTTGTTGTTTGAGCATCATAAGCGTAACAAATAAGAAGTATTTGGTAAAAACCCCATTTGCACCACATCATACAGTCAACCTCATACACACCACCTCATCCAAATGGTGATAAATTGGGTGTGAATGTGATAATTCGTAATGCCAAAGCAGAAAGATTTCAGTCCTCCCAAAATCAGATACTGCTTGTGCGCTGGGGGGGAGATGGGTTAGGGTTCACACATTCATATCACACATTCTCACCATCGTTTATCTTCATCAGTGGCAGCAACACCTTGTCGAATTAGGGTTGACAAAATTCCGTCGGTCCATTCATGAGTCATTGCATCAAATTCACCATACAACTGACCCATAGTGATTGATTTTGGATTCAAAGTTTCAACCTGAAACAAATTCACATAATCAAAGTCTATGCAGTATTTATTATATTAAACTATTATGCACTTTGTCAACACATATCTTCGGTACAAGCATGATGCAATTGAATGTGTATCTCAGCATTTATGTATGTGCATCAGAAGCATAGAACCGGTTAGCTATACCCATGTCAAAGACAGACTGGTAATGAAAAGCTGTGGTACAATATTCAGTTGTCTTACTAACATTACTTTGATCATAAATAAATATAAAATACTCCTCTATTCAGATTGTGTTATACATTTGACTGAATGTGAAATAACAGTTCAATGCGTGTATTGAAATTTCTTGGTTCCCATTTGTGCACTGCTTTCAAATTCAATTCAAAGTGATGGATTTAATGTCATTAGAGTGTATGGCAGCTCAATTTGTATATGTTTACCAAAAGCAAAGAACTATACGTAGGAGCAAAGTCAATAAATTGATTTTTAAAAATCCCAAAAACCAAAAAAATGTAAGAATTGGCAATAGAAAATGGATGTCCCAGACTTGATCTATATGTCCCATTTGTATGAATCTCACTTAATATCAGTACGCCAACATTCAGCCAAAGTATTATATCTTCTATCCTCACCCAAAACATAGCATGAATTCCGCTTCAAATGATTAATTTACCTCCACAATATATATCTGCCCTAACTCAGAACAGAAGGGCGCATGGGACAAGTGTGGTAAAAAAGGGATAAATATGGAACATTTTTGTGACATCAAACAAAATAACTTCGCTGCACAACAGATTTAAATTTAATTTTCAGAAATAACATATTTCCAATCGAATCACACTCAAAAGATAATAAATATATGAAGATTGCTTACATGTACAGCTTCATAGTTGCCACCACTGACAGAAGGTTGTCCTTTGATATTTGTGAGAGCTTTCGCAAGAACATTCGAACATTTTGTTTTCCCAGAACATGTTGGTCCAACCAACATAAGACCATGTCGTACAATAGTGGTTTCATACAATTGAATGCATTTGGTGACAAATCCTGTAATAACAATGTAATAATACTAGTCATAAAATATTGCAACAGCCATCCAAGTTTGTCAAGAGTTATTATCACATTACATATATAATACTAGATGCTGAAAACACGATAGGGTAAGATTTACATATTTATTCCTGAAAAGAGAAGAGTCGATAAAATGGCCTTTGTCTGGCTACCAGTCCATCTCGTATTGAAATTAGTTAGCCCGTTATTTGTTTCAGATGCATGAACATGCTGGTGGAGGAAGCTGTAACGAACCGGTGGGCCACCCTACGGTGCAAGGAGTCCAGCAATCATCTCGCACATCATTATCCCCCACAGGATTCAAACCTGTGAACCCACGTTGGGTAATCAGAGGCGCAGTGGCGAGCATAGATAGAAACAGTTAGACATTCAAAAATAGGTGGTTAGCACATTACTATAACTATGCTGGGGTTCCAAAGTAAAAAACTACATGCCATAGCGAGTTCATCATTCAGAACAGACAATTGAATTTTAAGACACCAACGGATTACTCAGAAATAGATAGAGGGGAATAAACAACACAGGTACAATTGCTAAGTAACCAATGTTTTTGGTAGATTTCCTGATATATAAAATATAAAATGTTAATTATATATGTTGGGTGGAACTTATTATAACATATTGGAAATATTATAACATATATCATTTATATTAACATATCAATGGGGTGAAAGAATATAGGATATTTCTTTGTATGCCAACCCTATCCAATTTGAATCAAACATCCCCAATATGTATTATAAAGATGACTACCGGTAACTACATCACTTTTTGTTAGGACCTTTCTTTTTATGATGAAATCAGGAATGAAAAAATAGGTCATACAGTTGGAATAGAAGTAAAACGTTATAGCTAAAATGTTCAATATTGCTCGAATAAACCCAAGAACCATTATATCACTTACCTTCGACATCTTTGCAGCCAACTTTAGGGCAAGTTGATTGAATTGATTCCATGAGAGCACCATAATCAATATCTTCTTCTTTAATTTTGGGGAAGAGATCAGAAACAATACCTGGAATTGTGAAAATGATTGAATAGATGAGTGCTTCTCAAACTGTGCATTGCATCGAACTAATAATTTCATTTTGAGTGTGCTACAAAATATCAATCCCTTCAGAGAGAGAGAGCAATAAGGCAGACAATATTGGACACTAAGGCGTGTTAGAATCATTTATGTACAAAAGGCAATCTTATGTGTCACATTAACTAAATGTGCATATGTTTCATTAAAAAATCTTCTTGTCATAATTTAATGGTAATAAAGTTACACTTTATTTCCAATTCATCATACCCTGTAATATCAGAAGTAAATGAGTTTTTAATTTGGAAATTTCGGGAGCCTTTGGATTAGGTTTTATATATCCCTGGAGATAATGAAGTAATCTGACTCTGTATCACACATATTTTTACAGCAATTGGAATAAAATCGATCAAATACTGCATAAACAAAAAGAATTGCAGCAGTTATCAAATTGGCAGAAAATTACAGTTGATTACACCAAAATTCGCATTAACAGAATATAGAGCACAATTGGTATATCTTCCCTTATTAAGAAGTAAATCAAAACTATTCAAAGTACAATAAAGAATGTTAACAAAATCGAGTACCTCTGAAAAGTTTGAGATCATCGAGCAAGAACTTGGGTACATTGACATCTCTGATAGCACGCAAGCAAATCAATTCTTCATTCATTTCTTGATGTTCTCGCTTCAAGTTACCTAGATATAATTTACTTATTGAGATTTCCATTTCTGATAACTAACAGTTATTCTGATTCTTTGAATAGCTCTAACAGTCGTGATGGCTTAACTATATTTTATCATTGCAGGTAAGAACCTTGTATCTGGCCCTTGATAAACCCAAAAACCATAACATCTGAACCAGAGGGCAAAAAATTGAACAAGCTATATCAAGCAGAAAAAAATTTCAGAGTGTAGGCATCAAACACCTTAGAAAAAGTAATGGCATACAGGTACATGCATGATAACACTTGTCTATAAAGTAAGTAATAACAGAGAAAAACAGATGAAATAAATCAGTTATTAATAGTCATACCTGCAGCCGAAATGACAGTTTTCACTGCTCTCATACCAAAATCATAATGATCTTGCGAACTAAGTTGTTCAGATGATAATTTGAAAGTCGCGGTGATCTTTCTTGCCAAATGCTGAAAAAAAAAAATGAATATGAAACGATCTTATTAAGGCAGGACAAAGCACTGAACAAAGTTCAATTATGCAGACATGCCAACAGAAACAGATATTACAAATTGTGCCCACTGGTTGAAAAAAATACATCAACACAAAAAGTAATATCTTGCCAACCTTTGCATTGCTAAATCCAAAACTGTAGAGTGAAATTTCAGCAATCATAGAATAATCTGGAACCATCATTGCCACTGGTCTGAACAAAGCCTGAGAAAAAATAATTTAAAAAATGATAAAAAAAAGTATTATAGATGGATTTTTCCAAACTTTATAGGACATAATATTTCGAGTAAAAAAGACAATTTTGTGTATTTGAAATATAAAAAGTGCATTGCTCAAAAATGCTGTTTATTACTGGTCCCACCCACCCTTTGTCCTACTTGTACCACTGCTGAAAATGGATAGAAAACTTTAGAAATACAATGAAGCTAAAATCTGCAGTAGATTTTATATTATTGGGACAAATGGTACAAGTGGTGATCCTAAAATGATTTTTATTCAATATCATGAATTAGGCCAAAACTCTCGCTTTGCATAATATCATATCTTCAATCTACGGTATGTTATTTACCTTCAAGTTATCGGGTAACTCTGTTCTTCCAGCGTAACCCGGATTCATTGTAATGAACACAGCACATGAAGCTTTAAGATTCAATTCAACACCTTCAAACATGAATCTGTCAAGTCTTTGTTGTTGTGCTTTCTGGATTGTTGCAATTTGTTGAGCAACGACTGATAATACCTGGGCAAAAGGACAAAAACATCAACAATTTTTTATTCAGAAATTGCAACTCTAGTCAAATAAATGACTGCAAATATCTTCACTAAAGGCCAATACCAGCAGTTTCATGGTTTCTGACAATTGCCGAAGGAATTTAAACACAGTTGACGTGATTATCCTTTATTTTGACCTGAATTTTATTTTCAGCCTTCGCTAAATTAACCCTGTTCGACATAACGTAGAATATTTATAAACATTGAGGCCGACTACAAGTCTGTTCAGAACATTGTTATATTGGCCTAGCATGACATGGTTAAGTCGTCTTATCGACTTTCTTCTTCCCATCCTATCCTAGATAAATATAAAAATGTTGAATTTTGATAATATAAAGAAATCAATTATACTACCTCAATATCAATTCTGTTGAATTCATCAAAACAAGCCCAAGCTCCAGAGCTAGCAAGTCCTTTGAAAAATTTTCCCATTGCCATGAAATCCAATTGATCGCTGCAGTTAAATACAACTGTTTGAATAGCGAGTGCTTTTCCAAGATCTTTCGTTGTTTCTGTTTTACCAGTACCAGCTGGTCCTGCTGGAGCTCCACCAAACTTGAGATGCAAAGCACCAGTAAGAGTGAGGTAACATCTAGAATGATATATTTGTATTAAAGCGAAGAAAAATCATCAAGATGATTTTATCATAGTATAAGTGTAAAAGAGCGTAAACAACAAATACATAAGAGAGAATAGTTGTAGATAGAAAATTGAAAACAATTACTGGTATATACAGAAGAGCTCAGGTTGCTAACAATTCGAATTGGTAATATATTTTCCACGCTTCCTTAGCTATTCTTGAATATTGAACCTTTTCAAAACCTTTCAGATACACAACCCCGCTAAATCTCTTTAGTACTTTCTTTTATTAACAAGATAAATGATAAATAAGTCACCTAAAGTGAATTATCATTATCGATAATATTCAGCATGATATATCTAAGTCACTACATCAACTACAGTCTGTTAGTAATTCTTTGTAGATCGTGGAAAGTTAGTGGAGTATTTTATTTAATTCCAAATAGGTTCCTATTCTTATGCCATTATCAAGTATTTATACAAACTATAATTCTGTTTTGGTGCATATTCAGTAATCATGAACATAATACACATATAAAAATACATGCTCATCCACATACACATAAGTCACTTGATTTGACTATGAAGTTTCACTAATTTAACAACTCTAACAATAGTTTTTACCTGTCAGTCAATGGAGTGATGACCAATCTCCCAGTGTTACCCAGGTATTCATAGCCATATGCAAATTCAGCATTTACAGCACGAACAAACATATCATCCCTCCAATAATATCTCAACTGACTGATCCATTCAAAATCATTAACGGATTGGATGTTTTCATCGCGCAAGTTGCCAACAACATCTCGAGCATGCACCTAAAGAAATGGAAATTATAAAGCTCAGTTACAAAAGAATATCAAAGGCATGATAACGTTAAATTGAAATTTAGATCTCTATTTCCAATATACCTCTCTTCTTGAAATATGCTTTCACATTCAATAAACATAAAAAAAAAATTCAAGTAGTCAGTTTCAGATGATTGAGGGTTGGAGGTTGCATGTCATTAGTATACATAAAATTTTTAAGGTCAGAAAGAATAGGTACCATAACTAATATGGCACACACTTTTCAAAATTATTGCACTTGGGTTGGGATAAGATGGCTCTTGTCATTGCATCAACAATGTTTGTAGAAATCAACACAAATCCACATACGGTATATTAAAAAGTATAATATTTAGTGAGGGAGCAAGTCAATCAAATGATTAAAAAATTTAGTAAGGTAAATCATAACCCTTATTCCCAAAGATTCAGAATTGAAATAGGTTAGCAGTTTATCATTGCAGATGCATGACAATGAAAAGGAAAAAGTAATATACTGAAACAGATCAGTGTGTAGTATACATTTGTCCAATGTCTCTTATTTCAACATCTTGAGTCGAGATTAAGTATTGTGTACTCAAAAACCTTCCCACTAACCTCGATTACAATCAATGCAGACAAGATCATTCTTCCCAGTTTGCTGAGATTTCCTCTCACAAGTCCAACCAAATCATTTAACATTTCAACCAGCTTTTCATAAAAATTGACAAGATCATGAGCCTCGATAGCTTCTTCTACTGTTGATGCCCAATACACTTGAGAACCAGCAATGACGACTTGACCTGTGAAGCAAACAAGAGTTGTCTTTTTTAATCAAAATCAAGAATGAATACGTTTTTGAATTACTTTAATAATACTCCAAAATTAGACCACATTAAAAACCCTATTTATATTTCATTAAAAGTAGTACACAACATACCAGGCCATTGTAACACCCATTCAGTTCGTTTTGTATTTGGATAAGCTTCAATTGCAAGTTCACATTGTTTGCGAACAGATTCTCTCATGACACGTTCCACTTCTCCCAACCAATCTTCAACGTTGCCTGTAGGGAAAAGCTTTTCAGAGAAATCTACCATTTCACCTTCTCCTGATATCATCTGTGTCATGCTCATATCCGATTCAAATTTGATCTAAAAATGAACATTGTTCCAATGAATTAGACTGAAAGCAATGGTAATTTTAACAGTTAATCCAGTAAATCTTTTTGGGACTCCTCAATCAAATCATATTTTATTAGCCATTCAGGCAAACGGGCACAATAAATTGAAAGCAAAATAAAAGATATGTATATATATATGTATATATATATATATATATATGCCCAGTGGCGCAGCCAAGGGGGGGGGGGGTCGGGGTCGAAACCCCCCCTTTTAAATTTTTTTGAAAACAGAAAAAGTCGACGATAACGCTTGCAATTGCTTTCTGCTAAAATCGCGGTATGTTTTTATCAAGGCGGTGTGTTATTCAGGCCGTAAACGCCTTCTCGTTGGTATTTATTCTCCCTAAATCACAAATTTGTGCCACGGGAACAATTATAATTATTTTATTTTTGTACTCGCACGGAATTGTGAAAACTGAAAAAGCGTGCAATTGCCTTCTGCTAAAATCGCCGATTGTTTTCATCAGTGTGTTATTTAGGCCGTAAACGCCTTTACGTCGGTATTTATTCTCTCTAGATCACAAATTTGTGCCACGATAAACACGATGATTATTTAATTTTGTACTTTGCAAGGAATTGTGAATTCGGTGAGAGTTATTATACGTTCATCGGCGGCGAGGTTCTAAAGACAAATGAAGGAGTAAACCCGCGATCTAAATTTGACTGAAAATCGACAATATCAAATACAGAAAACAAAACCGTAAACAATACGCTATAAGATTTGTTGAGTCCCGCGACAGTCTAAAAACGCTTTTCTAGTCTAAAAACGCTTTTGAAAATCGCAAAATTTCGTGTGCCCACGGCACACATTATGTTTCCTCGCTGTTTAGGAACATACCGTCATTAAAATCGAAACACGGTTAATTGTGGGTGGGATCCATTACTTTAAAATTGTCGTCGAAAATTTTAGTGTTATCATTAAACAAGGTTGAAAACGCGATTTTTCCCCTGTTAGTGATGATATATAAGATAATTAATCTGAAGTATATCCATCAATTTTTATTCTACTGAAATAAATTTTACTCCATGAGAATTTACAGCAGATTTACGGATTTTTCGAAAGCTTTTATCTTCAAAAATAATCTGAGTGGCAGCATTGCGATTGAACGGAGTCAATGTTACAAGCACATCTCAAATTTGGCGAATTCGCGAAATAGAAAAAATACGGATCAAAACAATATATAATAGGGCAGTTCACCACACAATTTTATGCGGAATTCCGTGATGTTTTAGAGTGGCTCTTGTTTTGTCGGCGCAACCGCAGGTTAAATTGAAGACAATTAAATTAATAAAGCAGGACATTTTAAATATGCCCTTATCGGTCATGGATTGGTTACCTTGCGCAAGAGAAAAATCATTTTTCGTTAGAAAAGGCGGCTCTTTTAACAAGTGACGCAATCGCGGCGACTGTTCGGCGTGGATTTCGAGGCGGTGAATTAGTATTTTTGATTTACTGGTATACTTTATATCTATTTTCATTGTACGAAGTAAAATTCTACTGAACGTGATTTTATATCAGATATCGAGATTACACTAACGGCGATAACGAAGTCACAAGATTGCAAAAATACGTATCAAAATTAAATATATCAGGCAGCTTATCTCATTGTTTTATGTCCACGGCAGTAATGTTTTTATTTTGACGTAGAAAGTCGAGACCGCGAGTAGCGAGTTGCGTTGGGGACAATAAAATTAATATATACGTGAGGACATTTTAGAATCTCGTAGTTGTCATGAATTGAATATTTTACGCGACAGAAGCTGAAAAGGCGGCTCTATTAACGAGCGCGTGATCGCGGTGACTGCTACAAACGGCATTAGTAATTTCCGATTTTGAAACCCCCCCTTTTAAAAATTCTGGCTGCGCGCCTGTATATGCCTTTGCCCAGAATGGACAGGATAACCGCGAAATGACTTTTCAGTCTACTTGTCAGAGCTACCTTGCATTAGCTGTATGAAGAAAACTTATGAATACACAGTTGCAACAACATAAGTAACCTAAGAAAAGCATAGGCCTCAACCGCAAAGAGTTTTGTGGGCAGATTTGAGGCATTGGGATGGTCATTCCGTATCCAGGCTGAATAGCGACTGTCAAAACAACAACGACTGTCATGATGGTGACTTCATAATAGCGACGCAATCAAGTGAGCGACTGTCATAATGACGACCGCATACAGCGACTGTTATAATAGTGAGTGTGCGTGTACAAAAAGTTAAGTCGCTATCATAACAGTCGCTGTTTCAATGCGGTCGCCATTAGGACAAGCGCTGTTTTGACAGTCGCTCACTTGTTTACGTCGCTATTATGACAGGCGCTATTTGGAACCCGAGCTGGTCATTCATGTAAAGAAAAAACAGAACACCTAAAATTGAGCCCTGAGGGACGCCACAGGTAAGAAGAACAATTTGAAGACTTTTGACTGTCATTTGATGAATGCTCAAATTGTGTTCGATTCGTTAAATTGATAATTAGGAGACGCAGTGATATACCTCGTATACTTTAATGCTATAATTTGTGCAATAATACTTTGTGGTCAACTGTATCAAATGTTTTTTTTTTAAATGTATCAAATGCTTCTTTATTAAACATCTTTAAGGTATTTTTTGCAAAAAGTTTCAGACAAGAACTTTAGTTAGAATTTAAAACATCATAACTGTTTTCTTGACCATATCAAATTGAGCTAATTCAAGTCTTGCATAAATAAACATTTACTGGCGCGTAACACAACACCATGGTTGTATGTGGTTTCCATATCTCTGGTGTCCTCCTGTAATTTCACTGAGAATGAATCAATCCCTTCTGAGTGAGTGAGCATAACTTTGCTTTGAACTAAATTCTCTTATAAAAATATTTATTGCCATTCAAAGACATATTGTATGTTGTTACCTTTGCAATATTTTCGAAGCACTTTCTCAAATGAGGTTGAACAGCAGTAGGATCTTTAGTTTGCGAAAGAATTTCAAGAAGTTCATCATCAGACAGGAAATAAAATCTAGGATGAAAAATGGAATTTAGAAAAAGGACCATACGTTGAAGACTGAAAAAATGGAAAATCTGAGACAAATTTTAGAAAATATAGATAACTAACCTTGGGAATGCAGTTCTTTTTGTCTCAAGATATTCACTCAGTCCTTTCTGTACTTGTTCCAATAATTTATTACATTCTTTCAAATTCTCCAAAAGCCGAGAATCAGAGCAGAGTGAGATGACCTGATAAACACATTACTTTTCTATTAAGTATGTGGAAATAAATGAAAGGCCATTATGTTCAATTTACTGCAATTAGGATGGGACAAAACAAAATAAAATGACTCAGTGGCGTGTCCTTGATCAGCCAATAACTATGAACTAACAAGCTTTTGCTTTCAAATAAATTGAATTCAGATATTCAATAATTTGCAAATATAAATATCAATGTAAAAAATTTTACGATTCAAGCTCAATTTTATAAACCAATTTTATTCCATTACTTCATGTGTGAAGTTCACAAAGCATGAATGATTAAATTATGATAATTCAAGAATTAATGAAAAAGTTATTTACCATTCTTATTCTATTGGAAAGAGCAACTCTACCTGTGTGTTATCATTTGCATTCTTCATAATTTTCCTCCACATTCTTTCCATGGTTTGATATCTTTTCCCTTCAACAGGTAATTGTCTGTTGATATCTTCTGAACTGAAGATTGGTTCTAGGTACAGCCATGATCTTTGGCAAACCAGCCATTCATCGAGAACATCCTGAATTAAGTAGAAAAAAGTTGAGAGAAATGTAACCACAGTGTACTAGCATCGCAAATTATAAAGCTTAAGTCTACGGAAACTTGTGACAAAGAAGGTGAAAAACTTAACATATCAAATGTTTTGCAACTATATGTCAAAGGGCAGGGTGAAACATTTAAACGTTTTTCACTATGATAAAAAATCAAAACTAAGATATTCAATAAATATGTATAAAAACACACCTGTGTAAGTCTGAGTTTCCCTTCCCATGTAGTGATTCTATCTTCAAATGGTTTCTTGTATGGAGAAAAGGACATTGTTTGTGTCATCACAATATGATCATCAAGAAGTTGAGATGCTTCATCTGGTGATTTGATGATGAAAGTACCAGTCTCTTTGTATGATTTCACCTGTCAAATAGTTTTGTGTGAATGTTGTATTTGTGTGAATGCTGATGAAAATGTACAATTTTGATAGAAATTTTATGATATTCAAAAATTGTCAATGAAAAAGAATGTCTGTTCAAAATCCCAACCAAACAGATACTGTATTACAATAGTTTCAGAAAAAAAGAGTTTCCGAACTGTTTTGATAGCTTTACAGGACAGCACACGTCAATGACAAAATTGCTGTTGAAAATGGCATAAAAATAAGTAAAATTTAACTATTTCAAATACCTCAAAATTCACAGGCTCCCATTCATTCTCCATCTTATCAAGAGCTTGTTCAATAGAAAATTCTTTTCCTGCAACTTCGGCAACTTTAGCAATTTTATCGATATGATCTGCCAACTTCATCTCAAGACATTTGCTGAATGTGAGTGATGCCTGACAAGCAAAAAAGATAATAAATAGCAATAATCATACACTAAAATGATCAACTGAAATAAATGTCTATCATTTTGCAATACAAGTTGAAATTTGTATAAAAAATCTAGAGTTTTAGCAATTCATACTATCAAGTATCAAATATACTTATTCTCCCACTCAATTTCTCTGGCGCTTCATTTAATTAGAAATATTTCACATTAAACGTGAATACAAGCATGAGAATAGTCAACTATTTTCATACAAACTGTCATCTTTAATATTGTCAATGTGATGAATGTGAGTTCATTCAGATGATTCTTTCATTTCAGTTATATATTATGCCATGATACTGATTACACAGTTGGCAATCTTGGTACACATATCAGTTTTTGCTTTATATAGTTGTAAAATATTTGAATGGTAGCAGAAAATATATTGATCCACCACCATAGTCTAGTCATATTTTTAAGATGGAGATGGAGTCGAAATTAATTTCAACCTGAAGTGGAGGAGCAAGAGTCGAAAGAACAATTTATGTAAACCTCGATTATGCGTTCGGACTCCGCGTTTTTTAAAGTTGTTCCTGACCCCACCACACCCTTGCTTCCTCAGTAAAATTAATTTCGATAATAAGCGATATATCACTTGTGTTCATAACTTCAATAGGATAGGATAACAACAACAGTACAGAATCAAAGCCTCAGTAGTATGTGCACCAAGATGGCACACAACCTGAACATAGTATGTGTACCAGGTTAGGGTTCAGGTCGTGCGCCATCTTGGTGCATATAATCCGGGAGCGCCACAAAATCAACATGTACAGTATCTACCTTTGGTTGTACAGAAAATCCTAGCTCTTTAGACAACAAATCCCAGTGACGAATCCTCATACCAGGATTTCTCAATCCTTGAATCAATGGAATGAAAGGCTTGAAATCTTCAACTCTACCTTTCATCTGCAGAGCAACTTGTTGAACACCTGAGTTGAATCAACACACGAAAAAGTGAAATTAATTGATGCTAAATTTCTACCAGATAAAAAATACATAATAAATTATTGCTAGCATTGTAAACTTAAGATTTTTACTTGCTTGGTCTAATCAAATCGCCCATTGTCTTCATGGATTTAGCAAAGATTTGTTAGAAAGTTTAAAGTTGTAAACACGAGCAATCACTTCATTTTTAGATAAGAAAATTATAATGATCTAAATACGATACGACTTTTTCATATTTAGTCAACAGGGAACCAAGCGAGATAAATTTAAGCAGATTTTTCATAAAGTGAACCACATTCTCTTAGCCAGTTACCAGTTTATAATGGATTTTTACAAGATAATTAGTGATTTGATAACAAGCATGTTACTAATGAGTGCCATATTGAGCCAACAGCCAATATAACAAAAGATATGATCATATGTGATAAATAACTGTTCTAGTTGTTTACCCATTCTGAGTGATAAACTTCTCAGTTTAATTGATAAAATCAGAATAGGAACAAAAAATTTGTCTGACCAGGAATATCTTTGAACTGCTTTCCACATTTATGTAGAACTCTGAAGCTTTCGTTGACATTTCGTTCAAGTTGCTCAGGGTCAATCGAGGTCAGAGGATCATTCATCCATGACTCATGCCATCTGAGCCAATCAGATGTAGTTGTCCACAAGTCACGGAAAGGTTGGAAGTCTTTCATTAACTTGCCCAGTTTATCATACTGTGTGGGATTGATAGTGTTGAAGAATGAATGATGAAATGAATAGATGATTGCAGAATGATGGTGAAATGTCAGATATGAAAATAAAATGACGCAATGTTAGAATGTTATTAGTTGAAGTTAATCATAACACAAAATTGAATCGTAATTGATGTGAGACATAGTCAGAGCGCCAGCCAATGTTTAATTACCATTTTTTTTTGTTATACCAATTTTACTGAGTCTGGGATCAGATTCGAAAGACTGATTTGCACAGAATAGAAAGCCAAAGTCAAAATTTAGGAATGGCTAAATATGAAGCCAGAACACCGAAGTTTTTTGTTGTCCAAATTTTGTGGTCATAGGTTAGAAGCTCAAGCCAAAGTAAAAAAAATTGTGTGAAATTGCGCCAATCACAAATTCTAAATATTTTAGAGATTGATTTAATAGCCCTGATTGAAACAAGTATAATTCAAAACAGTGGCAAATAAAATTTAAAAATATACATTGATAAGTGTCTATGTTAGACTAATGGCAAAAGTAGATGTATGCATGGGAAACTTTTATATAAAATTTGGATGAAGCGTTAAAATAGTAAAGTAGCATGAAAGATCACTAGACAAATGCATCCATTAGTAATAGGTAAATGTACTGTGCATGCAAAACATTGACACACAATATAGTGTTATATGTGAATGTACTGACCCACAATAAGGTTTAGGCCCACTATACAATAGCAACATAAACAACTAGTAACAGGCAAACTTTATTTACTTCTGGGCCAAATATACACATATACAAAGCGTGCGAGCCATATAAATTTTCACCTGGAAGCAAACGGCACATTAAACTGTCAATTATGGCGCACTTGCGACTGGTTTGGCTTCTTCATCCAAAAAATAGGTACAAGCGAATAGGTTTGGAATGTTGCTTGAAAAATAAATATTTTCCCGTCCAAGCACTTTGGAATGCTTGAACCTCATTGCCAACTTTCCTATGTTTCCGAGACATTTTAAAACCAAATTTTAAAAATCAAAATAACTGAGCCAACTGATGATGGGAACATTCGACAAGTAAACAGAATACAACTAACATGGAGCCTACTCTACTTACTACAAAGCAAACGCCCCACAAAAACCAATATGAATCCGATCGCAGATAATAATAAATCTATGAGCAATTTTTGTTTTTGTACATTAAGAGTGAGGTCGAGGGCCACTCTGTCTGCAGGAGGTATGTGGCCTGAGGGCTATAGTTTGTCAACCGCTGGTCTAAACTAAATGACGGAAAATAATAAGAACAAAGAAAATGTAAATAAATTTTTCAATACAATTTCAAGTTTATCAATTAAACAATAATGAAACTCATTTTTTGACGGACATCATTTTGTTTACAAAATGTAATAATTTGTGATTCACAATTTTTTGGCTTGCTCATATCCAACCAAGTATCCATAGATAGTTCTAATGAGCATAGAAACAAGTAACATTGCTTTCAAAAATGAGAAAAATCTTACTCAAATGACATGCAGAGAGTGTATGAGAAATAATTGTTATCTATATGTTTGTGTACATTGAACATAATTAAATGAATGCTTTTACACACTGTGATTTGCAAATCTCTGTTAGTATTTAAGCAGGTCCAAATACGCACAATACACCAATGAGTATATGCAGAGAATGATAGATGTTCCCACTATATACACATCCATATTGCTTTTCATTCGGTCAAAAATACAAAGCATTATTAATGTGTTGATAATACCAGACTTGTATAGTGAAACTTCCAAAATATAATTTCACACAGAGTGATTCTTACTGAACAATATTTTATGATTATTTAGTGAATAACAATAATTGTAAATGTTCAAAACATGTATTAACTAAATATCAAAATTGTTTTTATTCAGCATTTTATGTGACATGTTGAATAAGCTTACAATCATAGTTTGAGTTCAAATTCTGATAGCTTCATAAGTTCATAACCTTGAAATAAATTTAGTTTCATAAAATTTTATAAATTTGAATTGTTTAAAAAGCAATAAAAGCCAATTCATTTCAAATCAAGCGTAAAATATTCTGAATGTATATAATCCAATTAGTGAATGCAAGAATAACTCCAAGTGAAATTTTTCCCTTTTCCGTGTTTGTAAAAAACTGCTTCTCGAAAACTCAAAGTAAATGGATTAAATTGACTCAGAAAATTACCAATTTCCGGATTAATGAAATATAAATATTTGAGTCAAATTATTCCATAGTGACCAGAGCATAGATGAATAATTTATATTCTTTCTCTGAGACTGCCTGAAAAAATACTGGTAAAAAAACAATAAAGAGGCAATAAGAAATAAAAGAATAATTATCCAAATGACAGTTACTTTGAAACAACAAAATAGGAAATTTTCATGCCAAATTGATCGACCAAAATCAAATAACACGATTTAGTAAATTTGTGGTTTTATTTAAATAGCTTTGTAATTTGAATTCGCTTTTCCCAAAGAATAGTATAAAAAAAGTCTTTTGAAAATTATAAATATTCTTAAGTCATAAATGTTTGAATGAAATTTAAAATAAAATTCAAAAATATTTTTTTTTCAAACAGTTAATAGGAAAGTCAGGTTGCGAGTAGTTATTTTGAAACAGACAAATTATTGAAAGAAAAAATCGATAGGATAAATGTGGTACAAAAATGACGCATTAAAATTTAGTAGGGTGGGGTTCAATAATATGACTTGAAAACCATGATTGTTCAAAAAAATAACTTCGCTGTTTTGAAATGAAGGCCTCTAAGCACAACATCATGAAACCACCCATATTTTGCTGGTTATAATTTCAAAAAGATCAAATCAATCATAATAATCAACAGAGAAAACTACGGTAACTGATTAGAGCATTTGTTACTATCATTAAGATGGTTAGAGAATATAAAACAAAACTTACATTGGTAACGGGCATGTTGAATAATCTTTCACGTTGATTGTAGACTTGTGCAAGTCCCTGACATTCTTTAAGTTGTTTGTTAATTCTTCTTACTTCATTTGCAACTTCATGAGCTTTATGGATTTCATTGTGAGCAGCAAAACCAGCCACAACCATCTGAAGAATATATATTTAGTTTAGGTACTGTATCCCCATACACGCACAAAATGATTAAATATTGGAATACATTCTAAATTTATGGTATTCGATATAGTAAATATATGATTGTTGAAATATTTTCAAATAATAATTTTTCAAAATTTATACCTATAAGCATTCAACATCTGATGGTCAGAGATGAAATAAACTTCAATCAATGTCTGACACAGAATATAAATTCCATCACAATTATGTCTATATTTTAACCCACGATATTATATTCAATTTCTATGAATTTATAATAATTTCTACATATTTCTTTTTTATATAATTTACATATTTCTTTGTTATCTACTACTCAATTACGAAAGTTTTATCGATAATAATCCACATTATTCAAATTATTATTTTAGAATCTATTCGGAAAACAAAATTATACAGTATTGGACGTCCCTGGTACTAGAGTACATTACTAATCTTTATGGGAAAATTATGGAAAATATTTCGACCCGCTTGTGTTATCACCAGAGCGCTGATAGCAAAATAAACGAAATTGCATGACTTACATTCAAAGTATCCATTTTATCTTGGAATTGATTTTGATCTGATAATTGTAGTTTGTGGAAATGTTCTTCCAATTCTTCTAATGATTTGTATGTCGAGTCCATTTGATCTTCCAGTTTTTTCGGCCATCCTATAGCAGTCCATCTAAGGCAAAATCATTATATGTTAAAGCTCACTAACATAAAACTGTACAGTTATCATTTTCGAGCAATAACAATAATTAGATTTTTAAAAATAACTGATATTGCCGATTTTTTTGATCCATTATATGCAAAGAAATGACCTGAAAGGCGTAGGTATTGTCATTTATAAAACTTCAGGATGCAGTTCTTCTTTAGTATAATGCTGTATTTCCTTACTTTCATAAGAAATTTGAACAAAATTCAAGATCCATCATGCTCTTCTGAAAGTTGTTAAAAAATGTTTCTGGGCTGAGATTTCTATTATTTTTGAGCCTTAATTGGCCATAAAATATACCGATTCGATATCTAGGACGACGAAATTTTCGTCGCCAACACGGTCTATCGGTACACACTTACATATTATTGTGTATCCATGGTATATTATTTAAACTAGTTCAGTGAACTGAATTAGATTTTTTGCGTGGATATGGGTATTCTCCTTAGAGCGTCAAACAAAATACGTGCGCTTCAATCAATAAGGATTGATTATCAAATGTAGAACGAAGAACATGAACTTGTATGGCATGACCGAAATAGAAATTTTTAACAGTTTCGTTAAAACAATGGACATGGTAATATTAGTAACTCGACTAGTGACCGCCGGCCGAGTTATTTTTATACTGTATTCGTTTCCAACTCCCAGAAATACAAATAGAAATAACGTCAGCACAAGTCTGAAATGTGGCCCGTTGATAGACTCTGAAAATCACGAGAATAATATATAATTAAAATTGAAGTCTATGTGTACTTATTAATGTAATACGGGCTGTAGCAAGTGCTGCGTAGCGAGTGTTAACTCCCATACTTATTCATATTAGAAAATGCAAAACTAGTAACAAGTAAATGTATATGATATTAATTTACCTAAATTCGAGACGATGGCTATAATATGTCGTTTGATTCAATACTAATCATACGTGTTCTACTACTATATGTTCTGTCTGTTATTAAATTAGCGTAGTGCAGAATAATTAGAAATATGTAAACATTTGTACATCTTAAGATAAGATATTTTTATTGCCATGTAAGCAATAATCAAATCGCATAGATTATGCGAAAGCGTAGAACCAAACCACAAATGGAATTGAAATTGGGGCATGAATCATTCAGGACAGTGTCTGGGTACAGTCTCTAGTCTAGTCTGTTTAATATTCATTAATCATTCTATAGTTTATTCAATCTTGGCAGTTGTTCTAACGATAGTGAAAGTTCTAACGATATTGTGACGAAATTGATAACACATCAGCGCGCGGTTTGTGTTCAAGTACGCCAAATATCGATCAAATCCGTCAGATAAACTGCTATAGTTATTTATAACAAACTCTCAAATCACACACGCAATGAAGTATATCGCATGGAAGGCCGAATACTACTATGATCCAGGAGTAAAAAAACTGGAATACTATATATAATATTATATATAATGCTTTTTGTGCGCCGTTCACTCCGAACGAGGCGTCGTGCAAGCAGCTGTTATGTGAGGAATTGCAGAAATCTTTCCGACGCGGCATTGACTATCCAATTTATTACACTCTAGATGAGTTGGTGAGTATGAGTTTTCAACCAGATAAACAAGTAAATTGGCCTAATTACTAGGCCTCCGCGCTACAAATTTATAACATATTTTCGATATAGTATTTTTCATAAAATAGTGCTATCAAAACATGGCATACTAGTTCAAAAAATACGTCTCATGTGCGCACGAAAGAAGTGTATCATGTGATCTAAGACGTAAGCACAAATAAATTACTTGAACTACTACTACGTTTTTTTGACTTCTTGATGCTTATAAATACCCATACTTAATTGTATATTTGGATCTAATTACAAACAATTCCTTGAACAATGCAAAAATGAATTAAACCATATTTTTTTTATCATTTCTGCGATGTTTCTTAAAAATCCAGTGACATTTGCCTCATCATTCTCCACAAAAAAGGATACGTAATAAACGTTAAATGTCATGAGACATTCAAACATTTTTTGAGTATTGTTTAGTTAAATTCTAGGTAGAAATCTATTGAAAGCCTACTTAAAAATCGTGTTTTAGTATTAGATTTTCTCGGAATCATAATTTATTGGTTTTCGATTTCCGGCTTTTTAAAGTAATGTCTAGAAGCAGACGGTGCATTACAATGAACGCTTAAGCGCAAATAGATATTGCATACATACACGACAATACAGTACAATTGAAAACAGCTTGCTTTTGATTAACAAGTTGGAATATTGTAAATTTAAATATTTCAAATATTGATGATTCAATATGTTTTTCAAAGCACCATGTATAACCATTGTATGTGATCGCGACAAAATGAAAACCGTAACTGTATGTACACCCGCTTTAGGAACAATTATTTTCTTGCACTTTTCCCAAACAATTATTGGCAACATTACTGGTTTTAGAAGCATGAACAAATTTCAAATTTGGGTAAATGTTTTTTATTAACGACGTACATGTATAGATTAATATAGAGTATTGAAGATATCAAAAGCGCTGTTGGTTCGTTACCGAAATTGATGGAATGGTTGATAAGAACCAGTGCCATATTTTAATAAGGTACATGATTAGTGTAGCAGATTTTTTTGTTTAATTTTTATCTTTTGCCGATATGGTTATAGTAGATTTTACCACGTCATTACCAAAATATGTTACCTTAGTTGTTTTAAAAAACAAGTGCCGGCTGAACGATATAAACATGAATCTGAAAGTAAAATGACAGGTAAACAGTTTTCCAAGTATTTATCGACAAAATTGTAGGAGCGTGTGAACACATTGACGTGAAGTCTCTATGTGCATAACTCTATTGGAATCACTATCCAGGTGAATACTGTTTCAGGTAAATAGTTTTTCAGCGTACATGTATCACAAGGAAATATAAGGGTGGAATAGAAGTTTGAACAGCCTTGGCACGGTACATTGCACAAATATACCCATGTGAGTTATCGGCTGAAGAAGAAATAGACGGACGACAAAAGTCAATTGGTTGTAATACATGATCAGTGAAGCGAGGTATAGTATGGATAACGTTGATAAATCAATCTGCATTCCGGTTTCTAAGTGTTTTAAAAGATATCAGAGACATTGTGATAGGTTTTATTGCGAAAAGATTGAAACTACACAAAACAACGAAAGCGTGTAGTCAGTGGAAAAACAGTTGTTACTGAAAATTTGAAGATATGATATATTTTGGGAGAAAATTTGGGCGCGTATGCTTGAAAATTAAGAAGCATGAGCAAACACGCAAAACCCAAATAGGCGGGGGCTAATATGCGGATTGATGTGTTTCATTTACGATTACCGTGGCGTGAATTCGTTATATCATACGACCGCAAAATGCAGACAGACAACTTAGTTCTTATTTGTTTAAAGATAAATTACAAACTTGTAATTCAAATTTATTCAAGTCATTTCCAACACAACAAAAATAATTTCGTTCTTTTTGGCAAAAAACAAATTGTCACAGTTTTATAGGGTTTGTGAACCTGAAGCGACCTGAAGAACAAATTACGTTAAAGCAATAAAAAATAAATAATTTCGACGTGAGAATAAAATCGAATAAAATCAACTACTTCGAGTAATATACAACTAAAGTACGTGCTTTATACCCTTGCAAATCGGTGAGGATAATAGTTTTTACTAAGCAATTCGTGACAATATGAAACACGAAAACATGACAGATGAAACAACGATTGGGTATAATATTATGTATATTATTAATTTACTTTGGGGTAATTGATAATTGTTTTCCGCTAAGCATATCGATAAAACTAAATTTCTTGTATCTGCATTGCGTGCTAATTTTAAATTGTGGCTGAGGCGTTATAAAAATGGAGCCACCCTCTCCTTATATATTATTAATGGTACGAGGGGACACAGTGTCGTGACTATTTGGACAAAGTATGAGAAATAAGCTTTGAGCTTATCTGCGATAAAGGATGGCTCAGTGACAGGTCGAATAAGGGTCTGTCAAATTTGAAAGAAATGGATATACAGCGTATTTGGTTGAAAGGATTACTATCATTTAAAGGCCATGACCAAACGTTGAAACCTATTTGGCTAAACGCGTAGCAAATTGATAAGAATAGACTAAGTCTTAGAGCGATCGATATGAGTGGAAGACGATGCCTACCATTACAAAAGAAAAACTTTTTAGCAAGTTTGAATAGAAAAGTAGGGTATGAGTGCAAAAGACGTATTAACATCTCCGGATATCTTCTTAGAAAAGCAGCGGGATAGCTATTCAAACAAAACGTAGTTTCCCAAGCTCCGACCTAATTTTGTGGTAGAGAAGTCGTTTTTACAATGCAGTAGACAACGATATGCGTCCAAAACAAGAATAATGGCTATTTTAGTCAGGTTAACGCATATATGCACAGAAACATGCCGTAAGTAAAGCTGAAAACGCCAAAGCGTTATTTGCAAAAACTGACACCTTTTGCATGATAGAACCCATTGTTCAAGAGAAAAAGATAGATTAGGACAAACTTCTTTCTGATTCTGAGGTACTCTCCTCTTATTGGCAAACCTATAATGCTCTGATATGTTTTCATTATTGTATAATCTCGCGACAGGATGACTAAACCTAACTTAACCTAAGCTAACAGACTTTAAGAAAGGTGGGGCGATAATAGGATGGAACTGATTTTTGGAAAAACTTTTGATATTGAGCGAGTCAAAGTGAGATTTTATTATGAATTTGCCACAAATAAAAGAAGAGATAAAGCCCATAATGAATCAAAATCAATTATATTTCCGGTAGAAACCAATTGGTAACATTATGATGGCCCTATAGCGATATTGTGTAATTAAAGTGCAATTTGAACTTCATGCATTCCCCAGATTTCAATCACAGAACTAACATACCATATTCACGTATAAATTTTAACTGATATAGATTAAGAGATCATTTAATGTTAGTTTAAACGAAAATGGGCCGAAGAAGAGCAGGATATCACCTTACAAGAAATTTATTATTGACTATATTAATCTGCATGATACTGCAGTGTTTAATAGACAATGAACAAACATTTGTGTTGGCGGGCAAAACTGCTACCAGGACTGGATTGGTAGCAAGTACATCCAAAGTTGGGGGTTCGTCTAGCGATTCGACAGGTATGCTTTGATTTGTTTCATATCCCTTTTTCATAAAGTAGAAATATAATTAGGAAATGTTTTGTCTGTACTCAAAAAGATTACAATCACTGAAATGTGCTTTATTTAGTCTATAGGCATAAACGAAATTAAAATGTTATTTATGCAATGTATAAAAGAGTCATATAATATTAGAATTCATTTTAATAAAAAGTAAACTAGAATTGAAAATGCGGTTATTGTCTCACTACTAATTTTTTTTGTACACATTTTTTTTTGGTTATATTAGAATAAGATAAATGAGGTTGTCGCTACACCTTTTCCTGTTTATCTGATGTTACTCAATTATTTTGTTACCGTAAACTGAAACAAACACAATAACAAAAAAAAAAACGGATCCGAAAATTAGTTTCTTCGACATTTTCAAGACATCGTCGAGTCGACTATTATTTATGTAAAAGTTTAACCAGCGAGTCTAATTCTAATTATATATATATTCAAATCGATATTTGAAGTTGTTTATTCTCCCTAATTATACTTTACTATTGTTAATATTCAGTAATCGTTCTGTTTAGATTTTCAGAATTCTGGAAGCGTACGTACTACACTCTTTCCAACGGGCAATAGAAGCGGTTCATCCCCTGTTGAACGTCTTCGATATCATCTTATGAATAAATACGATAAAACGTTACCTCCCGTACTGGACTACAGAAAAAGTGTTGAAGTCAAAGTTGACATGACTTATCGACAGGTTAGTTAACTGAAAACAGGCTTTTATAAAATATATCATTTGCAAGTTATCGATTCACCTTCATCATCTCACGATAATGGAATTACCATTGTCGTTCTTGGCGAGGGATTTTGCATTGTTAATAATCTTAAGTTCCATATTATTACTACGATACATATTAATAAACACATTCATTCATAAACTACTTAAACTGTTTAAAATCGAGAGTGCGACTTGCGCGTTACATCAGCCCAATATCCATTAAAGATTGAATAAATCATGTTTTTATGCATGATAAGGGAGGAATAAAGAATGAGCGAAGGGATTTATTCATTTAAAGTTTGGGGACCACTGAATTAGATAAAGAGTGAATATGTAGTCATAACTACTATATTAGTCACATTTTGAAGTCGGCTCTAGAAATGAGATGTAAACATTTAAGGTTTAATTTCGCTAGGATGCCTTGAACGTACTTTTAAAATAAGTGTTCACTTGAAATCCCCATTTGCTTTGAGCAAGATTATGTACAATACATCATCCGGGCTCAGTCGGTACTGCGAGGAATCCTTACTAATTGCCTTTGCTATTTGCTTGACACGTCATAGACGAGACGGAGATATTGAGATAGGAAATGGACTATAACCCTATATATCCAAACCCGCTAATTTATTAATGTCGTCCAACAAGCCACAAGGGATCCGTGATGGGGTGATGTTCATTTGCTAATTTTTTTCAAATTATATCTGATTAAAGAACATGCATATACAGGGTGCATAAGGTACATGCGAATAAGCGAAAAAGCGATTCAAAGTTGCTGCGGAAAACTCACCGGCACAAAATTTGTTAGGCTTCGCTTTGATTAATGTTGTATATGCTATGTTAGCGTCGTCAACAACATATAAAATGGTCATTTCGTTTTATGTGCGCTAAAATGTTTTTCATGCATTCAGAAATGTAGAATTGTTATTTAAGTGTACATTGGGGAACAAATGGAGACAAAAAATTCATTGAAGTCGTTCCTATTATTTACAGAATAGTATCGTAAACTGTTATCATTTTTAAATTATATTCATAATCTAAATTTAAACTGTTTTTATTTCGATTTTTAGTTTCATACTCTTACGTACTTTATGCGCCAAGGTCACGCGCAGACATTTGGTCCATACCTACCAGAACGTACGGTTTTAAATAACGGTTACGTTCGTCCCATGCGTTAACTGATAGTGTACTTTCCGAACCCAAATTTCAATTTTATTGTACGTAATAATCTCAAATGTTGAAGACATTGAACTGATCAATTCTGTGAAGCGAACAAACAACAATTAGGATTTTAATATGATCGTCCAATATCAATCACGATTCATGAATGGTGGAAATTTTATTTGATTTTGGTAAAAACCACGTCCATTGCCGCCAAGTTCTGTCAAATGAAAACACGAGTAATTATTTCGTTTGACCTTATTAAACCTTTTGCATATCATAGGAACGCCACTACATTGAATTATACAATCAATATGATCAAAGACGAATTCTAGTATAAATCAATTCAGCACACAATACGCTTTGTATATATTGGCGTGATGTACTACGACGATGAAAATGCATTTAGAAATCACAAATATCGTATATATACTTAGTTTTATGATGAAAAGATATTATAGATGCTGTAAACAGCAATAAACTATGTTGTAAATTGAACTTAGATACATAAGAAAATGGCACGATCCCTCATTAAATATGTTTTCCAGCTATATATAACATTTCGAAATAGTAATCGACCCATGCATTAAATTCCAGAAGAATGAAAAATTTTGAGTTTATTTCAATGCTTCCCACATGACTACATTTCAAATAGTGATCACATGCATTCATTTTTTGTATTGATTTGATACAACATAAATCTCAATTTTGACAGAATACTACAACTAACTGTTAATCGATATTTCAAATCAATTCAGACGCGAAAATGTCGTTTGGGTCCCAAATGAATCACGGGGCACGTGGCCACGACATGATGCTTAGAGATAAAAAATAAATATGTTATATGGATATGATTTCATAAAAACAATAAAGAACTCAAGATGCTCAACTAAAAAATAATGTAATCAGTAGTTAGATTAACAATAGTAAGAATATCTTAGATTCATAACTTGAAGTGAAATTTATGTGCATGTGCAATAAAATATTTGAATCATGCAAAAAGTAACGATGTTCATCACAATTGCACACTAAAAATCGTCCTCGAATTCATCATTTAAAACACATTTATGAGATTAATATTAAATAATTCTAACTAATTAACGGTAACTAAAATTTGCTCGATATGATTGGAAATTGTTAACTATTTGATTTTAGTGCTCATGGGCAATTTAAACTTAGCCACCAATGCTTCGTAACACCCATTTTTCGATCAGAATACATGTTGCATGTCAAAATGCATATTTGCATAAACCAGTTACCCTATTCTACATGAATAGCAACAGCAAAACAAACGGAAATGTCAAATGTATTAGGTTAAAACCTATTTGACAATCGTTCAAGATAAAGTCCATGAACAAATTACCCAGAGTGAGGTCGCTCTTTAAAACAGTTGCGTCACACCTATGAAATGTACTTATCAGATAATGTGGAACAGTATAAAAACCGAAACTATACCTAGGTTATTTCCAATGCAAAGTTGAAATGGTCACCTATGTCAATTGTCACCAAATATAATGCCACTTCGCAGACAAGACAGACAACATCACGAGCAACCGATGTGCTTCTGGCGCGCTCTTTTTTTAAACGTACGAGATCAAATAGACAGCATTACGTAATGAATTTCCGTGGAAGATACTAACAATTGCAGCAAATAATAGTTCAGTAATATGGATCAAAATCACATTGACGGTGTTGCAAAAAATCGGAAATTCACAATTGCCCTTTACACAATGTATATTTTTTTTATTTAATAATTGATATATGCTGTTTGAAATTTTATATGGAAATCGAGTCTTGTGTTATCGCATTAGTGACAAGCAGTCTGTAGTTTTAAATCGTCTCCATAAATATTTAACGAGAAGAAAATATTTAAAAAAGTGAAAAAAAAACGCATTTGCAAAAAACACAAATGCAAATTTGAGGATTAATAGTGTTGACAGTCGCAAATTTTGAAAACTTCATATTATACATAGAAAGATTTGAACGTTTATACCGGGAGGAAATGAAGATGACGAGCCGGCCTAATCATATAGCCTACCACGACCTCTGGTCATGTCACAAGTCCAAGTTAGTCACCTACGTGAAATTATTTCATTGTCGGGCAATAGTTACATTATATGTTAGTCTCTCGATATTCACTTTGTTTTATATTAGAATTTTCTCGAAAGTTACTTGTCATTTCATCGAAGTGAAGGTTCCACTAAAAACGCACTCAGCAACAATTGTTTCGCCACCAATTTTTCTAAGATTGGCACAATAAACGCTCAAGTAATTAACAATGACTCACTGATGTAAAGAGTGTGATGAATGTGCACTCGCAGTGGATTTTATGTTTGTATCATGATCATTTATTCAGCATTATAGATGTCGTTTTTTCTCAAAACAATAGTGTAAGCTCCCACAGAAAACGTAAAACTGCAATACAGTAAAAAAGTAACTGAATCTAAATATACAAATGCCGCAAAGGTAACGTAACGGGAATTTTTAGATATAATGTATTGTCGAGTAGCTACGTACTACGTACAATTTTTGGACCTCCAGAAGTATGTGCACCAAGATGGCGCACAACCTGAACATAGTATGTGTAACAGGTCAGGATTCAGGTTATGCGCCATCTTGGTGCACATACTTCGGGAGCGCCCAATTTCTATGAAGGTAACTGGAAGCAATGTACTGAACGCTCGGCACTAAGCAGACAACTGATGAAAAAATTCGTCAGTTTCATGGAAATCTATAGTTAATTCGTGTTATTTTTAATTTTCAGGTTCTCGATTTAGATGAGAAGAACCAAGTTTTAAAAAGTTTAATCTGGTATAGACAATACTGGAGAGATGAACATATTACGTGGAAACCAGAAGACTATGACGGGGTGGACGAATGTGAGTAGGGTAACAGTCAATATCATGATGAATAATGATATATGGTGGGAAACAGCTGGTCTGGTAGTGTAATCCACTTTTGTATTATCGGCATTGTATCGATCGCTTTGCTCCTTAAAACACTCTAAAATGTACACACAATGAAGAAGTAAATTAGGATGGATTTTTGTCTTAAAATGTATAGGTATAATGGTGACAAGGCAATTAATTACATGGGACATATCATACCTATAAATTTATAAGGATATTCGAAATATTCGCCATATTTAATTATCCATGTTTTATTATATTTGATGGCGTTTCCGTTACAACATTATACATGAATGTAGCTGATGTGCGAAGTATTGTTAGTTTGCAACCCTTCTGTGGATAATTATTGCATTTTTGGGTGCAGCATCGTAATTTTTCTTCGAACAAACAGGTATAAATGATAAACATGCGGAATTATACAATTTGTAATATTTTTGATAATTTTGAAAATTCAAAACTGCCCAAGCGAACGAAGTCAAAAATGAATTTTTGAACGCCACACGTGGTATATTGCTACAGTTTTGCATTCAAAAAAAATTATAATTTTGCTCTTATGGTAGTCTCATAGGAAGAAAAACGAGCATAACTTGCAGCGACGAGTTACCTAATTACATACACACATAATAACAACGATGCAAGTCTGAAGACGTCAAGAGATACAACAACAAAAACGTTGCTTATGGGACTCAATAGCATATAGTTAGGGCGAAACGAAAAAAAGACCAAGTTGTCGTTCTTAGGCCTTCCAATACCGGTAACGAAACGCTGACATTCGTGTCCATGAATTTGAAAAATGTTATCTTGTTTCACTATAGGATAGCTGAGAAATAATCTCAGTTAACACCGACCCATACAAAAGTTAAGTTTTGAAAACAAAACGGTCGATAGATTTTTGTGTCACGGGGGTGGTGTATCTGAGTCATCAAAAGACTGTGCGAAGCAAATTGAAATGAAGGGAGATTTAGTAAAAGCGGGATGAATGCTTCTAAGTCTCTTGTTTATACGACATTGTTGTTAGAGCATTCATCCGCAAAACCATTCGCGCCATAGGAGCGAGAACTACTGTAAAGGACCAAATATGCGGTCCATTAGACCAAATACCAAAAATATTCGGCTTTTCACCACCTTTTTCAGTGGTGCTTCTATACCGAGCCGAGTAAAATATCATATATATTTGAAATATTAAATGGCTCAAACCTATGTGATTAACTATCTAAACATGCGAATTGACCAGGGGCGTAGCCAGAAATTTTCAAAGGGGGGGGGGGGGGGGGGTTCTGAATTTTTTTTTCGCCAAGTTAGATTGAAACAGCTAGCGGGTCCGATCGAACACTGGAATACGCGTGTTTTTAGTAGTCTTGGGGGTCAAAAATGCATTTCAAGCTACGGAAAATTGCTATCTATGATACAGAAAATTGATGTTATTTTTTTTTTTAATTCCATAAGGGGAGGGAGGAGGGAGCGACCCGCAAAACCACAGCCCCCACCCTGGCTACGCCCCTGGAATTGACTACGAATATACGACGAAATATATCAACGAAAAAGGATATATATTTGGACTGAAGGTATTCAAAACAAAAACCAATACAACAATGAAGATCTGCCTTGAGATTTTTCCATGGTTAAATTACATATTCTTATTACTAAATTACTTGATGTATCACGATAGTCACGAGAAAATAAATAAGTTCAAACGAAAAAATATGAATTCCGGCAAAATTAATCTCAGATTCGTAGGAGCATTGAAAATTGAAATATCATAAACCTCGAGAACAACAAAATGAATAGCTCTAGCCATCTCAGCAATAGCTACTTTTAACGAGAATGCTTTAATATTAAATTCTCAATCTAAAATTCCCACTAGAGATATCATCACATCAATAATGCATCTGAATTACTTTTGATTCCGATTGCGGTTATCGCAGAAACCACTACGTCCACAACGAAAAAAAAGTATTGTGTCATCGACGCAAAATCTGACAATCAGAATCCTTATAAAGAATAAAATCACCGGGAAAAGCGAAAGAGCACATGTAATCGCATAAAGAATTGATAATTTATCAAAGGGTAGAAGAGTAGATGGATGGATTTCATTCATTATTTACAGTAATTCCTTCGGGTTGAGTGCGAGAAAGTAGATCAACAACACAAACTCAGGACGCGATAGTCGTTAGTAATGGTTACTCATTACCACGAAAATATCCATCGTTGAATATATGGAGGTGGTCTGCCTGTACCAATAAAAAATTCTGGAATAAAAATGCTTTATCCAAGTTATTTAGTGATTTTATGAGCATTTGTTTTGATGATTAGGTTATTTAGAATGAAAAACTACTAATTTCTTATTCACACAATATGTTGTGTAAGTCGGTAGTAATGGTTACTCATTTCAATGTTGAACGATGTCATAACCCAGTGGTTTCCAAACTGTCGGCGTTTTCTGTGTAATTGCCATTTTAATTTAGTAAACAATTACTTTTTTTCGCTCGCGATATGACTCGATACAAAACGATCAAGCCTGTTAACATAAACGTTGATAGAGAAATAGGACTGCGTATATCGCACAAAAGACAATCCCATGTATGGCATTGATTAACTATGCATATGTCTCTTCCTTGTATTACAGAAAGTAGATGCGTCGTAGGCTTAAAAAGTCACCTCTATCATAAGCAATGTCACACATTCAATGAAGGGAGATAATTTATTGACTCTTACAGTGTGGATTCCATCATCGAGTGTGTGGCGACCCGATATTGCCGTGTATGAAGAAGTTGGAGCACGTGATCTTTCACCACGACTACCATTCATCAAGTTGACATCAGAGGGAGATATAGAGTACGCAGAACCTTCCATCTTAGAAACGTCATGTAGTGTGGATACTGCATTTTTCCCCTTTGATTCTCAGGTAACTGTGACTAATTTCGTGTCTTTATTACCAAAACAAAATGATATGGTACCCTACCCTTACATATTTGGTCAATAACTTCCAACCTTTATGATGAATTCGTAAGTCCTCTAAAGTCCTCCCATGGGAATGACTAGTATGAGATATGTGCAATTTCAGATGTTTGGTCAGGTCACTGAATTGGAAATAAACTGGTTACAATCATACGATCAAGCAATCTTATTCCATTTCCTCTATCCCATTTTAGGATAAAAAAAATTATATTATACAATTTGTGACTTGTGTGACAAATACAAACTGTCCGGAGAAGAGAGTCACAAAAGATATTACCAAATGTCAATTTACTGTCTATTTTCTTTTAACCTACCTATGCCAAAAAAAATGTTATTTTTAAAAATATGCTAACAGGTTGTAATACTCATTTAATTTCAGCTATGCAGCATGACATTCGTATCCTGGACACAACCTGTAACACGAATTGACCTGAGTGCTAAACGAGATTCGGGACTCATAGACCTCGATTCTCCCCTCTATTTTATTGATAGTGGAGAATGGGTATTGCAGAAATTTGGAGTGAGGAAGCAAGTGAGTATCTGTGTTTATAAAGTTATGTTTACAATATTTAACAATATATTTGTAAGAACACGTATGAAGTTGAAAGGTGTGGATGTAATAACACAAAAATTACAGTTGTCATCATAGACAACATCACAATTTATGACAATGTCTATGAAGGTATCAGGACAGTGCTCGGTGGAAGTGTACTACAAAGTGAAAAACATATCAAAAATATTTTGCTAATTAATTGAATAAAACCAAATTATCAAGCAGGTATTGGCCAAAACATAATATTAGCATAATTTAAACTAAGTGATTAAGTGTTACACAAGACAAATCACAAAGTAATTCTGATATAATCTTCTTTTTTTCAGATCTCAATTTACAATTTAGATGGACTGTCGAACATATCATCAGATAATGAGGTGGTTACCAAACAACAAAACAATGCATTTTCCTCAGGGGTAACAAAAATGAAAAAGCAAAAACTAAAACAGCTTTTCTGCATTCGTAACATGCATGGTTTTGCTCAATATTAATTTTTCTCCGCAAACATGTTTGCATTTTAACAACTGTCCAGTAGTGTGCCTATATCTTTTTCTGTGTCGCATGTTGCACAATTTGCACAATTGCAGAAGCACAATAAACATTTGATCACAAAATGCAAAAATTCTTCTTCATTCAAATTTTTTTCATTTTTGTAATTCAACCAAATGTAGTTGAAATGAGGGTCACATATAATAGATAAATGTCTCCATAAAATGCCTATATTACACCCGCACTGCTATTTACAATAAAATCATTCAAGGGCACGTCACTTATGTTCATGATTGATTAAATGTAACAAGCCAGAGTGTGCATTGATTCAGTTCAAAGTAAACCATGTTCAACCAGCTCTAAAAGTTCACTTATAAATTTACTGTGTATTTCTTCCAACTAGTAATCAATTCTTCTATCATTAAGTGATAAAAGATAAACTGTTGCATGTGTAGATAGAAGCGTAGTAAATCAAAATCAAGTGTGCTTAGAGAACACTAACCACAAAAAAACACGATTTATGTGTTTGCATCATCTTGGAAGATGATGTAATTGAATTACAGAATGATAAATATTTTATAATATTAATCTAATTTATCGACATCGCTAAGCAAGAAATTATGTTTCATGTCCTCATTTTACATTTTAACAGATATACAGCCGAAAAATTGACATTCCATCTACAGAAAGAGCAACAGCATCCTACGTAAAAAGAAATCTCACATCGCAAATGTACTCAGAGGTAAATTATATATTCTGTTTTTTAAAAGAGTGATTCTATTTATAATAATAAACAGATAAAGAAAGTTAACAATACTAGTCAATACAAGTCACAGACATTAATATAGGACAGAAAAAAAATTAGAAGTTTGAAATTGAAAAATTAAAGGAGATAACATATAATTTTTAATATGATTTAATCCTACTTAATCAGTTGATTGAAGACACATGTTCGAAACAATCATTTTTTATATTTCTATACCCCACAGAAATAAGATTCAAAAACATGTTCAAAACGAGTTTTATTTTTTAATGATATAGAATTTCACCCATATAGAACTAATCCACATGAAGTTCATTAGAAACTGTATAACTATATAATATCAATGTATGTGGAAGTGACTAGAATACGAATCTTCTGCTAATATATATCAAATAAAAAATGAAACCTAACGCAATTGCATTATTTTCAGATTCGTTATTCCATCATTATTAGAAGAAATTCATCTTTGTATATGCAGAGTATGCTTTTCCCAAGCATTCTACTCACAAGTGTTGCCTTGCTGGGTTTTTATCTTCCCCCAGATTCAGGAGAAAGAGTTGGACTGCAAATTACTATTCTTCTTACTTTTATGGTTTGTATTGTTTATAATAGGTTAGGTTGAAAACAACAGCTTCCAGATAATGTTTTCAGAGAAAGCTAATAAGATTGAAAACGGAAATTGTAATGTAATTAACTTTAATATAATGTTAGAAAAAATAATTTCTGCAAAGTGTTTTAATAAGAGAGTGCACAATGATTTTCTAAGAATATCTTGCAAAATTATTGTAAATTACAAATATTAGAACAAACTTTTTCATATCTACAACTTTGTAGCTCAATATAATATGAAGTTCTATGAAATCAACTAATAAATCTACGAATAATAATATGGATGTCACTGTATCTAATCTATTTTCCAGGTATTCTTGCTCACTGTTGGAGAAATGTTCCCTGCATCAACAGGGCCATACCTTGGAATATATTTTGTGTTGAGCATGGCACAACTGGGAATAAACATATTCATGACAGTTGTTGTACTACATCTTCATTTTAAACCTTGCCTTCAAAATAAATCATCATGGAAAACTGACCATAAAGTTACTTCCTGCATGAGCAGCGTGGGTAAGTCACTTTCTTTTACATGGTAGAAAGTTAATAGCATTTTAGTATTGATGGACATATTGAAAGTTATATATTTCAGCTGAATTTCTATAGACTTTTAGAATTAACTTGAAATCAGTACTCAGTATGATAACAGAACAGTTATTTATTTTTATGAGATCTTTCACATAGATAGGTTCAGCAGACTTATCGGTTGGAATCAACACCACTATTCACAATGAACAATGAACATACAACTCACATTCGATTTTTTTTTTCAATTTACATTTGACAGATTTTGAATAAATCAAAACTAAAAAATACAGATGATTCTTGAATTTTAAATGCATAACCGCATGTATGCATAAAGACATCCTTTATCATGTTATTCTGATCTTGCTCTGAACATTTACAATCAGTAAATCAGATTACATGTCACTAAATTATTGAACATGGAGGCCTGAAGGGATTAAATCACAACTAAATCAAGCACCTTGGAATTGACACTTTCATGCAAATTCTATTGCCCTTAGTGTATTGAAAATTGATAAGATTTATCAACATGCCACTAACCATTTTGCGCTCTGAAGTCAATTCAACATTCGAGCAATTTGGTAATAATATGGATTCAAGCTAAATTTCGGGTCCAGTCTACTGTATAATGACAGTGTTGCAATTTGATAAGCCTGAAATAAAATGATCATCCGACTACAAAATCCCTCACCAACCATACTGTTTCTGATCATAAATTTGAATAATGATATTAAACATTAAAAATCGCTTCGGGATATCTTTTCTTATTAAGCGAGATATCTGATTAGGTAATATTTCATATACCGGTAAATAATTGTTCATTTATTTTGGCCAACTAGAATTATTAGTATTCAAAATTGTAAAGAGCAAGCTGAATATAATGATACCAAATTTTCAGTATAGTTTTTCAAAAACTGCATACAAAATGCGATAATGAACACATAATCCCATTTTCCTCTCACATTTACAGGAAGTACAAGGGAACCTGACAGTGCCATACCTATCTCATTGCGTCGGTTTTTACAATTTTGTAATAAATATTTTGCAATTGCTGATGATGGTGTTGCATGGATGCTTCCAATAACAAAATCAAGAACTAGATTACCAAGTGATAGATACCAAATCAAAAGAGAAGCAGATGAACGAGCACAAATACTAAAAAAAGAAAAACAGCATAACAGGACCAAGGATAAACAGGAAGAGGAAATGAACATTCAGAAAAATGGATCACAAGCTAAACGATATACAGAAATTGAAAGCCAAGAGTAAGTACACCAAAATATTGTCACTGTCAGTATTGACTTGCATAATTTATAACTATACCATATATGTTAATTGAAATGGTTGTACTAAATCTTTCATGGGTGCATTTGTGACCGCAGACTAGGGTTAGGAAACACTGTACTCTACTGAGGAGAGTCAAAAATAATTTAATGTTGGCATTTAATGTTAGCATCTCACTCAGTCATCATTACCAGCCCACAAGATTGGGCATAGTGAGTGGAATTAGATGTTTCTGGTGGAAGTAGAGAAAATCAGTGATTGACCAACAATGATATAGACCTAAAATTCCTCTTGTTACTGATCATGTGATAGTGAATGTAACACCACATAATCCTCGTTTTCTAGTCTTCTATCAATTTGTGCCTATATACTAGTGATTCGTCAGCATAAAGTTGGCTCAGATAAGTTTTTTTTTATTAAGAGGTCATTTCTAACAACACAATTCTATTTATTTGAGGAAACAATCAACAAAGGGGGGCAACTTGGCAATGGTGGATGAAGATCCACAATGTAAAGTAAAAATATTACAACCAAAAATATCTCCACCAAGCGATTCAAGTAAAAATGAGGAAAATGTCTCTCAAAGAGAACAAGAAAATCCAGAGACTGATATAGAAGAGGAAACTGAGGCTTTAGAAAGCAAAAATATGGGTAGAAAAGCAGAACTTCAAAGTATGATTGACAATTTTCGACTTGATGTGCAAGATATAGTTCAAGTTAATTTTGACAAAAAATTCAATGAAAAAGACACTGATGAGATCTTAGAGGAGAAGAGAGAAAAAGAACAAGAAGAGTGGAAAAGTGTAGCACGAGCTGTTGATAGGTTATTTTTCAGACTTTATCTTTTTATGATGTTCTCTAGTCATGTAATTTTAGGTGGTATTGCTCTGCATGCAAATTTTACTGGTGAATGGGAATTGTGATTTGTGAAGAAACAAAATGCGTAATAAAACCGTAATCACGAGAGCATTATAAAAGTAACATCAAAACTAAAATTTACAAATTTGAGTGGTTGGTAATAATTTGATTTAATGATTCTAATCAATCAACAAAAGAAATCATGAAAGAGATACAAAATATCTCATTACTGAGTATGTACAAATTGACCATTTAAAACAAATTGTGAGCAGTATCAGTAAACATTATTTAAAATGATTAGATTATTGACAAATTTAACTCTAGTATTATAATATTTTAAAATCCAGGGTAAAAAAGAAAAATGTACAAATATTTTCTTGACAATAGAATATTCAAGTTAAGCTCACAGTTAATGCCTTTTTAATAGTATTGACTACATTTTATATACAACTGAAATTCGTAAGCCATATTTAGCCTTTTCAGTCTTGATTTTTTTGCCTGGAATAAGGAAGGGAAAGTTATTTGTTTGCTCATGCTTTCACTTTTTTTCAAACCCATCATGTCTAGTTGATATCCTATCATGTTACCAAACAAGATATTTGGAGAGTTGAGATATTGAATTAGCTATGTAATTTTAATATTCATTTATTTTTTATTAAATTTATTTTATGCATTCCAATGCATTTTTTTTTTAAATTTGCATGCATTAATTCAGTGTCTTATTGATAAAGTGTTACTTTTTTTTGCATTTTCTCTTTGCATTAGTAGTTGCAAAGTAAAATGCAGTATAATTACACAGAGGTAAAACCATATTTTATTATATTTTCTTGAAACTCCAGGCTCAGTAATTAGTGAGCAATTTTAAGAGCTTGACTGTTACCACCTATCCTTGCAGATGGGCATTGTATCAAAACAGCTACTGTAGTCCAAATTCTTGACAATGGTACAATATAACAAGTGAATCATTCATTTTGAATAATGATTTACTTTCTTCTTTTTTATGTCCTTTTTGCGTTGTAAAACTCAAAGTTACTATGTTTTTTCTACGTATACTTCTTCAACTAAATTGGATCCAGGACAGATGAGAAAATATGGCTTATCTTGTTCTATGTTTCGAATACAACTCTTACATTCATTTCTTCAAGTATGTGTCGAACCTTTTAGACTGAAATCTTTGACAAAAGGTATGGCTGCCATATTGCCACTTTAGTACTGTTTTAGAACAACCTCTTTTCCGTGAATGATTTAAATGCCTGGGGTAGGTAGTCTATCTATTATCTCTTGAAGTTTCTATTTCATGACTACTATATTTTTGTATTCTCTTCCCTTCTGATACAATATTCTTGGACCTTTCAATAAGACTCCTCACAACAGCTCTATCATGACATGTTGGATGATTAGATTTAAACTTGATATATTAATTCATACAAATTTTCTGGTGATATAGTGAGGTCAAGAATGTTTTATACAATGTCCTTTCATTGATGTGTTAAAAAAAATTAACATTCCTTTTCATTATTAGGTAATAGTGTCATCAACATATCTTCTTTAGAAATGAGGCATATAATGAAATAATCGCTAAAAATCGTTTCTCCAATTGCATTCACCAATAAAAGCTACAAATCATAACTCAGGGGACCATTTTTGAGAATTTGCATATATAGTCTACCTCAAGATTCTTCGTCAAAAGTACCTTTGGTCTAACATAAAGTCAATTCTAGTTGATTATCAGTAGATATACAACGGACATGTATGTCATACAGATACACTATGTACACTAATGAAATAAACAAAAGCAATACATTACCTTGAGAGAGGGTATAAACCACAGCTTTGAAAGCCACTGACAGGGTAATTCTCGATTACTACACAAAATCAATAAATCACTGCACACATTGATTTTTTTCATTTTAACTTAGATTCTATGTCACAAGGTGAGACTGCTGTTTTTATGCTTTTATGACTAATGTTTAGGCCTCATTTGGTGAACTGATAACTATTCTGAACCACCATTCTGTGTACTTGTCTTGTGTTATCTTTTTTCCACCATGGTGGAGTGTAAATCTTATCTATCTTATCTTCATTCATGCCCTACCAAAAACCTCAGGATAATATTCGAAAACTCAATTATCAAAAACAGTCTACTCATCAGTTCAAAAATTGAATATAAACAACAATTTCCTATTTTATTATATGAGATCCGAGCAGAATCAACATACAGCCGATTGTTATTGCCCGGTCGATCATACCGCAGTTCATATTCTGCAATAATTTGACAAATTGGATGGATATTCTGACAAAATATAGATACAAATTTTTACTCACTTTGTTACAAAATCATCCTGTGAAAGATTGTAGTTGAATTCTTCAATAAGTTCATAATCAACCATCGCATGATCAATGACTTCAACATGGTTGATAAGTTGTTCAGGTACTGACTTCATCCACTCTCTCATCTCACTCAATTCTTCAATCGTGTTTGGCTTGTCATACAGCTTCCGACTTATGGTTTTGCATTCTTCACAAGCCTGGAAAAATCAAACAAACAAGCTAGATCTGCTGTGCAGCAACCTAAGTCAAATCTTGTATATAGAAAATCATTACACTACATCAGGGTTTCTCAAACTTTCATGATCCTTTGCTTCATTTCAACTTCTTTTCATCAGAAGATGATAAATGTAACTTCGATTTGATTATTGCTTTTACACATACCACTTCATGGAGCATTATCATACAAAATTTGGACTAGTCACCAGATATTGAGCTGAGGTTTGCCATTTATTTGCATTTCCTATTGATTGAATATCAAAATCTTGTCTTATAATTACAAACCTCTGTTGCTTGTATTCTCAATTTCTTGGCAAGCAATTCAAGCACAGCATTTGCTAGGGCTCTTCGTTTTTTGGAAAGAGTTTGTCGAATATTCTCTGTATTAAGATAAAATGCTCCTATTACAATGTTAGATGGTATGGTGTTTTCTAACATCTCTTTCTCTGCCAGATGCATGTCGATTTCTGCCTTTACTTGTGCAGCTGTGTGCTCTTGTGCATCAAAATCACTGCAAAGAAATAACGAAAGTAGAATTTATTTTATAATTTTCTGATTATTTTAAAATGATCTTTTTTTAAGCATGATTACACAGTTAAATATGACTAAGTGGTGAGTGTAAGAGTGGCTCTCCATCAACAAAAAGCTAATGATGTTTTCAATGAAATCAAACTTCTCATCAGACTCTAAAAAAATATTACAAAAACTAACAAATATTCATAGCCTATACAAAACAAACAGCCTGGTTTCAAAACCTCAAAAAAATATTGTTTGTATATATTTCAAGACATTAGATTTTCTAATATTATCAAACTTGCTACACTTTACGAGCCTTTGGAATTTTTCATTGTGGTTTCGTGCCACAAATAAGGTTGAAGACCACTGCTGTAGGGAAATGAGGGGCTTTGCACAAATTAGTGATCAGGTATGGGAGATATGCCTAAATTGCAGTACATTTTCTTTCCAAGCAGTCTTAGCATAATATTAATTTACAAATTTTGGAAAGAAATAATCATGCGAAATCTTTATTATTCCCATTTAGAGACTGGATGTCTAATTACTGGATGTCTAATTAGCACCATATTTGTAAGTCATTTTCTTCTGGTATTTAAAAAATACTACCGCATTTTATAAACCATGAGGCACACTGTTAAAAAATTGCTTAGATCTGGTTTTCATTCATACAAAAGGCACATCCGGGCTTTAAGACACAACAGTTTTTAAAGCAAAACCGCTACTGGATTTGAGTGTAGACAACGAACCATAGAGCACTACCTGATCCATACATTGGCCGCACGATCGATTTTCGAGAAGTGTGCCTTCATAAAATACAGTACTATAAAAATTTACCTTACTTGAAAATAAAAAAAAGATAAATTATGATTATAAAAAATGTATCATGTTCACAAAACTTACGCAATGTAGTCATCCACAACAAGATTGAATAAATCCAAGTGTTTTTCATAACAATTTGCATAAACACGCAATGGTATCAAGGCCTTCTGTATTGCATTCCTATAAAATAAAAACTTACAGATCAGAAACAAAATGTCTTTTGTCAAAGAAATATCTAGCTCCCAAACCACAAAACGTAATTATTTTAATTATTATTTGTTCAACCTCTTCCTCTCCATCATGTAATGATAGAATTTTCTAGCAAAGGATGGGTAAAAATTGAAATACATTCCAATTTTCTGTTAAATTACCTTCAGAGTAAATTTTGATGTGAAATGATTTTTTTGTCATTGGTTTGAATGACATTACTAATCCTGTACAAACTACCATACCTCACCACATTATCCTTAAATTCAAAAACAGTAAAATGAAGCAATAACCAACCGATCCAAAGTTCTTTCTACAGCAGGGTTTGCACAAGGTTTTTGGACCAAAAGTCAAATATTTTGCCCACCTAGGTTGGCGGACCACGTAAGTTTGACGTGAAAAGCTACATTTTATGAACAATATTTACAGTATTAAAAAAGCAAAAGTGTAAAAACAATAAGCCTCGTGCCAAACTAAATTCAATTGCAATCTCAACAAATTCCTTGAGCTATTTTTTAGATAAAACATCAAAATTTGGTTTTAGTTTGGTGGTGGCAACATCAGTCGAGCCAGATTGAATTACCCAACAGGCCAGATTCGGCCCCCAGGCTGTAGTTCGCCCATGTCAGGTCTGCTTTCATTGCTCTATCGTTAGTTTAATGGTGACCAACCTGATAGTTTTTCTGAGTTCCTCAATGTGAGGTTCATGAGCACCTACAGACTCAAGAAGAGGAGTTCCTCGCCAAAACAATTCCTCAAGAACATGTCGTTCAAGTTGGGGAACATGTTGAGTGGATCCGATTGCATTGTCAAAAAGTTTGACTAGAACGGTCTCAAATCCATCATAGGGCGTGCTGTAATGAATCCCATCTTGATCTGAAAACATACAAAAACTTATTATTAATAAATATATTAACAAAGGCCAAGATTAACATGATTACACTTGCAAAATTATTTTTCTTCCGAGACCCTATTGCTCAAATATTGAGATTTAACCAACGTCAACTACCTCACTCAGGGTCCTAAAATACAAGCTCCTTGTGAGGCTGCCTGTTCAGAGTGAAGAATACCGAGAGATAATGATTTATTTCCGAATGCATCATCAAAGTACACATCGCAGTAAAAAGAATAAACAAGAAGGTGTGGAAACATTGTAAAACAGAAAGAGTAATTTCTTTATCAATGTATCAAAAATTTGATCCATTTAACACTCTACCTAGTGGAAATTGTCATAATCTATCCTCTTCACTACTCTCTAGCGAGGTGGAGGAAATGGGACATGGAGTGAAATCTTTATCCCGCTACAAAACGTAGTTGACCAGACATTGTACCCGCTGTTCTCGATCTGTTTGCTATCTATAAATATTATTATATAATGAATGAAAAGAAAAGAAAAATGGTCCCGCTATTCACCTACTACAAGGTCCACAACGAAAAGAGGATTTTTCTTTGGTTTGAAATTTGAAACAAGTAAAGATTCTCCCCATGGTAAATCTTCTTTGCAATCCAGAACTTGATAACAAGCATCCAACACCATTTGTGTGAAGCTGACAAGGGAATCTTGAACGAGATATCGAAGAGAATCCTAGAAAAAACAAAATGATTTTACTACATGACACGAAAAAATAAAAAAAATCTGCGATATAATTGCTCATCACCTCTTCAAAATACCTCGCAAACTGATCAAATACAAAACAAATTTAAGGCAAATTATTTGTTAATTTGTAAATTTGTTATATTCTTGTATCAAAAAGGGTAATTAAATTAAATCAGAAATATTCAACAGAAAGAATCCAATATGTTTACATCACTGTCTATCATTGGTATCCAGTACATCAGAAGCTATATAGGGCATGATAACAGCAAGTAGCCAATTCAATGAATAACTAGGAGGCAGTAAACTATACAATTCATAAGGCTTATTCTAAAATGGAACTGAACAAAGAGCAGTTTTTCAAAATATTATTAAATTTTTTGACTTTTTGTTCGGTTTTGAGAGCAATGTAAGACCCAGAATGCTCGAGCTAATATCACTTTATTGTTCGCATTCCAACTCCTCCTATGTGTATTGATGGATATAGGCATGTAATATCACAATGCTTTACAGGCTACAGGCTCGATTAGAGAGTATTCATCATGTTTTTTCGCTTATCCTATGTGTCACAGAGTGTGATTGCCCTGTAGTACATTTATGTCGCATGTTAGAGGTTCGAAGTTTAAAATGATTATACCTCATTTGAAGTTTCATCCAAAATAAACTATTTTATCATCTATCTCATGCAATGCTATGTGAAGATAACAATGACATACCTGCATGCAAAATTTCACCATCTCCATGTACTTTCTCAGTTTTGAAATTCTATAAACTTCCCAATTTGATTCATGTAAATTGAACCATCCTTTTCCAACATATTGAAAACTTCCTCGTACAGCTGCCCTAAGAGTAGAAATCCAAGAATCTCTCAGAAAAAGTTGAACCTGAAAATAAAAATAAAAAAAATATTTTCAGTCCATTTTAATATAAAAACACAGCATTAGAATTACGGTAGCATCTACGCAACATCTGTTGTGTGCTCAAAAACTTGCAACTATTAAAGACCGTCAGATTCAACTGTGTTGCTATCAAAGATATGAAATTCTCCGCTCATGTACATAGTGCTTTTCTAATTTGAAATTGAATTGGTTAGCACTTGAAGTTGAATTTTTTGATAAACGTTCAACCATGTAGTTTCAAAGTAAGCTCAGATATATTACTTTAAAATTTAAATAAATAGGCAACATTGAATAATATATGAAGATAAACATTTATGAAATCCTTATTTGTACCCACTTTCAAATCGATTTTAAAGCAAACAAGAGCAGTACACATATCGCTACATACAGATTATTCTGAAATTAGGTAATTTGATTAATCTCCTGCCTACCTGAGTGTATGCTTGTGACTGTGTTTGTTCAAACTCCTCAAGCTTCATAGATTTTGTGAGGGTTGTGTTGAAAAGAGACATCACTTTGACCTTGTTACATTCAGCATGAACCTGCAATGACAGAAAAAGAAATTATAAACACTTCATATCTATTTTCGGACACAATATGAACTTGTGGATCATTTTGGTAAAATGTTGAAACAAATAAACCTCTCCTAAACCGCAGACCAATTGTCTCCTAAATGACAAACAATATTTCATATCTTCAATGGGATCCATTGTTTTATATGGAATTAGATTTTAAAAAATGTGCTAAGCCAGAAAATGCGAAATCTGATTTGCCGGTCAGTTATTTCCTTCAGATTTCCTGTCTGCCATGTTAACTAGACCCAATTTTGAAAATGCAATGGTTTCAAAATAAAAAGGTTTTTTCAAGATTGTAATTTGTTCAATGTCTCAATGAAGATTAATGTGACTGTAATGCTTGGGGATTCTCAAAATAGATAATCATTTAATATAAATCTAAATTGCCATTCGAAGCAGATTTAGAAAAAAATAATTTGACAATGTTATTAAGTGAAAAATACATGACGATGAGATAAATTTTGAATAACATCTTAACATATCAAAGTTCAATGACACTATAATTAAAATCTGCATGAAACACTTTAATACGAGGCTGAAGATTTTTCAGAAATCAAAAAATTTCCATCACACAGTATAGTGAAAGTAACACATACCTTACAAGAAGCAACAATAGCTTCAACCCTTGTCCACAAAGAATTAAAGGCAAAACTGTCTCTTTGATCTTCAAAGTCATATTCTGATATATCGTCAACACAACCTATAACAAAATTATGTAGTGTTTGGGAACTGAAGCAAATACCAATATGTAAAAATATAAGGACAATGTACAGAGAAGATAAAACAAAATTTTACAGTGGATTGGTACTTGCATGCTGTATACTTGTATATATATCCAATGATAAAAACTGATGAAATCCATAAAGTGAAGTTAAAAGTAAATTCCAAAATTTGAAGAAAAAAATGTTTCAAGAGGTTAAAAAAGGAAGCTTCTTACATCAGCAAGGTAAACTAAATGAACACCTTATAATTCATTTTTATGAGTTGTCAAATAACATAAAAGGAACAGTCAAACACAGTAAAAAAATTTGTGACAATAATTATAATATGTAACGAATAAAAGAAACCTCGTTTTAAAAATGCTAAAGCAAAATCTGTAACATTATATCATTCTTGGTTGTACTTCTAACAATTGCCTGTATTCGATTTCTCGTTTCTCAAATTTGAGTACTATAATTAGTCATATCTTTTTTGTCAAAGACAAAGAGTAAGGAATTGAATTTCATATCCAACAATTTTCCAACATAGATCTAGAAATTCCTAGTACAGGCATAGTATAAAGAACAAAATGAAAGATTTTGCTGTTCAAAAGAAGGTTGGGGTATGACACATTCTTGGGTGAAAACATATTTCGCTAGCATTTGGCCAAAGACGTATAGAACTGCCGAGTTTGGACTGACATAAAGATAGACAGAATAAATTGAACGCAACTCAAAAGTGATCGAAAAATCAAACAATAACAAACTGTTCATTTAAACATTTAATAAGGAACAACTGAATGACCACTACTACAAAATATTTGTTGAGCATATAAAAATATTTATGAGAAAGTCTTGTACTTATTAGTATTGTATTGAGATTGGCTCAATGATAACAATAGGATGAAGATAACTAAAAATATGTCTTGAATATAATTAAATTTTTAATTATTGATATAGGAAAGTCACATTCCTTTTCTGAAATTATTCAATTAAACTCAATTCCGTTCAAGTATATAAAATACTAATATTAAAAAAACACAGATATACCACAGTTTGATAACAAATTTCTTATATAGCCTATAGCCTACTATTGCTTGACCACATAACTTTTAAACTGTCAACCAGGATCAGACTATAACAATACCTTTGGGTCGGGTGATAATCTCTGTTGGTTCTGGAATGGTAACATATGCATATTGCTTTCTGTCTTTCGAGATGACTTTATCGAATGTTAACTTGTTCATTGAACGTTTGAAATCCAAATTTACTTGGGATTCCATTTTGTTAATACATTTCACGACACTGAAATATAAAAGTAGAGAAATAATAATTTATCATTCAGATTTTATTTTACTGTTGGGTAATAAGTATTCCAACACTCCTTTTAAAATACCATAAGAGCATGAAAACAAACAAATAACAGTGAGTGTCAATGTATCAGTAAAGATGAACATAATTCCCTGTAGTTTTACCCCGAAACATTCTTCAGTTCGTCTATACGATTTATAAAATTCATGTATGTTATTTTTCAAAATTTTATTTCAATATTTAAAAAAATAAATAAAATTCTAATATAATATAGCAACTTATCGTTAAAAACATAATATTTGGAAATCGCATTTAAAAATAATATTACTTGCAATGCCTCTGCATTTTTTACTGTAAGTACTTACGCAGGATCATCAGCTCTTAGATAAGGAGTAGACAAAGATCTTTCCTTCATTCCCTCAAACAACTTATCATCCAGTTTTAAGACATTTTTGTCCAAAGGCATGCAATCAACATACAAGTTGTAACTGAAAATAAATGAGCATATTACTGAGAGAGAGAGAGATGTATAATTACAAACATACAGTCATCAGAGTCATCCGATATTGACTATTATGTATAAGATTTACAGTTACTCAATGTGTGTAAACGACAAACGTTGTATAAAAAAGGCTACCTGTTGGGGAGTTGATTAGTTTTTTTACAGAATATTTTTGACTTTTTGCTATAAAAGTGTTGAAATACGAACAAAACCTGACCTTAATAGATCTGTCAGTCAGCATTGTTTATCTTGAAACAAAATCATTGAGAAAATAAGAGGCAAAATCAGTTTAAAACAAGTTGAAATAGCATCTGCGATGCAAAACCATTTCAAATTTGATAAAACATGCATTATTGAATAACATATCTGAAATATTTTCCATTGACACAAAATCAAAATATTTGTTTTTATTTTCAAGAAAATAATGTATTCATAACATAATTGAAATATTTGTAATAATGAAATTCAAAATTACTAGAATTCAATGAAGTTAAAGAAATCGAACATAAACATAATATGATGATTCACAATGCATTTAGCAATCCAACCAGATAATATTGGAGAAGGCAACAAAAAAATCTTGACAATTTTTTTCAATTTTTAATTCTTATCAGATACTCAAATATTGGCCAGTTTTTTTAAGAATTATATACCGGTAGCAATTTCTAGAAATAAGCAGTCTTTTTCATCTCCATGTTAAATGGGAAAATACTGAAATATAATAAAGACGTATGGACTCACCGAATCAAGCCTTCTGTATGTTTTCTCAATCGATATGCTTCAGCAACTCTGTGAGCAAACACATGAGGATCTTCCGCTCTGAACATGAGTCGAACTCTTGGAATCCAATATTGACCAAGAACATGAATTCGGCCGCCTAAAAAATAATACAATTTATTTGGCTAGTTGCAAAAATTTGAAAACATTCTAAAATGAATATTGTCTGGTTATCATGGTCCTATGAACACTTGCATTTCTATATTTATTTTATCTTGATTGTTTTATTCATTCAAAAACTTTGTTAACCACTCATAACCATGATAATCGACCACGTCAGGTATATAATCATATAAAATTCTGGATGTCAGATGTAGGCTATATTAGATTTTTTTGTATTGTAAGTGGTTTTCATAGTAATTGAGAAATTTATTTTGATGGTGATCTGAATAAAGAGAATACATGATCTTAACATTGAGGAAACAATGCAAAGAAAAACTTTTGTGCAATTTGCCTCCATATTACCTGTATACCTTCATCATTAAACTAAACAATGAGAGACTTCAATACAGTTTCGAATCATATGGGGAATAATCGCATTATGGTACGTAACTGCTGGTTGGAGGGCTGCTCGCAGTCAATCTACTTGAAATTACTTATAGATAGCCATGGTGAGCGGTACTTGATGAAGGTCTTTGCAGGTGGCCCCCAGTGAACAGCTCCTGCACAACGATGGGGCTGGGGGTTGAGAGTTCAATTTACGGATATCTGTCTTAAACTGTAAAAAACAAACCTGATTTCTTGATTCCGCCATTAACAATTGGATTTCCATTACTATCAATTATTCTTCCTTCATCATTTATCTTCTGCACCAACCACAATTCAGAATCAGGATCATAATCTAAAACTCCTACATTAACCCATTTGTACATGATACTTGGATCTTTAGGATCAACTGAAAATAAACCAATATTGTACACTGAGAAAACTTGTTTTCCTTTTAATGATTTCTATTATTTCTATATGAAAATTAATGAGGACTAAGAGTAAACAATTAAGAGTCTGAAGATGAGTTGGAGATGTTGGACTGTATTCTAATGCAGCAATGATGATAATATACATATTTACAAGTTTTCTCAGAACAAGGCCTCGTAAAAGCAGTCATTGATATACGAAGAACTACTATTTTAGAGTCAAAATTTTTAGCCAATCCAAACTTAAATTTTGGTAACATATTAACATTATAAACATTTTAGAATACTTTTTATAGGTGTAAATTGTATTGCGAATATACCTTATTCCAGGGATGAGTAATCTCTATCATATTCCAGTTAGAAACTAAAATTTTACCACAAACCAGCATTGTAAGACTCATTTTTCCACTTAAATTGCTAATCTAACCCAATTTTGTACCGACAGAAAATTCAAATGTTGATTGACATAAAATTCGCATTATTGAGCCATGAGTGTATTATTCATGTAAATTTTACCACAGTATATTAAAGTTTTTTTTTTATGTAGCCTACCATCTGACAGAAATTGTGTTTGACATGACAAAAATGTATCAATACATTCAACCAGGTAAAGTATACAGTTAGTTAGTAACAGAAACCAGGTTGGTTGTTTACCACTGCCTGATATAATAGTAACGAAATATGGCAACAGAGTAAGTATAACTTTGAGTTGGGTTGCGCAAGACTAACTCCCTATCTTTTTTCTATGCCTTTATGCTAGTGGATCTGTATGGGTATACTGCAAGGATGCTGTAGCTGGAATAAACATGAATATTCTATCCAATTACAGAGTCCAGTTGCACACTAACACAAAAGTATTTCTGTAACGTTTCATCCGATAAAAGTCAGACTTCCTCAGACAAGAAGTTCACAACAATGGCAAGAAATGAATGGCAATTTATTTGGATAGAGTAAGTATAAACTACAAAAAATAGGAAATCCCAGATAGGAAATTTCACATAGCCTACCTGGTTTAACTTTATCTTCTGTTGGCAACAAAGCTTTTCCTGGTACTGGTTTACGCACAGTGGGAGTTTCATATCCAAGAGAAAGCCATTCTTCCGGCGTCCTTGGATCATATTCTGTATTGTCAAAAATGTGTAGAGGAAGAAATGGTGGAAATGGTGCTGGATCCGGTGATCGGTTCAATACAACTTTGTGATCTTTTGGTTGTCGTTTTGGCATTAATTTATTTGAGTCTGGAATTCCTTCATGAGCAAGTAAACTTGTTAAACGCTGTTTCGCATAATGTCTTTTCCTCCTGTAAAATATTAAAATATGTAATAAATGATATCTAAGAATGACTTTTCATGATTTAGAAAATCAAGAGTGAAGTTACAACTTACAACCTATTAATTTGAAAGAGTCTTAGAGTCATTATAGACCAGCCTCGTTTTTTATAGCATTGTGCATAGATGATAATTGTATCTCCGCACTTGGCCCCGAATGTCCGAAACATCTGGTCGAAAATGTCTGTGGCCCAAACCTACGGTAAGTCAATTAAATCAACACTAAAACTAGACAGAGAAACAGAATAAATTTAGAATATAGTTAAAAATGCTCAAGTACATATACACCTACTAACGAAGAACAATGTAGGTAGCTACATAAAAGAGAATGGGGAAGATTTAAAATTGGACAATACTTTTGAAGCAATATGAAAGAGAAACATGTAATTTCTGAATGCAAGAACATGGGATTGTCCTGGTGCAGTTTTTTATACGGTGTCCAATACCGACCTTTCAATTTCAATTTTTCGAGGTGTGTGTCCTGGTGGAACATAGTATGGTGTTTGTACTTTAGGTTGCCAAGCTCGAACGGGGAAATCTGTTTTGGTTGAAAGTTCCGTGGTCGGACCATACTTTTGTCTTTTTATTTGATGTTCAAACTCATCATCATCGGCTTCAAATGTTGTAACTTAAACAAAAAGATTAGTCTGTAGTACAGAATAGTATCTCCAAAATTATATACATCTAAAAAGGTGGATGATAGCTATTGTGAAGTTTTTCTCTCAATGTTCTCTGTATTGAATAAAGTCTGCTGTGCTTAGCTACTGAATGCTGTATTGACACAACTTTTTCACACAAGAAATCTCTGCTCACAAGAAAGGCAATAGCTCTTGAGAATCGGAGTAATCATTCATGGAATTAATGCAGAGATTTAGCCTGATATGACTTTCAATTTGCTATAATTCACCATCATTAAAATTAGCATTGTGAGTTAGACAATCAAGTAGAAAAGTCGAAGAAATTTCGAGGTAAATTTTGATTCTGCTCTGCTGGGATCACAATTATGCAGAAAAGTAATTGTATTCAGTTAAATTTTCATTTGTACCAATTCGCTGTGTATTAACTTTATGATTATTTTTGATTCGTATCAAACATAATTCATTAAATACATCTAGAAACCATAAATGAAACAATATGTCAATATTATATGATAGTAAACTATAGAAAACTGTAATATGACTCTCTGAATTCCCTAAAAAAATGAAATGATGAATATCAGAAATTACTTTAAAGTAGCCTACTTTCATTTAAAAAAGTCTTTAAGCATCCTTACTTACCACTAGGCAAATGCTTTTGAGTTAAACTTTGCCAAAGTAAATCTTGTTGAGCATTTGGACCAGAATCAACATCCTGGAAATAACAGCAAGTTGGTATGCATACAAAATAATATTTAAACTGATGAAAAATCAAAACTAAACTAATGCAATAATATTTAAACTGATGAAAAATCAAAACTAAACTAATGCATTTATAAAAAATCCAACAAACAAGTGTTAGAAATACGCTCGTCGCTGCACCTCTGATTACCCTGAGTAGGTTCGAATGTTCGAATCCCATGCTGATATTAAGTGCAATGGATTGCTGGATTTCTCGTCGCCGAGCGGTTCACTTAACCGCTGGTCTGTTACAGCTTCGTCTGCCATCAAGACCATGCATTGGAAAACAAATAACTGACTGACTAATCCCATATCCGACATGGACTGGTAACTGAACGAAATCCCATGGATCGCCATATGATTAAACCCGTTTTATAAACTTTCTTCTCCGTCAGGATAAATATGTAAATCATGTCCTATCCTAACCGAAGTTTATGAAAGTTCAATAGGCTTATCTGAATGGAAACATATTTTAAAATTTTGCATTGCAATTTGCAATTCAGATTAATTCCAAATAATACATATAACAGATTTTTTGGATATGAAAAATCATGATTTGTGATAAAACAGAAAGTTTAATATCAGAAGTTCAAAAGTTTTTAAATTTGAAAAATTCCAATCTTTTTGACTGTTCAATTTGACCTTTTCCTATTTGCCTGAATATAATTTGCAGTCGCAAACTATAAGCAGCATATATTGTCTCTCAAAAATTCTGAACCAATATGTAAGTAAGTAGTATATTAACATCAACACGCCCATACTATAAGATTCATACATCAGAGCTATTAGGTCCATGCGTCAGAAACTTATAACTGGTTAACTATTCTCATACCTGACATGCACAACAGGCAGTCTTACTGGATTTCCTCTCCGAGATAAATACAAAAATCCTATTTTAGATTATAATAAAGTATTTGGTTCATATATCAAACGCTAGTCTAATACAGCATATTACCATCAGGGTATCTGTGGCTCCAGGATTTATGATATCGGAATAATAGCCTCTCTGTTTCATTGCTGGATATCTTGAATGTTGTTCACCATTCGTACCTGCCGTCTGTTGAATTAAAAATTTGTTGCCGCATAAATTGGATCTGGTGTAGTTTGTAGATCAAGTACTTCTAGTGGGCGTGGCATAACAATTTTTGCATATGTGAATCCTAACCCCCACCTGACTGCGTCATCCAAAAATTACTTCACTTTGACATCAACACAAGACCCCATAAATCCTGCATGTAAGAACAACAGTGGGACACATAAACTGCATATCAGACATAAAACATTATCAGGCATAAATGTATAAGGGCAATAAGGTATAAGTGGAAAATATAATACTGAAGTTTGGCACCAAGATAACTGAAAAGGGGTGAGACCCATTGGTTGTATCTGGCTACAGAGTCATCATAACAAAACCCTTTAAATTATATTTGGAGATCTTGATATTAAGTTGCATATCAGTATATGTGGTGTATTAAATTATCTTGTGAATTGCCTGTTCCTAAGAATTGATAAAATAAATTTACATAAGAGTAGGGATTCAACAGTCACTCGCAACTCTTTTACATTTAAACTAAACCTTGTATTGGGTAATCTGCATGTAATACCAAAAAATTCAATAATAATTCATCAAAGCAAAACATTTCAACAATTGAAAACCTGTGTTCTTGTTCTCAAACTGTGGTGAGATGCAGAAGATGCAAGCTTTCTTCGACTTTCCATTGAAGTTCTTGGTGGGTGTGGAGTACGAAATCCATGACTACTACCACCAGGATATCCATTCGGATAGCCGTTCATTTTGGTGGATCAATCTCAATCATGTGCTGATCTCCAAATAATCTGATGTGAAATACTCATTGAATAAACAAAAAAATCTGTTTCAAAGGTGCAAAGATATAATATTTATGAACATTACATTGTAATCAGATGGCATTGTAACCTTGTTCTCAAATCTTAATGCCAAAATACTCAATCTACCACTTCTTAGCAGTCAGACGACCAAATATATTCAGGAGGCTGAATTATGCAAAACGATTGTCAGAGATAATGTTCATCCATGCGATTCAGATTTGGTCGTACTAAAGCCTTTTAGCTGCATAGGAAAATATCATCTTTTGTGGACGAGCTGCTGAAAATTCCTTCATTCTAATGAAAAGCAATTTTGTCTTGAAACAGCCAAAGGAAAGGAAATCAGATTTGGTAGCAGATTTAGTGTCAAATCAATTTTTAGTTGGGTTTTAGACAAAGCTTGACAAAAGGAAATACATGCTTGTTATCTATTGCAAGTGAAATAACATTTACCTTTTATTATGAAATGGTATTTATAATAATAGTATTTCAAGTACAAATTTTTTGAAGAGGACAAAAAGTCTATCACCATAAATCCTGTCCATTCCTTTTTAAAACAATTCCCAACATAATATAGGGTGGTGTAGCCAGTCTGCGGACGATTTCATTCAAATCGCTATAAAACAAAATCCCATATTTCTAACCCGTTACTTTTTTCACCGTAGGTGCATTGGCATTTATTCTACAAGCTAAACCTCGAATTAACTTTCTACGGCCAGGGGTTAAAGCTATACAAACCACCAAAGTACGACACTCTGAAGACGTATTTGCAACCGAATGACCAGTGTGCGCCCATGGATTTCAAGCCTTGAACATCGTTTCTGCTGCGTCAAGACTAGGGCATACGCAGCCATGCGTGAAAAAAATGGGCTTCTAATTGCATTTCTGACTGTCATATATTTTAAGAACACGGTTATTTCGAACAAAATTCGTCAAATTATAAACAAAGCACCGCATCACAGCAACCAAACAGACAAAAACACGGTGGTCGCAAATTGGTCGACAAAGATATTATCATTGTATTGGAAATGTCCCCCTATTCCCCCTCCTTTAAATGTAAAAACATGAAACTTAACAGATGGTTGAAAGAAACACAACTCTACCCACCTGCTAAGTTTCATCTCTTTATCCCTTATATTTGTAAGGATTTTTAGGCTTTTTTAAAGGAACAATGGGTAGTTGGCGACATGGAAAAATGGTTCGTTTTTTTTCTTCAGTCGTGTTTTCGAGGGTAACTTTTTTGTTTGTGGCCGCATTTTAGTGTTATTTCACAGAGCTACGAGGGATAAGTGGACGATAACGCATGAGAAATATTGTCGCGGTTCGTTGATTTTTTCGGCACTAATTTAATCGATGAAGTTGATGGTCGTAAATAGGTCCTGGCCGCAAAGTCACCCTAATACAATGTATTATGCATGTACTCTTTCTCCAATATTATTTCAGAAAACTTTTGAGTTAAGTGACAATAGTGGCATTAACCTAATTGGGTTAACAATTCTATGAAAAACCTCCAATTTTTTTATGATTTGTAGTCAAACTATAACTAAGCAGAAGTTGGCCAGATAGACTATAGCAGAAATTTGCTGTCAGATGCACTTGTAAGGGTTTTTCCTTGGTAAGTGCATTAAAGTTGGGCATGACTCTATGAATTAGCATAAGAATAAAAATATGAAGATTTATGTCAAATCGCTAAATTAAATTTAATGAATTTTTTTATGTTTTCAAGGAAGTACATACAGACATAACCGAATTCAGACGTTAATTTTGGTTTGGGTTTTGATGGTAAGGACTTTCAGTCATTAAACTGGCAAAAAACAAGTTGTAGAAGAACTATATTAACTAAAATGTCATAATTATGACGGGATAATTTACTATGCCCACACTGATAAGGTAATGCACATTTGTTTCTCCTGCCGTGCCTATACTTCTCGTGTACCGGTACCGGTATTTCACAAAATGCAAAACTGATGTCTATTGTTTGCCTGCTTATTTAGTACTCATAGTATCTTGATAAAATACTGCAAACTATCAAGCAAACTTCGTATAAGTATTTGATACAGTATGATAGTACGCGGATCTAGCACTGAAGGCATTGGCAGCGCAGCAGTCGGCTGAAGACTTCTTACCTAGTTCGGCTGTTGGTGTTGCCATAACTACGTCTCGCATTTGCTTAAACTTTGCCCCATAGCGCCATATGCCGACGAGACGAAGAGACGATTTGAACCGAGAGGGAGATTTTGAAATACAAGAGCTATTTTTTAGTGAACACAGCAATCTTAATATTTCGAGCAGCAAATAATACATCCTAATCAAGTATATACTTTCTACAAGCATTTATAACGTATTTCATAACCTGGCAGAGAATTGAAATCACGAACATCCAACGAATCGATAGAAAATGAAAGTTCCTAAGATTTTATATCCATTGGAATCAACTGGTTGCAAGATCTTATTGATTTGGAAAAGGGGAAATGTTCTACGAATCCCCAAATTTCTTCGGGTATTGAATAAATAATAAAAATTATTTCATCTAATAAAATCGTCCGTTTTTCATAGAAGTAAATATAATAAATAGAATAATCTAGTACAATAACAAAATTAAAACGTCCGCTAACAATTTTACAATCTTGTGTAAGAGAGCAAACAACACAAAACAAATAAAATCAGATTGCGAGAAGACGCTGTTTACATGGCCATTTCTTTACATTGGCTTATACTTTACAATTGACAAGTGCCAATATATATAAATATATATATTCATATATATACCGTATTAAAACTACTCGGTAAATAGGACGAGGCCCGTTTTTAGACTTGAAAAAAATGGATTACCATTCAACGGCTTCTGAGCAGTCGCCGCGTTTGCGCATTGGTTAAAATAGCCTATAATGACTTTTTCTTGTAGCCTAATATTCAATCCATATCAACTACGGGAATTCAAATTGTCTTTCAATTTTAATCTAATTGTGTTCAACGTAGTCCGCGATTGCGTCCACTATATAAAAACATTACCGATCTAAAATAACACGGCAATCTGCCGACATGTTAATGTGAGATAAACGACCTGATTATATTTAGTTTTGATACATATATTTGCGCTCTTGCGAATTCGTTATCGCCGTTATAAAAATCCCAAGATCAGCTATAAAATCCCGGAAAGTACAATTTCATTAACGACAATAAATATACATATATATAAAGTGTATATATGAAACATACATATTCATCAACTCGAAATCTCCATGAAATGGAATGTGGTTGCTTCATTGATTTAGTTGTGATGAATTTAATCTGCGATTGCGACTATATAAATAGCATCACTGCTCCAAAATACTAACGCAATCCGTGGACATAAACATGTACGATACGATGTTGTTTCGATTCGTATTTTTGTAATTTAAAAACATATCTGAGCTGTTGCTGCAACAATTATTCCGCTTCAACATATTGCTGCCACTCATAATTTTGAGGATATCACGGTAGAAAAAAAACTTAAGTCAGCGATAACATCCCAGAGTTAAATTTATGAAAAAAAATAAATTAAATATACTTTACATTACCGTAATTACGGTATTATACATATATCATAGTCGCGTCAGGCTCTGTCGGTAATTGTGGAACACGAAATGTTTTTGTAATTTGCAATGTATAAAAATCATCTTTAATCTGTCACGGGCCATTCTAAAAGAAAACTTAAATGGTGTTTCCGTTTCATTTTTAGTTTCTTATTATACCGCTTTTAAATCAAGAAAATTTGGGTCACGTATTCACTCCTTTATTTATCTTAGCATCTTGCCACACATGATTATGTAATAAATAAAATTTGAGTCACATATCGTCACGCTTATAACCGAATTGCGTAAGTCATTTTTGGCGATTTTGAGTTTTTTTTATAAAATGGGTATTTATGTAATGCTACGCACCTGTCTGTTAACTCAGATTTTATTTTAATAATTCCAAAACCCATAAAAATGGAGATTTAGTATGACATGCCCATTTGTGCAATTGTTTCGTCATAATGAATTATCATTGTTACCGAAGGGCTATTGTGACGTCACAAAGGCAAAATAACCTCTGCGCAGTATTTTCGAGTTTTTGCATATCGGATTCTACTAGCTTAGCGCGTATTAATTTGAATTTGTACTACAGTATAGGAAGGCACTTGGGTGCACTTGTGATATTCACTGTCTGAGTCCAATTCACCTTGGTTGGCTTTTATATTGGGTGCATTGCTGTTTTATTCTTTATATTTAATCTTAGTAATATTTCGGTGGGTGTGCAGAACGTGTTATATTGTCGAAATATATATTTTTAAACAAAAAAAATGATGTAATTGAAACTGATTAGCTATTTTGGGGATTAGACATTATAGATACGGAGAATTACATTCGTTTTTGGAATGTTTAGTTTTCAGGACTGGTGCATAGTAAAGTTGCAAAATTGCGTATGTCCCCAAGTCATAGACACATTTCTGCTTAAGTCACAGTGCGCCATTATGACGTCACTTAACTGCGTCATGCAAATTAACTTAAACCCGGCTACGATAAAAAAAAATTGAACCATGGCAAATTATTGACTCTCAATGGCATAACAATATCATTAGGAAGTTTTTTACGTTTTTCTCAAAACTGCCAAAAATGACTTACGCAATTCGGTTATTAGCGTGACGATATTCTCTCCTTTATCTTAGCACCTTGTCACACATGATTATTTGATAACTCATATCTCACAACACAAGTGCCATGGTTGCTTAGGAACAATGAAGTAATTGTCGTTGTCCTTGCGGCACAAAACATGTTGAGGAAAATTTGCGACTGTATGAATAAATGCTGAAATGAAAGATGTTTACGGCTCAAATAGGACATCACGCTGCCCGAAGCAATTGTGATTTTCACAAATGGCAATCCCACGTGTATGGGTAATAGCCGTTCACTCGTGATGCACACGCAAATGCGACAACTTCGAATACTGACCTGATGAGGACGTTATGGCGGATGAAGGTGTTTTGTGGTTCAAATTTAGTATTAAGGCGACACCAAAAAAATGAAAATTATCATATATACTCGCCTAATGAGAGATTACATCCTGTCATCCAAATAATCCCAAATTGAACTCTTTTACTTATTAATGGAATTTACTCCTTTCTAATTTAAGAAAGAATATCAAGACAAAGGTCTACAATGAATAATTACAATTATAGAACAATGTGTAGAAGACAAATTTCGCTTGTTTATAAAATAATGAGTACAAAATGCAATAAGCTACAAACACTATTACAATTTATCAATTTTGTTCCCTTATTCAAACCAATTAGTGATAATTATTCTGTAAATATTGTTCATTACGAATTCTACGATAATTTTACGTCTGAATAATTTAAGAATAGAGATGCACAGATTTGTTTTAGTCGAAGATCGAGTTATGGCAGGCTGTTTATATGTTATCAGACAGACATAAGGTGTAGGTAATGGTAACAATTAATACCGAACATCGTTTTTGTGTCGTTCAGTGATCATAACAAAAGAAGAAATACCACCCAGGTTAGCGATCGCTCCCGGAATATCCTTTAAACAAACGGGTCGATATAGTGACTTGTCTTCAAATTGGTTGGGCAAAAACAAATCAATTTCGGTTATTATTCTTCGCGATTTTATGTCTATTATTTTGTTGACCCATGAGCAGTAAACACATCTGGACGTCTTAGACCTTTTCTTGTTAGTTAAACGTCTTGGGGGAAGTAGTACGATGAACGAGTCAAGTTATCAAGTTTATGTTGGAGGCGACGACGCTTTTTTGCCATTTTTCCTGATTGTTGGAATCCTTCTGGCAGTTGCCGCAAACCTCACACTCCTTGTGGCGCTACTGAAAATTCAAGATCTGGAATTTTACTCTTTTATCAAACTGATGTGTTACTTGGACCTTGTCGCAGCGGTTACTGTATTTCCAATGGCACTGACAGTTTCCGCGAATCACGGAGTCCTGAATAATCCTGTTTTTTGCAACATATATGGGATTCTCACAGCGTTTCTGAACCGTGCGTCAATGCTGAATGTGTGTGCGATAAACGTTGAAAGGTAAGATTGAAACAAGAGTTAAATATAACTTTTTCGTGGTAGTAGGCAAGATAAAATGTATATTTAAGTAGACCTACATAACATATCAATTCAACCTTCACTGAAGAAAATCTGGAGCTAAAACCATGTGATATTCGAACGAAATATAAAAATTCTACCCAAAAGGTTTCAAAATCACGAATCCTGCACCAATCAATGGTCAATATGAAAAAAAACACTCTACTGCAAAAAATTATAAAGAAGCCCGTTTTACATTTATTTCAGATATTATTTTATTTCCCGTCCCATGCACTACAATCATGCGATGCCAAGCAGTTTATCAACAGCTATAAATTGTGGATTGATGGGACTATCTCTGCTGGTGGCCCTAGGCCCTATAGTGGTTTCATTGTGGACCAACGTGGATGCCTACAAACCTTTGTCTTATGCACCGCTCTGCGCCAGCATCCCTACAACGGCGATACTGGTAGTATTGGGATATGTTGACGTTATTGTTTCATTCTTTATACCTTGGTGCATCATACTTGCCGTCAGTGTTGGTGAGTTTTAAAATATTTTTGCGATATAAGACACTTTGTTTCTCTTTAATAATATATTTATATTTCCGACACTAAATTGGAATAAAATAGTAGCATACGACAAAAATAATGCAGTGGATTAGAAGTTGGTTATTACTGCACTTGAAATTTGGATAATTTGAAAAATAAATAAATAAGAACAGTCAGTGTTTGTAGAGGTTTTTTGTAAGTATAGGGCATTTGCTTGAAGCCACGCAGACAACCAGTTGGTATATATACATGCTTTTAAATACTTTTGAATCTCAATAAATGTCTCAGATCATTATTAGGCAATTCTAATAACGACATGCTTATTTACAGGTATGTTGAATATAGGCCTGCAAAATCATTCACCCGTCTGTACAACCCATCAAATGCCGGCCAATTGCACGACCGAGTAAGTTTTAAAATCATATTCGAATAGGATTATCTAACAATTTTTAGCAAGTTTACATTTTTTAAAAGCGTATATTTTCATTCAAGATGGGCCATGCAAATCAACTCATCTCCTGGTGAAATGTCTCTCATAAAATCATCATATCTTCAGACTATCTGGAAGGAATTAATAATACGAGGAACCCAGCTCGAAATGTCCCCATTTTGTTCCTCCGACACGGCCCAATGGTAATTTGAAAGCTTTGGTAACCATAACTACATCGTTGTGTGTTTTCAACTGTTCTGAATGCACCGATGGCCGCATTCATTATCATAATGTGTTCTAGCTTTGAAACAACTCGAGTCGAAGCTCAGAAGGGCCCACTCTTGAATACATAGTCTGCATCACTATGTTTACAACCTATTTCATATATCCTTTGCTAAATGGGCTCACGAACAGGGAAATACGCATTAAAATGCTTCAAATGGTTCGAAATAGTATGAGTCTTCATATTATCGACATCGAAGAGATGAATGAGATAAGCAGCATTGGAAGTAAGGTGAATATACAAAGTCCTGTGAAGATTATAAAACACAAGAACACAAACATCAATATTCAAATAGTAGAAGCAAGCGTTCAAAACTCAAGCTCTATCAATGATGTATCGCATCATTTCCAAGCTAAATTGACATCGTCTAAAATTCAAGAGTCATTTACCGAAACTGTAATCGTCCATGAAACTACAAATAACATTCATAGTGAATATTCGCCGGAAAGAAGATCAACTGCACCAGGTGGTAAACGTGGACAATCGCGTGAATATAAAATGGCATTTGCCAGTAACTTGCCCCCACATTTGAAAACTTTCGTTGTTACACAATCCTGTCCTTTGCCAAGGAGGGGTCCCAAAAGATCAAATTCCGCCTCTGATCAATTAGGGCATATGAAATGTATTGCAATAAGGAGACGTTCGAAATCATATACCAACCCACCTTTTGGGGGTAACTCATCATATTACAATGAAAACAACAATAACAACAGGAAAGTCTTTCCAATTCCGAAACAAGAGGAGACGATAAACTTGCCTGGAATGGTGATATGAATTATAAAGCGGACATTGATAAGAAGTAATTTTGTGACATACATATCCCTGTAATTGCTAGTATTTATAGAGCGAGATTGGTAGGACTCGGCCAAAGCACTACTACTACCTGTCAACAGATATCATCATAGTGCTTAAGTCATAAATTTTTCGACAGGAACAATCTAATAGAATTACGTTAAAATTTATTGTCTGGTGTAAGTTTCGTGCAATATGTCCATATTATGAAAATTATGTACAAATAATGAGATATACCTAAAAAGTTGTGCTCAGCCGTATTAAAATGGTTTATTTAACTGAATGAAATATATTTGTATATATAAGCAACAGAATCCCTTGATTTGCCATCGTAGCGTAGCAGATGAATGATTATTACGGATTTCAACATTTTTCTATAACTGAATGCTATCAACACGTGCGGCAAACCGAAGTCGCTGATCTGCTAACCATTGATGATTTACGGTAACAAGCACTCATGAAGGCGTTTATTCCACGCAAAAGTCTGTTCACTCAATCCCACCAGAGTCTAAGAGCTTGCTCAGGTGGAGTAGTTCGACTGTCGTGTTAAAACTATTTCAATTTAGACGTTTCTTGGAAATTTCAATTCAATTGTGCAAATTTACATTACGTGATTATCAGCAACACTATTGTGTGTTATACGGATTTCCTTATTTGTAAGCAAAGTGAGATTCCGTACGTAATTCAAAGTTGAATAACCCGACTTTCGGATTGCTCTCAAAGCCACCGAAATTTATTTTGATCAGCCGAACAGTTTGCCTACGTGTTTCAACGGCATGAGTTTCTTGCACGTCAGTTTATGCAGCCATGTGCGCGCAATGCAGGACAAGGAAAGAGAGAAACGCGGGGTCGCAAAAAACGTTGTTAAGGGTTTGGGCAGATTTATATTATGTAGCAACGGTTTAAGGTAAGCATATGAAGCGGAATTCATGATTTTCTCTGGGTAAGTAGAGGTTTGATACATAGGCGTAGCCAGGGGGGGGCCAGAGGGGCCATGGCCCCCCCAAAATTTTCAAGAATTCCATTCCTAATCCACCAGTTTTGTGGCATCTTGTCTCGTCACGCTTGCTGATTGTCATTGTTACGTCACAAAGACTTGACCGTTCGCTCTTATGAGCCGTATGGGAAAGACTGTTTCGCAAGCTTTCGGTCAGTTACTCGGCCTTGATTTGTTCTCGCCGGATTTTTATTCGAAACGCTTGGATTTTGATGACCAAATTACTTCGATGGCTAAATTTAAACAGGCGAAATTAGATAGTTTTTTCCAGCGAAATAAAGACTCGCTTTCCTCAAATACATCAATAAGCGCTTCTCAGGCTGTGGATGCACCGGTTACGTCAGTCTATCACTTCTATTCCCGAAGATGAACTAATAATCAACGAAGGGAAAACAAACTATCTTGGATTCATTCTTAAGAAACATACACAGCTTACCGATGCGGAGAGATACAGGCTTCTAACTTCGGATGGTCCGAAAAACGTGACGATTCTGGATACTGTTAGACAAGGTCGTCGTAAATTTCTTAAAAAATGGCTTGACGATAACAGATTTTGCAGTTGGTTAGTTTACACCCAACTCTCTGATGGGGGTGGTTTGTGTAAGATATGCATAGTCATGCAAGCACGTTTGAAGCATGGAACTCTCAGGGACACTGCCTTTGTTACAAGACCATGCATTGATTACAAAAAATTTATGGAAAAGGCTGTAGCCCATCGAGACACAAATTACCACCGAGAATCAAATATAGCTGCGAAAAATTTTGTCAAAAACATGGAAACTGGTCAAAATGTGCGTGCAAACATGGAGGCCCAATATGCTACGCAAACAAAAGAAAACAGACGAATAATGACTTCCATTGTCAAGACTGTCATGTTCTGTGCTTCGGGTAACATACCCTTGCGCGGACATTCCGGGGATAGTGGAAATTTTGTGAACCTTCTTCTATTTTGAAAAGGCATTTCGCTCGAATGGCCGGAAACGCTAAGTATACAAGCCCGATGATACAAAATGAAATTCTCAAGATAGCAAGCAACATGATAGTGCAAGATATCGTTATGGAGGCTAATAAATCGTTTGTGTCCGTAATAGCCGACGAATCATGACGTGATATTTCTGGGAAAGAACAACTAAGCATCGTTTTGAGGTATGTGAAAGGTGGTGAAGTGTGCGAGCGCTTCACAGGATTAGTGGAAATGGATTCTGTTTCTGCCGAATCAATTTCCTCAAATATTTTGACCCACCTCTCTGGTATAGGAGTAGATTTGCAAAAACTTGTGGGGCAAGGCTATGATGGTGCAACGACAATGGCAGGTCACGTCAGCGATGTGCAAAAACGCATTCGTGATAAATACCCGCGCGCAATATTTGTGCACTGCGCTTCTCATTGTTTGAATTTGGTCATAAATGACCAAAGTAAAGTTGCAATCATCAGAAGCACCTGTGATATCATCCGTGAGACTATTCGTTTTTTCAGGGAGAGCCCTAAAAGGCGCGCGGGTTTAGGAATTAACATCCATTTGTTCTGCCCCACCAGATGGTCTGAGAAGTACAAGAGCATCCGAATCTTCAAATGCAACTTCAAACGAGTACTTGAGGCTCTTGATTCTTTGGCGAGAGATGCTAACAGTGAGGACGCGGGCGAAGGCTTTTTCTCTGAAATCTGCTCTAGAAAAGTCGTCGGTTATCTACGCCGTATGTTTGATTGGTCGATATTCGGCACTAATGGAGCCACTAGCGCGCGCACTTCAGGCGGTCGGAGTCAGTGTGCCGTCAGTAAAGAACCTCACATTCTCTCTTCAGAGCGTTATCGCTGAAGAACGCAATGACTCTGAAATCGCATTGAATATTTACAAAGAAGCTTGTGAAATAGCTGGCTTGAAAGAGTTGACAATACCCAGAGTAGTCGAAGTACAAGTTTATCGCGATAATGTCTGTGCTGATTCAGCATCCCAGTATTTTAAACGTTCCATATATATCTCCCATACGTCGACGGCTTGAGCTGCTCTATTCGGGAACGCTTCATTGACAACCCATCATTTTTTCATTGCTATCAATTCTTCCACCGAACAAACCAGTTCACGTGGATGAGGTAGAGCGTCTGTATTTATTGGATAACCTCCAGAATGAAGTGAGACTGTGGAGAACTTCTTTAAGTTCCGACGTTAACGACGAATGTTTGGAGGGGCTTCTTCTGAGCGCTCGAGATTATCCAAGCGTGTACACCGCAATACAGATCGTTATGACGCTACCAGCAACCACCGTTGAGGCTGAGCGGTCTTTCTCCTGCATGAAACGGGTAAAGACATAGCTGCGCTCATCAATGACGTCCAACCGCCTTTCTGATTTGTGTGTGCTTCACTGTCACCGTGAAATGGTCACCGAGGAGAAAATTAATCGATTTGTGTCGAGCATAGTTAGCGGGAAGCGGAGGATGGACTTTTAATCGGGGCGATGTATTTTACTTATTCAAATTGCGTTGTTAATAATTGTTGTTTCAAATAAAAAAATGTTTATTAATGGATTTTGTATTCACAAAAATCCAGCTGAGTAATTGAATCAGTTTGCTTGTTGAACAACTGTTGTTGTTTTGCGCTTGAAGAACGGGTGTTTTAAACCCAATATAATTTCTAAAATTTTCAAATTTGGCCCCCCCCAAAATTTTGGGCTGGCTACGCCACTGGTTTGATACTTTGGCAGAAATATTCTCAGTGTATTCATTACATCCTGCTTTTTGTATATTCAATGCATCTCTACCAGCCTCTGCGAACTGGAAGATAACGATTTATATGACCTACCACCCAATTTGATTTCTCAATAGGTCGGCTAACTAAAAATTTCTGCTGAGCATTCGTTTTTTCCCACTTTCCTTTCTAAAATGCTGAAGCGGGCTGACTGACATAATTCCATCAAATCCCTTCAAAAACAACCATTCATATTTTAGATATCTTAAAACAGCTAATCAATCAACAGAGAAAATATCGCTAAGTAGTAATATAGATTAGTAATAAAAGAACACAATCGATAAAAAAAAAACAGAGACAACATGACAATGAAAGATTTTCAGATAATTAACAATTCATTGCAAACACAGAGGCATATAGAAAAATTCTTCAGCTCAACAACATCAGGATGAAATGATGATCCACAATGGATAGTTTGGATAATTAAAGGGAAACATTTGTAATTCTTTCATAAGGCTTCAGTGTACTCAATTTTTTTAAGGGGGCAGTGAGAGCAAGACGAAAACCAAGATTTTAGACATCTTTTTGAAATCCTACAGAATTCTACCTAGCGTTTTGGCCCTCAAACAATTTTACAACAGCAGAGTACTACATAATCCAATGTGTGGAAAATGGAGAAAACTAATAATAATAATTTAAAAGCATCTAGTCTGATTGACTATACTCCCTATCTTCAAACACATGCTTGTCCTTGCCTTTGTTTTAGTAAAACATTTAGAGACAGGTTTGAACAAGATGATGTAATAAATGCTTTGTACGTTATATGACTCTATAATGTAATGAGCTTCATCAGAATTATACGAAGAAATAAGAAGATTTCCACTATTTTAAATGAATGCACCAAAATCGAGTGCGAAAACAAACATTAATAAGCAAAATTAGAATAGTTTTGTAAAGTATTTTTACACCAGTTAATTTGGGGAATCCATTTCGAATTTTTGTTTACCACGCCAGTTTTCTTACCACCTCCCATGGTCATCCCAAATTAATTATGAACCAAATAGAGATTTTATATAATACTGTTATATGACATTCAAAACAATATAAATAAATGGTTCAAAAATCAGAAACCCAAAGAAAATGTTTTATGATGATTTATTTTTGAAAAATCATACATGCCAAATTTTATAGCACAATATTACTGTTTTGTATCTTTAAACTAGTATGACACTTAAAAACCTTGTAACAATAAAAATGAAAATATCGTAACTATGGCTATCCCTGACAAAAAAATCTCAGAAATGCCTTTCTCAGTTTATCTCTCGTTTTGTTACATTTACGTAAAAAAAATGAAATGAACTTATTTACGATGAACTGCTAGTACTAGAGTCATCATCATAAGACGATGTTCTTTTTGCAGTTCCATTTTGTCCCAGAAGACTATTACGATCTCCTGATGTATATTCTCCATCTTCCAATAAAGTGTGATGATCAGAAGAGAGTGGTCGCTTTGCCGGACCTATGGATACCAGAATGAATATAAAGATTTCAAAAAGACATAATGCAAGAAGCCCTAGAAATCACAGAGACAAATCAATGAGAGAAAAATCAGTGGTCTTAATCAGGGATGACCAAAATGAATCTATACCAGAATACATTCGAAATTCATTATATTCGATATAGTAAATTTTGGAACTTTGAAAAAATGTAAAACATTTTTTATATAAAAATTTAGAATTTTAAGCCATCAGACAAATAGATCGAAACATATGATATCCAAACTGGTAACGAACAACACACAGAAACCAATGACCTATAAGATTGTCTCATTTTAGACATGATCAACAATCAACATGTAGATATAGTGATTTATGTAATTTTCCACATGAACTTGCTACCAATTTAAAATGTATTTAAATTCTTTATTCGAAAATATTTTCTATGCATGTATTCGGATTAATAAAATATTCGGTTTTGGCCATCCCTGGCCTAAATAAGCCAAATAATCATTAACAAAGTCAAAATTCGATTTGTCTATATGAGGCTATGTTAGAATGAGATTTCATAAATTCAGATACAATCGAAAGGACAGAATAGAAATGCAAATACATGAAAACTAAGGTTTGTTTCAACCAGTAGGTTAATTTAATAACCAAATAACCAAAACATATGTATCATCTGTCAGATTTGCTACCTATATTGAGATAAATGTGTTCTAAAATCAACAAAGGTATTTAAAAATTCATTATTCGAAAAATCTGACAAACTGACTATATTATGCTAATTTAATTGTGTGTATAAAGATAGACATTGATTCATGAATAATTAAAATATCATTTCTCTTACCTAAATAACTTAGTAATATAGGCAGTAAAATGAGGCCATGTGTTGCTCCAAGTACCACAATCGCCAGGTACATACGGAAGTAGAAAATTCTGAATATTTGAGAAGTACTGAAAGCCAAAATAGAAATTCCCACAAATTTTGTCAAAGTGATTCCACTGAGCACCTGAAAACAATTAATAAAATACAAATTTAAGCTTAAATTAAACATGACCTCCTTAGCATTGAGTCAATTCATTAAATACAACACCATATGTAATAGAAAAGCACCTACATAATCCATGAATCCTAATTCAAATAGGAAAATCAATAAAAAAAATCAATGACAGAAGAGAATAAAGTATACATAATGAGTAAATCAATACTTTCATGACGATATAGTAATATTTTCTAATGAAAACATTGAACAGACTAATAAAACCTAATTTACTACAATGTACTCCAATTTTTATTTTTAGAATGCGAGTAGAATATAATGAATTTCATCATCAAAAAATTTTGTCCAAATGTTTCTATGCAGTATTAGATTGACAACAAATTTAGGTCTTATCATAAACTTCAAATATTGAACACAATTAATTTCGAATTGATTCGCATTGAACATTTTTCACACTATGTTTAATATTACAATATTGCGCAAACGAGATAACTCTTCCAATGTCCCCAATTTTACACAAAAAGCTATAAATCCTTGACACAAAAAGTAAAATTGAGGTACTATAGAATAAAGCATTACTTTTGGGCGTGATTAGTCCTATTTAGTTGGGCCTATGAATGAAATACCCATACTCACAGAACTTCCCATTTCAGAAAGAGCTTCATCGGCACGAAGCAATCTACTCGATCTCTGACTGAGTGCAAACGCCCGAGTGATGTGAGAGCAAAATTCCACCGAAATACCAACAGCCTGAAAAAAAAAAGAATATCAGGCTGGAATTTAGAACACCTATATCACAAATGGGTTATGCTTACTCATCAAAGTACATACATTACATTTACATGCATCTATATTCCTGAAATATAATTTTTCTCATAAATTTTTTGTTACATCACAACTACAGTGTATAGCTGATGACAAAGAACAATGTCATTTAGTTCAGGTGTGTGCAACCTTCAATACAGGAGGGCCAGGTACAAATAACGAGTGGAGCCGCGGGCCGCACCTTTATTTGGTTGCAAGCACAAAATTTGTTTCTTTTTGTTATTGATCTTATGGCCTTATTAGGGGTCCTTGCAGAAATTATGAGTTAAGACGCATATATTCCTGGCGAAAACTGCTATTCAATTTAATTATCACAACAACTTAAATAAATTCAATGAGAAACACGTTTTAATGAAGTGTATTTTGCTAATATGGTTACGTTGGAACACTCGGGTATACCTTTGCGACTCAAAGGGATTGGAATTTCTTGCATATATCAGATTAAGATAAAAATCAAAACTTGTTTCACGAGCCATCCACCATTCAATATTGGCACTTCTCAGCGGGCCGCACAATTTTTCCTTATGGCCCGCGGGCCGCAGTTTGTACACCCCTGATTTAGTTAGTTTAGGTTTAACGTGATATACGATTCATGTCTTCAAATTGTATTTATTCAGATATTTTTTCACAATTTTCCCAATACATATTAGTACAAAATGGAATTATTATATAAATTATTTGAAACCCTTTCCTCAGATACTTCTCAATCTAAGTTCTTTTCAGAACACTTAACAATAAATATTTTCAAATACTTTTGCTTTTTATAATAAAACCTTACATAACAATCATATCTTATATCCTGTACTTACCATAACTAAATTTACTAATGATACTGCATTGAGCGGAATGTTCCATAAAAACATGACTCCAAACATGTTTAATATAATGAGAGATATTACTGCGACAACCACTAAGGCTGATATCAAGTCGAATCCCATCATGACGAAAACGATAACAAAGATGACAGCAAGAGAGATGGCTGAAAAACAATATTTAAAATGTTGATAGATGCCATGAAAGTATAAAGTATAATTCTTATTCAAGATAAAAGATAAACAAAACAGAATAATTCAGTATTCATAATTATTCAAATAAAAAAAGATTTTTGATTATAGAATACGAAATATACACTAAAATAGCTTATACTATTTTTCACAAATGATTGTATTTAAAAAAAAAAATTTTGTAATTTTGGGATAAACATTGTTATGATTACAGTAACTCATATTTTTGTCCCACTATCAAATGGTGCTTCCAGATGACAAATTCTCAAAATCTGGAAATAATTACACAGGTATAACCACTTTGAAGCATTCAAATACTCCATTCCATGAATGTTATATATCCACTAATTCTATGATCTATTCAGAATAATATCAACAACATGAAAAGAATATTAAGAATACAACGTGAACCAACTTACTTAAATTGAATCGTGTATCATCGACAATGGTTAAATATTGTTCATAATAAACGTAGAACACAGAGTATGGGAAGACTTCTACAGAACTGTTGATGGTAGCAGTTATATTCTCCGCTAACGAATTTGCTTGTTTCAAACATTGAATAAAATCTTGAGATGTTTTTGCCACAGTGTGATACGTCATAAAGTAAGTAGCTGTAAAAAAGTAGCAAATGTTAAAATTCAAGATTATTAAACAAATTTGAGACAAATTTATTTAGAACAATATTTGCTTGATCCCCAGGCCAGGGCTAATTAGCTATTTTACCAGAGATCCGTAACTGGGGTCTGGAGATATAAATTTCCAGGAAATACTTTATTTCACAGTGCCGTAACTTCAGGGTGAAGGAGTTGGTTGATGAAAAAACAATTCATGAAAACCCAGTTAATGGTGCCAATGGTTCAAAATAAATAATCGGAAGCGATCCGAATCAAAAACCCGAAAAGTCTGGATTTGAACCGCACTCGCAGGTTGAGTAGGACTGCTTTTAGGCTATCAGGGATATATAAAAAATTTCATAATATTCAGAATAATAAATATTTTTGACTGAATGAATAGCCAGTACGTTGACTAAAAATACTTTGATCTATTACGAAAGAAAAAACAAAATCATACCTCCAACATCTGTGTCCAGTTTATCATCTGGATTAGTAGAATTAATTATTTTCACTCCACCACCATACGCAGCATGTCCACTGTAAAAAAGGTTGGTAAATTAAACATACATCCCATTATAATTTTGAACGTAACAATATACAAATGTGGTGTTTGTATTATAAAATTTCATTAACTTGAATATGCATAACAAAAAATAAAAAATTAAATCGTAGAAATTTTTAAAAAGCAGCTAATTTTGTGAACTGGATGATATGAATATACATTTCAAACATCTATGTTCATAGAGTTATTGTGCTGTCAGTCTGTGAATATATCCAAAGCCTACAAAAGTTTATTGAACAATTTATAAAGCATGCAAAAAAAAATTTCCTAGTTTCAAAAGATTATCAACAAATGGTAACAAAGAATCCATTTATGACTGTTTCAATTTGTCAAACCGACTTACCCTTTAGCACAATTAGCTTCAGGATTGTCAAGTAAAAACCAAGGTAAAAACTCCATAAATTCATGAGCACTGGGCCTGGGATTATTGGTGGCTTCTGTCACGCTTCGACAGAAAGTACAATTGGCTTCATTCTTTGGTATCTGAAAAAGATAAAGTAATCCCATCAAAAAATGAAATAGAAACAATGAGAAAAATAATAAATTGAAAATTTTTTTAACACTATGTTTTCATGCTTTTCGCTCTGAACAAGTCACAGTATAAGAATCCACTGATATGTAACCTAACATTTTGTGGAAGGATAAGAATCAATCCGGATCGGCAATGAATACGCAAACTCTATTATACTCTGGGTGAGGTGGTGGGCATGACAATTGAACATCTCATGCTAACAAAGTTACGGTAGGTCTAAATGCTATGACCCCTAAGCCATGATGCTTTTACGACTCAAACAAATTGTAAGCAATCTAATCCAGCATGAAATATTTAATGTATCTATTCATTAATTTAACTATTTATATTTAATGTAACAAATTCAAACAAAATACTATTAATTTTGTTGATGGGTGACACAGTTCACAGTTCAATAAATTCCAACTAAAAAAAACACAAATTAAAATTCATTCCAATAACCTAGATGGGTAAATCTACACTTTTTTCATTAGCAGTGTATCCAAGTCTCAACTTTATTAGTATGTATTTAAGAAATACACTATTTGATTTATAGTCAAATCGAATAATATAACAACTACTCACAGTGGCATTACAAAACTTATCAGGTTCATCATTGTAATATCTGCAGCATGATGATTGTGGCTTCAACCAAGCAAGGTAATCATCTAACCATGATGAGGCTTCATAAGCAATTGTGGAACTGAAAAAATAAAATTGGCATGCCTAAAAAAATTTAATTCACAAATCACAAACAAAAATACCAGAACACGCATCAATACCAAAAAAACCAGCAGTGCATTTGTGATAATTTTTGAGATTAATATCATGAAAATCCTTAATGGAAAATAATACAGAAATTAATAATTGAACATGTTATTTCATCGTTGATTAACAGCCTAACAGGCATAAATTTTATATAAACACATAATATTTAATTACTATATTAAATAAGGCAACCATCTTTGTGATATCTATTATACATTCGAAATTTTTTTTAGATTGTAAGGAGACTAACATCTACACCCTTTATAACCATATGATAATAAATAATGAGACACATTATAATAACATTATTTGAAGATTGGCCACAGCGTTTTTTAACAACACTATATCATGATTCATATTATTCAGGAAATGTATGGTTGTAGCTGGTAGCTCGCGCATGAAAGAGTCAATGCTTAAAAAAAAATGAGAATCAGCAAATGAAGTGTGGTGAATTTTCTTTATAAACAGAATATCGAAATTCGTTCCAATGCCCAGAAGTAAAAACAGGGTTAAATTGACAGGACTTACTAATTAGGCATCTTTGAAGCATATGATATTTTCTGAATCAACGAGTCACTAAAACATCCGTTACCACCACAAATATGATTCGATCCGTTTACAGTTTTGTAATCATATCCTTCCGGTACGACAAAATATACAGGAGCACCCACAGCAAGGTAACTAAAAAAATTAGGAAAAATTAGCCAGAATTCCTCAAACAAACAATTTACAGCAAAAAAAAATGTGTGTGTGTGATACAAGATGTATGTACAATGCTTGTGAAATTATGACTTTGGCCAGGAAAAACTTTACAGAATAAAATCTGTGTGTGTGTGATACAAGACGTATGTGAACTGCTTGTGAAATTCTGACTTCGACCATGCAAAACATTACAGAATAAAATCTGTGCGTGTGTGTGTGTGATACAAGACGTATTAACCACTCCTAACAGCCGTTTTGAGTCTTGTTACAGTATCCTTGCACTCATGCAATACAGTAAATTTAGCAATTTCGACGATGGATTCCTTGAACATATTGAGAGACATTGCAATTATGGGACAGCGGGGGCATGACAGCGGTACAGGTAAAACACATAAATTTATATGGTGATCTAAGTATTATTAAATCAAAGATGCTGGTACATTATACCAGGAGATAAAGCAAAATATAGGGGCGTGGCAAAAAATAAAGGAAAAAAAAAAAAAAAAGTATCTTACTTGTTAATTCCAGCAAAATAATCAAGAACATAAGAATCACTTGGCATTGATAGTGATTGATCGAGTCCTATTTCAACTTTATGAATAACTGCTCCACTGAAACATGCCATTGCTGTGAATGAAATCAAGACAATAGGTTTGAATTTTTTGAAAATTAGCCTTTAGAAACAGTGAATGTCTAATATTTGTATAAGTTTAGTTTCCATGCCAAAAATAATACAAATAGAAGATAAAAAATACATATGCCAAGGATGAACATAGTCCATAGTTAAAATATTTTTCCAAAATTTATTTTTCATATTCATAATATGACATGATTGAATGACAAGAAGGAAGATTAATCTAAACAAGATATAACCTGGCACAATAATTGTGAAATATCTAATATGATTGTGTCATCACAAAATAGTTTCAGGTGGAGCCGAAAGCAATTGTATATGATATTTGACAACACAAAATGCCTCATGAAATATTCTTTTATATTGTAAGTAATGCAATCGTCAAAATAGATAATTTTATGATTTCAGTCCATGTATACCTTATTAGAGCAATTACAACTAAAAATATTGTTCACTTACCCATGAAAATAACGGTTAATATAGGCTTCACATATTCAGAAAGGACAAATTTTGCAACAACTGCTCTCATTAATCTATGAAGAATTCCTTCTGATTCAGAATCTGGTGATTTGTTATCTTGTATGAAACAACAGCAATCAAATCTGTTTGAGGCCTGTTATTACATTTAGATCAGGTATTTCATATATTTACAAATAATGATAGATTCAAAATATTTTTTTGAATACAGAAAAAAACCATGTTAAGAATGTCACCAGTAGTTTGTTATACTTCAAATATTAACAAAAATTCTTTTAAAGAATATTTGCACTCAAATAATATAGACAAAAGTTGTAGTAGTTTAACATACGGTACTTTAAATTTACCGAAAATTTAATCATAAAGTTTTTTAAATAACAAATTCACTTGAATACAATAAACAAAAATTTGGATTTGGCTGAAAATCAACTAAGTCTAAGTCTAAGATCTGTAGCATATTCATCATCCAAATGCCAAAACTATTTTTGAATTGAAACACATTAAATTTTCAATTACAATTACAAATTATTGAATTTGAGGTCAATAAGTGATTCAAAACTACAACATAAAATAAAATTCAATTCTCTCTCATTATAGCAAACAAAATGATCATTTATAATCTCTTCAACTGAAAGGATATAATCTGTAAAACAACATTTCAAATTACTGAAAAATGTTTATGAATATAGCAAAGTATACTACATACCTGTCTTTTCACGTCCAAAGCTAGCACAGCAACGAAGCAGGTCATTTGTAGAATAAAATCGGTTAAAACAGCCAAACCCGCGAACAATGAGAATGTCTTTACTGCAGGCATAGTTGAGAGACCACCTTAAGAAAAAAAAGGGAATTTTTTTTTAATATTATTTGAAGAAAAATATCTAAATTGACTATTCATTTTTAACATAAAAATCAAAGCCCATTGAAAACTAGTAAATTAATTTTATACTAAGGTAAATGATTTAGTCATGTTTAATTTCTACTTTTTGATTATCGTGTGAAGGCTTGTGACCAGGGGAAAGGGTTATAAAATTTCTGGGTACGGCCAGAGACCGGAAAACTGGGGTTTTCAGGAGCCTTGAGAGTCTAAGAAACGTTTCAAAGTACTAAAAATTGCTGTATCTTTTTTTACATATTAAAGGGGTGGGGTTTCCCCAGTCCTCCCTCCTGGCTAGGCCCCTGATGGTGTCAGTAGTGTAGGTATTAAGAAGCAGAACCCCCATACTCAAAATTACGAAAATCTTACCCAGAAAGAAGGCAAGAGACTCTGACATGGATGACATGAACATGCTTGGTGCTACATCACCGAGAATTCTGCCAATTTGATGTTCTGGTGTCTCTTTTTGGCTTCTTTCATCCCTGAAATTAGAAAAATAACTAAAACAGTGAAGTCTATATTATCAAAAATTTTATTTCAAACTAATCTAAATCCTACCTTTGGTAGTGTTGCACCAATATAAAAATATTATCGACACCAACAGCGAGGACGAGGAACGGTACAACTTCTACGATGATAAGCGTAAGAGGAACTCCAGCATAACTGAATATACCGAGAGATACACACACGGAACACAATACAATCAGTACTCCTGATAATCCAACAGTCAATTTGCATTCAATCTAAAGAAAAAAGATATTGGTGAAAATATTTTGATCAATAAAGAACAAGCTAATCCCGCTACAGAGAGATAATGATTTCCTAGTATAATTTAAATATTGAAAAATTAGTACGACTTATTAGGTGAAGAATTTATTCATCTACATATTGGTTTGACCCAGTTGTTCTCAAACGGTAAGGCGCGCCCCGCAAGGGGAGCGTAAACAATTTATTGAGGGGGCGTGAAGCTAATTAAAGACAAAGATTTTTCAAAGAAGATTTTTCCACACAATGGAATCATCAAAATCGTTTTTTTTTTACAAAATCCATTTAATTTTCATAATTCTAAAACACTAGATTAAAATTGTACACAGCTACCCCTTATGAATATTAAATTTTGCTGTATTTGTTGAGTTGAAAGCAGTTGAGTCTTAACTACCTAAACACAAATACCCACCATTATTCTACCAGCGTGGCAATTTGAAAATTTTCCGAGAGCAATTGCAACATATGCAAACATGATTAAATAAGACGTAGCAATGGTCATAATGTCAGCACCAGATTCCCTGTTGATCTCATCTTCTATGGAACGCTCAGATGAAAAAGCGACAGTGAGATTGTCACTTGTGTAGTTTTTCATGAATTCGATAAATCTGAAAAATTTAGATTTAATAATAAGTGAAAACATTTCTGAAGTTTTTCAAGGCTTCATCATGAGCAAGGATCTGACCAAGCAGTAACTGATAAATACTGCAGGGTAACCTCGAAAAATAAAGTGTCCTAGATTCCCGAAACATTTGAGTACAATAATATATTAACAAGTTCAAGTGTTGAATAAATTTTCTTTATTTTGGTAGCAGTCTTTAAGAAATTTACTGTTCTGTTTTGGAGTCACCATGTATATTTGAAGAAAATAAAAAAAATTTCGGTTCTGCAAAAATAAACACATTCCCTACATTGTGATTGAGATGGTGACCTTGAAGTTTGAAACCGAGATCTTCAACATGAAAGTCTTGACAACAACATAGTCAGGTATCAAGCAGTTTTGGGGCAAACCGAGTCCTTAACTTAAATAGAGTTGGATGCAGGTCACCATTCATCAATGACTCGAAGTAACTCGAGTCATCTAACTGAAATAATTACGAATTGTACTCAAATACCTGCTAGTGAGACTTGGCTCAGTTATCCAACTCAACCTTGTCAAGAGACTGGAATGACGAACGATTAGACATAATTTGACTCAAAATTTTTAAGGAATATACCCAACACTGGTACATAGTTTCATTCCAAAACAAATATCTTATTATCATCATCTTACTTTTTCTCCCAAACTAAAGCCCTTCCTAACTTCTTTTTATCATTGTAGATGTTGTTCACAGAAAAAGTGATAACAACTGCAGTTGCATTCAGATAATTTTGTTCATCGAATCCGCCAAGCCCCACCCAAGGGAAAACTGGACCCCCATATGTGCCGAGACAACTCATGTGGAGTTTTGTAGCATCATCGGGAACAGTTGGGCCACTGTAACAAAATTGAAATTATGGTATTAAATCCATTTGATATAAAACAAGTGATAAGAAATATACTTTTAGAATCGCCCTCAATTAACGATTGATGTAATATCACCTATGCAATAGATATTTCCCTGATTCATGGCTTCATAAATTTTTTCATATAATTTACCATTGCGAAATGTTTGATGCCTTTTTTGAGTGTATTACATTGAATTAGGATTAGAGTGTGTAAAGGGGTATGCAACTTCCAGACGCACAACAACCATGCTTGAAAATCTGTCACATTAAAATAAGTGACTATGAGGCACCTAAAATTTCAATTGTTGCGTTATTGCTAGGGCATTACAACGAAAGTAAACAAGGAAGTCGATGCTACGGGAAACATCTATTACTAATACTATTTTCAGAACAGAGAATAAGTCACAATGCTGGGCAATTTTTTATGAATCGATAAAAGATGCTATTATAAGAGAAAAGTTATTCAAATGGAATTTCATTTGGCACAGACATTCCATCCATTCTCTGCATATTTCAAAATAAAACTTGAAACAATCACTCACTTGACACATGCAATTAAATGGTCATGAAAATCTGCTTGGATGCCGAAGAATTCATCTCCAATTTCTCTATCTAGTTGCGAAGCATTATTTTGGAAATAATTAAGTGGAGACATGATAGCACAATTCTGGTTGTATGGATCTAAAGGTTTGAGACAAATATCTTCCAAACCAATAGTTTTGTTTTCTTCTGGATACCAGGCAGTGATGGATTCCACAGCAAGTTGAAGCTCTAGAATCTGAAAATGATGAATTGTCAGTTGAGAGATTTAATGAGAAAATTCAGGTACCGGTAGTAATGTCCAAATTAGAATAGTTTTGATAGTATAGTACTATCCTATTACTCAGCTTAGATTTAATTTCAAACATCCGAATCTAAATTAATCTACACAACAAGGAAGAGAAAGCATAAGGTTTACATACACTTTTCGATCGAACTGTAGCATAAACTTCCAGAGAAGTCTATATTGACATACACAATGATAAAGCGCTGACAAACCTCTTTCAACAAAGCTTTGTTTCCCAAGATTGGACCAAAATGAACATATTTTTGATCCTTTGGATTTGTACTTTCAGTATATAACTTGTATTCATATGTTTTGTTACTATTAGTAGTGATGATCAGTTGTTCGGTCCTGAGAAGTGCAAATATTAAAAAGGATATTAGGCACACATGGCTCAAGTCTAAAAATGCGCTTGCAATTTCAATACTATTCTAAGTGATTCAAAAGTCTTGCTGCATAGCAGTGCATACTAACACAAATAAATTTCTGTAACGTGTATCATAGTTGAATAATGTGTGTCTCAGGAAGTTTGACCTTGGTCAGACATCCTCAACATAGCATCCTCATCAGTGGCGCAACCAGCGGGAGGGTTACGGGGGATGTGTCCCCCCGTTCGAAAATTTTTTTATTTTTTATTATTGTTCTACGTTCAAACAACGTCGTTCCACGGTCATAACAATCCGGTGAAAACTACTTTTTTCCAGTGCTTTATCACCTCGACGTAATTTCACACCGCCCGACTTCAATCATACCTTTTTGCTGTTAGTTACGTAATAATCGCTATCCCCGCGTATATGTTTGTATTCGAAAATGAGATTATGTTACCTCAAAAAAGTAGAAATCGCGCGCTGTCGATGCGAATTGAAAGCGACAATAGCATAATGCTATCTCTCTCTTGTGACGAATACTCTCGTGCTCCATCATCTTGACGCAATGTAACGCCGCCCGTCTTCATGTTATAATAATGCAGTAGAAACTCTGAAAATCTGGATACGAAAATTATTTTCAGAAAAAAAATATTGCTTCGATTAACCTAAGATTTTCTACATGTGAAAGGCCGAAAACCGAAAACGCCGTACACATCCTACCGCCCCCATCCACGTTCTGATTAAAAAACATTTCACAATTATTTCATTTTTTATCGCAATCGAAAGCAGCCATGTGTGGCACGGCAATAACTAACAGTCGTCGTGAAAGGTTTTCAATAAACTCCGACTTGAAGTGCTTATAAGACGTCGAGGACGTTTTTGGTTGAAATTTTTTTACATTTGTTATCGTATATTTCAATTTAGTCAAGATATGTTGTGCGCCTCGGCAATAAACTTAAAAGCAAATCCTGCCCTAATTAATTGTTTTCATCCTCAGTTTCGATGGTTATCGAACTTAATTTATTGCAATCTATGACATAGCTTCTAAATATTATTTGGTTTCTATCGGAGATTTTATCGTTATCCCGATGTCGTTGATAACAATATCGTTCATTTTAAGTTGGAGGTATTGGTTTATAATGAAAAAATTATAACACATAACACGTTTTTCCATCTTTATTCTCCATTATTGGCAGATGGAAATTTGGGAATCGGGTTTAACTAATTTGATTATGATGACGATGGTAAACAAAAGTACACAAACATACCATACCGTTCTTAGTTTTTAGTCGTTATTTCTCTGTGCATTAAGACCATAAAACCATAAGACCATAAATGAATACCGCTAACTTAAACTGAACGATGTTGTCATCAACGCCGGATGCCGACGAAATCCGCGATAGATATTAAATACTATTTAAGGGCTATTTTATACGCGCTAAATTACAAGAAATGAAAAAATTTCCTGTTATGTTCGGTCACTATCGAAACCGAGGATGAAAACAACTAATTAAGACACAATTTGCCGAGGACGTCTAAACCATCTCGACTAAGTTAAAATACTCGATAAGTAAATATTTTCAATCAAAAACGTCCTCAAGTCTTATAAGTTCTTCACGTCGGCGTTTATCAAAATTCTTTCATGTCAGCTGTAGTATATTGCCGAACCACACATGGACGGCGACGCTAGGATATGTGAGCCATATTCGGGATTATTATAAACACGAAAAAACAGTATTTGAAGTTTGCGATATTTGAATTTAAATTCGATTTGGACATCCCTGCAATAAATTAGTCAGTTTTTAGTTGTGTTTCCAAAAATTAGTTGTAAATCAATTATTTTAATTGTCATTATGTCTTCCGGTGAGCTTCAGTTTAGTTTAGAATTTTTCTGGGGTTAGGGTCGGGAAAAGGTCCATTCGCAAGAAGTGCATTTTGTTTTTAGTCTTGACGAATTCACCCAACGAGCAAGGCGCGGCACGAGGGAAACACTGGAATTTATTCAAGCCGTGTTTCACTATCCACGAGGTGCAAAGCAAAGGAAACGTTGAAAATAATTAACAGCTTTTCCTTAGCAATTCGCTGGAATGTAATGAACGGCGTTTTGCTACCCACGAGGTGCAAGACATAGCGAAGCGCCGTTAATGAACGAGTGCAAGGTAAGCGAAAGGCTGAGATTTAATCGATGGCGTTTCCCTTTTAACCACGAGCAATTTATCGTGTTTCAGTGGGGCAACACCTAGTGGCGTTGCGACTTACGTCGTGGTTGCACTGTGTACATTCCGGCCGGACCCCCCCTTGAAAACGGCCTGGTTGCGCCACTGATCCTCATATTATATATGAATACACCGGCACAAAAGCATAGAAGAAGGATAAGTAGTTAGTCCCACAGAAACCAATTTGATAGTGCAAATTTTGATCACCGTTCATGAATTCACAGATTAAAACACAGTAATGGATTCTGAGCGTGTGAGGGTTGGTGAACCTTAAGCAGTCCGAAGAGTGATTCACATTTGTCACCTAATTTTTTCAACTTGACTGGTAACAGAGATTGTGTTTCACCGTATTATTGCGAAATCTTAAGGTTTCCTCTGATTGAAGCTAGATATGAAAATCCAATCTTATAACAAATTATAGAAAACACAATTTGTAGCTTCAATCTTGAGCTTGACTCTGAATTTTCTTAGATGTAACCATTTTAATAAAGTTGAATACCAAACATCTGCAGTTATGACATCTTTTTTTTTTCTAGTAAACTTACCTATAGAAAGGATCAAAATGGCTATCAAAATAATTTTTCCTTTGTCTAGCAGTGCTTTCTGGGGAAGACCAGAGTTCAACTGGATCTGTTGTTACTTGAAGTTTGACAAGACCAGCAGAGCAGATACCAACAAAAACAATACCTGAAAGAAGACAGCAATGCTTGAGTATATAAACTTTAATATGTCTACTGCAATATCAGCAGAATCCCAACCGAATGTTAAAAAATGTACTGTATATTATATGAAAGTGTTCTTGTGAGTTACAGAAAACAGCAAAATTTTGGGTGGAATACTAATTCCTGTAGGACTCGCAAAGAAACCTGGGAAAAGTAATAGTTTTCTAGCGACTTCTTCCCTCTATACCAGGGGTCGGGAACCCATGGCTCGCGAGCCATATATGGCTCTTTTGGTGACGGCATATGGCTCCCAGAAAAATCTATTATTCTAAGATTAAGCTTACTATTGTTAGTAGACTTCAAACTATTTTATGGCCAAATTTGGCAAAAAATTCCCAATACGTTTGACAACGTGGGCCCAGCGCATGTCTATGTTATGTAAGAGAATTACCAGACAGGCATTGTGACAAAACATGGGGATTCTGGAACATATATTGTGACATCACAAAGCGATAGAGTTTTAAAATACTACGCAGATGCCTAAACGAAAAAGGGTGATGAGTATCGTAGATTTCAACTTGGGCTGCATGTGAGCAACCGTTCCAGGCCCGCAGCGACAACATGCAGCATCATAAGTCACATTAAATGTATATTGACATCGAATGTGTTGACTTTTGAGTAAACGTTTCAGGCCTGATTAAGTGAAGAAATGTTATATGGCTCGCACGGAAATGCAATTGAAAATATGTATATTTTAGGGCTCTCTTGACCAAAAAGGTTCCCGACCCCTGCTCTATACTGAAAATTTGGAATCAAATGGTCCATTAGTTGAGCAGAAAATGGATTTTTTTTCACACCAATTTCAAATTAGGAAAAATTGCATATGTCGATCCCCTTTGTTCCCCACAAATAAAATATGTGGAATTCGAAAACTGAAATTTGAAAAATGGAAAAATTGTTAATTGACAGACTCACTCACCTACAATAATGACGGTAATAGGATGACTAGCGCACCATATTCCCCATTTTGTAAAAATATGCTGCATGGCCCTGTCTAGTTTCAATCCAAGTCTTGTCAATGTTGAAATGTTGTTGTGGCTATCTTTGTGCCTAAACATAATCAAGCACAATTTATTTATATAGCGTAGAATAATGTGCATGCACATGCTTGATTGTGGAATACAGTACATTTCATTTGATTACTATCTAAAATTCAAAGGAGCAAATTTGTATAGGCATAACAAAAAATTTGAAGTCCCAGTTAAACAAAGCATTATTGTCAAATCTTGAAAAATCAAAAATCTCTCAATTATTAGAACAGTAAAAACGGTCAGATCTTACACTTCTATCACTGAATCAAATCGTAAAAACTTACGAGACAGTGTTGATGGTTCTGACACCAATATCATCAGTCGATCCATATCCATCAGGATAAGAATCATTTAACGTCTGCAAAGATGATTTATTTGATTTCCTAACATTATAGCAAATCACTGCGGACACTGTAAAAAGTAAAATAAAGTTAATCAATAAAAGGTAGAGAACACAATTCTGTATTTGTCGTCTCTGCTACTAGGGTACTACCATCACATAACACCACTTATCTAAGCTACATGCAAGTGGCAATTGTTAATAATAAATAATGGCCTGGTCTGATTATGAAAAAAAAAGAAACTCCATCATTATCCTATTTTCATTTTGTACTACATTTGCATGAATCTACTCATTGAATACATACATATTCCTTTGTCAACCTGCGTCAATCAAACTTAAACAACACAATTCGAAAAAAGATGAATAAGTTTCAAAATTTGAAAAGTAATCATAGGGATGGCCAAAACCGAATATTTCCATATATCGAATAGCCTACATTATGAGAAAATATTTTCGAATTTGGAATATTGAATACATTCTAAATTAGGGGGAAGATCATGTGAAAAATTACATAAATCACTATAATTTTCATGTTGTTCATATCTAAATTCTAAAACGACATACCTATAAAAGTCGTGAGGTGCGTTTGAATACGCTCGATTGGCGGATCAAAAATCACATATTTTTAAATTTAGAATGTTCTAAATTATTCCTCGATCCAAAGATTTACAATATCAAATATAATGAATTTTCGAGCGAATATTGAATTTGATTCGAATGAAATCGATAGTGTGCTATCTATTTTCATATTTAATACTCATAAAAAGTATTTTAACAGAAAACTATAGTCCAGGTTATACATAGTATATGACCGTAATAACTGAGTCAAGATATTAAATAAAAACAACTTACAATAGGAAAGTGACATTCCAACAAAGAAAAACGACATGATAACATAGACGGGATCATTGTTGAATAATTTCCATGGTTCTGGAGGAACAGGAGGAGATGGGGGTGGACCCGAACAGGATGCGGGACAATCATTACAACTGCAACCTCCTGCAACATAAAAAATACAAATCAACATTTGCAACGAATAGAGCAAAACCCAACTTCGCAAAAATACTTTATGCCTAATGTAAATTTTATCAATCCCATTGCATCATCAGAAAGTAATAATTCATTAATCAATAGTTTTCTGCCCTATATTTGTGATTAAAGGTCTGTTTACTCAATTTCCAGGCCACTCAAGTTGATTAACCTTAATATACTCAAGTAACCTCACATGATCAAACAATTTTATTCACATTAGTGTTTGTCAAAATTAATATACAAACAAATTATTTGACAAGGGGAAACAGAGGCAAACAAAACTACTTAAAGAGTTAGATCTGCAAAAACAATGTGAGCAGAACTTGATTGGCAGACAAAATTAAAAAAAAAAGGAATAACAGAATTACTTGCTATAATTGCCATTGCCAACATTGATTTTTAGTCTTGCATTTTTTCTAAATCTATGAAACTAGAAAAATCATCCCATACTTCATCATTGCAACATTTTTTATGTTTGCTTTTGAGAGTGTTTCAGAGAATTAGAGCTTGCAAACAGGTTTATATGTAAGTTATACAACCATCAATTTTTATTAAAAATATCAAATCACCTGTCATTTTTTAAAGTACTGTAGCTAATTTGAGCCTATTCTTCTGCATCATTTTTGGGTATAAATTACTGCAACAAAACTAAAACTTATTATAAGGCAAAATGACCATTGAGTTATCTGACGATTTCTAAATTTCTGTAACACATTAAAGTGAAGACCAAGGTCAAACTTCCTGAGACACACATTGTTCAACTATGATACGCGTTACAGAAATATATTCGTGATTCCTAAATTTCTGTAACACATTAAAAAGAACAATTGCTATCGGAATCATGTAAAAGACCCAACTTTTATAAACATGCTCAAAGATCTGTCGAGTGAAAAAAGTGTATGAGTGGCACCACAAATTTCAAATTGATCCAAAAAGAAAAAAGAAAGTCGATGCTCGGGGAAACATCCAAAGAGAAAACCCCTAACATTTCCTTCAATTAAATTTATATGCAGAACATTACATTCTTCTACAAAAGTCATAGCACAAGGTAAATAAACAAATATTACCATCTCCATTGTTAACGCTCTCATTGCATGGAATAACTTTGACATCCATAGCATGATCGGCATTCGGTTGAAAACCAACATCAATTTGAAACGGGGCAAAACCATTGTCTGATGAGAGCATGTATGAGATCCATTTCTGAAAAAAAAATGGAATCATAGAATTGGGAGTAGAGGATAAATCCTCAATATAGCACTGCTTTTCAGGACAGTATTACAGAAAGGTCAGACTTTAAATACATGCCTTTTGGGCCAAAAAATTTCCCATCAATTCAATTTTGATAGTATCAGTAAAGAATAATTTCAGCCTTTTGAGCATAATTTTTTAGTCATAGTCATTACCGAAAACAGTGAGTAAGTAAATATCCTGAAAACAAACCTCAGCTGTGCAACTTGAAGCATAAGGCCCGCAAAGTAAGTCCATAGCTCTGGCGTTAGTAGATGGATTGGTGACATGATCACATGAATCAAACATACCGTCAGCGTATTTTTTAGTTATATTGTAAAATATCTCAGTGACATAAGTTTGGTTGTTGAATGCATGATATGTACCAGTATCTGTGAGAAAAAAAACAGGATAATTTTGTGAATTCAACAAAAACTTTCCACATTTAATATATTGAAAGAATGAAAGTATTCCGATATTAACCACAAGTCATAACTATATTTTGTTAGATATTGCATACCAACCATGTAACAAAACAATCTGTACTATTTAGCGATTAAATCACTACATATATGATGGGGATTAGGTTTATTGGGCATAGATCCAAATTATGTATGCCAAAAACATGATTTACACATTATTGAATTGAAAGTAGTGATAGTCTCAAATGGTGCTAAACTTGGATAATTTAAATAAAAATTTACAAACGTTTATTCTCACTAATTGAAACATTACAAATACCACGATTTTGGTGAACAAAACAGTTTTAAAAATTTAGGACTAAAAAAGGTTGAATGAAACAAATCTACCTTGACACAAACATTGTTCACCCTGATAAAATTAACTGCATTACTCACCTCCTTTAGCAAATTTTGTTCCGTTCACATATACACTCTGATTGGGACTACATGTCATTTCACAGAACAATGCCATGAAATTATGAAAACATGTTGGACATCGAGAGAATGCTTGATATGGAACCTGTACATTTGACCTTATTGTCTCCAACTGGTTAATGTCACAACAAGTTGTAGTGTTTTCACCTGTAAACAATATGAAAAACATTACAGCTAAATATACTATACATAAACTGTTGACGAAGTGAGATAGATATAAATTAAATTATTTATCAAGTATTGGAAATATCAAAATCACGAGTGTTCAGAGCGATTCAAATATCAATAGATTTCAAAGTTATTTATATTCAGTATTTTGATTTTTTATTTTAGAAACATTTTATAATATAGAAGATATTCAAAAAATTGGGATTTTGAGCAATTAATTAAAGTCTCACAGTATAATTAATAATATAGCAAACTTTCCTTAAATTTCTACAAACTAAAAATTAGAAAATCAGTCAAGGATGTTTATCTGTAATTTTCATGTATTTTCAAAACAAACTCATTGACGACATTTTGATATTTGTGTGACTCCTCTATTGAATAAATTCAATATTTTTGTATCAAAATTTTTTATTTTGCAATCTAGTCAACAGAATATATTATGGTTGGTTTTGGCTCTCTTTGAATTCAAAATCACATTTACTTTATTTGAAATTTAGCCTTTTTGAAGCAGAATAATGAAAAATGTAAATTATTACAAAATGCATTATTGAACTTTTCTATACAATTTCTGAGTTTTCTATACAATGAATCATTGTAAAATATCTGACATAGGGTTTAGATTGCCAACTGGAACTATGACTATGTATGACTATGACATAAATGTTTTTTTCCTTTTTCATTAAAATTTAATAACAAGTGTACTCTTTTCCATTTTGGCACCATCAGTGATAATCAATTGTAAAATCATATATAAAAAGGAAACAACAAATTCCACGGAGTAGAGAATTATCAAATACCAATGGTCAAAGTCCAACAAGTATTGAACAAAGAAATGCACATTGATAAACAGGACAATAAACTGGCCTATATGCAGTTGTTTGTATAGAATTCAAAAAGTACACAAAGAATATGAAATATGAGTAAAAAATCATTTCATGTTAATTATTTTATCAGTCATTTATTTGTCCCATGGAAGGATAAATGCACCATTAGATGAAGTCAAAAATGTCAAAAAAAAATTTTCGAAAATGCCAAAGATAGAAAAAAATTAGTCACACAAAGTATGATATTTTTGATTTCATAGTTGTATTTTCATTTTTACGAAAATAAAAGCTGAATTCTTTTTAAAATCTCACCTTTATGAAGAGCTGGGCAGAGCTCCAATAATGTATCGAGACCTTGTTTATCCTTTAAAAGTGGAGCTTTTTTATTGTAGAGGCAGTTCAGATTTTTTGATGTTGCTGTGTTGGTAGCACATTCTCCATACATTATGCAATATCCTTCCTTGTGAATAGGTGTTGAAGCATCATCAAGGCAAGAGGCCGGCATTACAACCTGTAGATAAAAAAAACAATCAGCATCAAACAGTTTTTCGCAGAGATTGTGATCACTTTCGTGGGAATAAAGACTATAGAGAACTGTGATTCTAAAACTTTGAACTCTCAACACTTCTGGCCTCCTGCTCTTTCATAAAAATACCTACCTACTTTTGCTTTGAACACTTGTCATTCCATCAGTCAGATTATATACACAATGCCAACTGCAAAGCATTCCAGTGTGAAACTCAAAAATCTGAGTTTTGAGGGATTTTTTAAAATAAAATAAGAGAAATCGATCTGTTCAGGTTTATAGTAAAATTGATGTTTGTATAAAATTGTAACATGTAATCACAATTATTTCCCATAGATAATAATTTATTTTCATATAAAAAAGTTCACAAATTTGTATGCTTACCAGCAATGATGCAGCAAGTAGCAATATATGAATTCTTTTATCCATTGCAATCAATTGATATTCTTCGAAATAATAACACTGCTCTTCAACATTAAAGTATAAATAGTGTACAAATTGTCTAGTCTCAAGTTAAATCAGAAAGAAGTATTCTGTAGAACAAGAAGAAAGTAATACTGTATTTACTGACATACTTACACACTGATGACAAATTAACCAGCTGAACAAAAATGTTTCATCATTTATGTATATTACATCAACCATCAGTAGTGTACCACAAATTCTTTTTCTAAATGACACATGACAACTTATACATTATATGCTGGTAGTGGACTGCACTGTCTTATAGATTCGTCAATACGCATAATCGCAACTACATGCTAAACAAGCAACAGTGAAATAAATATTTACTTCGATTAGGCAACTCATCTATTTATTTGATACTAACAAATAAATAGTATTGGTTCTGACTGAGGCCACCAAGCATAAAAAAACAACTGTAAGCAGAAATCTCAGAAAAGTGGTGTGATATTCTCAAAGCATGAGTCATAAGGTCAGCTGATGTCTGGTGGGTGTATTGGTTAAAAATTTCAAAAGCGATTTCTAGTTACTACTGTGCTGGGTGACTCATACCCAACAAGCAGCAGGGAAATGGTATTAATGATTAACTTCAAATGTACCTATTATTTATAGGAATATTCAAAAAAAATTATGTTGAGATAGATGAGAGGATTAAGATTATTTGTAATGCCATTGGCAACTTGTGCCATGTCTTTGTATGCTATATAAATTTAAACTAGACCCTTTCATTGAAGGATGGCCAAATTTGATCTATTCAAAATTATTATTAATTAACACAACTGATCATGAAACGTTATATCAGAATATTAAATATCAAGCAATTATAATGCTGATTCATGAATATACTATATTATCTCAATACTGAGAAAGTTTCAGGATATCAATTACATGGAGTATGGCAATGCAACAGATTGTTTAATAATCAGGTCATGAAATAATAATGATATATCTAGTCTGTCTCCATGCATGTATTGGTCAGCAAATCAATTTTTATTGATCTGTGGTATCAAATATTGAAAGTACATAAAGCAAGGGTTAACAATATATACATTTCAAATATTTTGAAAGGTATAACAACAGTCGCACACAACTCAACTGTGCGCAGAAACCATGTTTCAAACTAATCAATAAGTTGCTTAAATCAGTGATTCCCAACCGCCGGTCCGCGGACCGCTGCCAGTCCGCGAAGCTTTTTTGCCGGTCCGCGAAAAATTTCGTTGTTTTGTTGCTTTTATGCCGTCTCAATCGCTTTACCGTAGACAAAGTTGCGTTGGCTCATTACGCAATTCTCTTCCTCCCTCATATTGCGACGTCTTTCGCGACATGTTGGCGCCGTCTTACGCGACATCTTGGCGCCGATCATTCACACTTTTCGCTTTTTCGGCTCCGATTCATCGCGAATGCGCTCCATCAAATCTCGCAAAACTAAGAAGCCTAAAAATCGGCTCGCGTGCTTTTTCTGTTCTGCGTGCCTTTCCTGATTAAACCATCCACATAAAACGTAATGCATATCCCCTTGTTTAAACCAGAAAACTGTCAAGAACAGTATAATATTCCAGTAAGATATGAACTTGTTGCGACCCCACAGGTGGTCGAACCGCGCAAAAAGCATGGGCCGCAGAGATTTTTTTCAGACACAATAAGATTTTGAGCCTGTTACCAAGTTATCGACGACTTTGTCATTGTAATGTAAATTCATTTCGTTTGAGGCGTCGATCAACTGCAGAGGGATTAATATGATGGACCCAATGAAAAAGAAATGGCTTGATCGAAATGGCGATTCTACTTTGCAGTCCAGATTAAAAAAGAATTACTTGTCACAATTTTAGATGATAACGAACACCCATCGCCTAGTAATCGACCAATCAAACTGTTGTCCGTCTTTTCAGCCAGTTACTGCGTTACGCGAGAAAACATTTTCGCTAGAATTATCACTAGATTCAATTAAAAAGAAAGCAAAGAAATTGGCTGCACGCGGCTGCAGAGCTGCGTGTTGCAAAAACTTCTTTGAGGCCTCGTTTGCAATTTTACATTGGAAACGAAATAGCAGCAAAATTCTCACAGGAGTTAATTGTGAGTGTTTTGAATGTGAGATTTTTATGCGTGCCTTTCTAACGCATAATGGGTGCCCAGCACTGCATTTCATTACGCAAATATATGGTATTGTTTTATGCTCCACCCATTTTTAATTTTTCGTCGGCACATTATTTGATAGTTTTTCTCCGTGTGAAATGTTTTTCAGTGTGCTTTTCCGTCTAGAAGCATATTGAGTGCCCGACATTGCATTATATTACGCAAATATATATATGTTATTCTTTTTTGTTTCGGCCATTTCGATTTTTTGCCGGTCCGCGGGTATATTTAATCTGATTTTACCGGTCCGCCAAGGTAGAAAGGTTGGGAACCGCTGGCTTAAATGACAAGAAAATATAGTGCACCGACTCAGGTCATTCTTAGTGAATAAAATGACACATCCATCACATGCTCTATGTACAGCATTCTGATAAGCTGCCAATCATGCTAAAACCGGCTTTTATACGTGACAGAAAGGACATATATGGAAAAGTTTGAGCATGATCAATTATTATAAACTTAACATAAATAGGTATAGAGGCAGGGCAGTTAGCAATCAAATAAAATCTTATTCCAAATACATTGTAAAAAAAATTTCATTTTCAAATATCGAACATTCTGAATTTTGAAAATGCGTGAATGAAAATTGAGGCCTGGTTAACATTTTCAAAAATTGTTAACATCAAAGTTTACTGTATCACATATAAGTAAGTTACCATACTCCATTATCGTCTACTCAGCCTATGGCAACAATTGGTCTGAAAAAAGGTTTTAATTATGGAAATATACTTCTACGTAAGTTCCCGACACTATTTAAAAACTGAAAACGACTGAATAAACCGGGAATAAAATTTAAACACCGGAAATTCATATTACAAAAATAAATTTTCAGGTTATGGTTATTACAGAATTATCAATAAAATATGTATCATCCTCAGTTTTTATCCCATTTCTTTATACAATGTCTGTGTGAAATTCATTATATACAATCAAAGAGTCAGCAATATTTAGTGTGGAAACAAATCGCATAGAATGCTAGTGCTAATAACAACAACCTGGCACTATTATTGTTTAAAATAAATTTGTTCAATATACATAGTGCATATTTTCTATCATGCAATTTGCTTTTACTAAAATTGCTGTTTACATGTACCATCATATTTACATTGTAATGATTTTATGCGTCAGGCTGATATACATCCGATAGCGATAAATATTTTTTTACCAATCACATCTCAGCAAACAGTTGTACCAATGATATGATACAAAGGTCAGATTTCATATTAAAAAAGATATTACATAACTGAAAAAAGCGAGAATCGAACAAAGAACTAATAGGATTATATCAGATACAAACAACTGATAAGACAGGAAATAATATGGTATAGACATAATAATAAAAAAACACATGGTTATATCTGATAGTTGCAACTATATTTCTGATATTTAATTTTATTTTTAATAATCAAAGTCATCTACTTTATAAAGAATCACGACGCTCAAAATTTTACTCGGGAGAATTTTAAACATAATAACTCCACAGAGTAAATGGTGAATTTACAATTCCTAGTTACAATATTTTCAAATATCATTCAAAGTAAGACCTATAGACCGGCCTTACTACTTACTCAATACAGCGTGAAACACCGCAAAGAGCGCAAAACAGTGGGGAAACAGCGCAAAACAGCGCGAAAGAGCGCAAAACAGAGGGAAACTGTGTGAAGCAGAAAAAACTTTTGCAATGAGTTCGGGGCACCTTGTTTTGAGTTGGAGTATCACGGCAGCAAATTAAAAACACAAACCAACATATGTAGCCAGTAATGCTGTAATGGCAGGTCTGCCCCTGCTGGTGACACATTTTGGGTACCATAATTTAGAACATTTTCCATATGGATATGGTTGGCTTTAGGGTTAGGGTTAGGTAAAAAGGGACCTCCAGAAGTATGTGCACCAAGATGGTGCAAAACCTGAAAATAGTATGTGTGTAGCGGATTCAGGCTGTGCGACATATTGCTGCGCATACTTCTGGAGCACCAAAAAGGTAGATAAAATTTCGCATGAAGACCTATAATCCGGTACATAACCTTGTAAATATACCGGAAAAAGCGCCATAAAACCATGGAGAGAGGCGCCGTGGTTCTTTCGTGGCAGGAGGTGGTAATGACTGCGTCTCCTGTTTTGCGCTGTTTCCCTCTGTTTTGCGCTGGTTTCCTTCTGTTTCACGCTGTTTTCCTCTGTTTTGCGCTCTTTGCGTGTTTCGCGCTGTATTCAGTAAGTAGTAAGACCCCCTATAGACAGCCCACATGGCACAAGAATATGTACAACATGATAGGAACAGATTCAAATATTATCTAAAACATGTGATAAAATATCATCTTTCCATATATTTTTTTAAAGTGTATCAAAACTATTTTCGCTAAAATGAAATATTCTGGTAGTTCGAAAGCTGTATCTATCTGATTCATTAGGATGCAAAGTAATGACAAGATATCATCAAAAAACAGGTCAATGATCTCTCAATCAAATAAATAAAAACTTAAGTAGTGTCATTGACATACTTTTCGATAGTTTTCTTGCTTAGGCTCATTATTTGAAGAACCAGCGCCACACCAAGCAATAACAGGATAAAAAGATGACTAATAACAGAACAAAAAGGTGACTATACTATAAAAATTACAAAAAGGGGAACAAACAAATCTAAAACCAATGATATTAACAGTAGGAGAAAAATTCAGCTATATCGAATTGTAAAACAACTTGAGAAGTTAATAAATGTTAAATTGGAGTTTAGGTTGCATAAAAAAAAACAATGAAAGTAAACTTGAATGCCATTTATAATCATCAAATGATTTTTCCAGTTAACAATTGTTCATTTCATTTTATAACTTAGTAAATTCATGCTGATATGATAAAATCCATTGTGTACAAACAGTCTTTCTAAAGGATATTGAGGTAGTAATTAAAGTACAAAGCAAAAAATTCAAAACAATACAAATCCCATTATTAGGATTAATTTTATGGCATAACGATACAGTGCAATGCAATAGTATGCCAAAACAGGCCCTGGGTTTTACAACAGCGGTACAGTAAAACAAGATGTTAAAATTCACAACTTATTGAGAGAATTCATCAATTGTACCATTCTCTTAGTCTTACAAATAAAATTATTGTGTCTGAAGCAACAATTAAGTAATAATTATGAATAACATTATTACACAAAAGGATTTTCCTACCATAGATGTAAAAACAGGTCAGCTATTTGTGAAACTAGTAATACTGTGAATCGTGGATAATCAAAACTGGAAAGCCTAATATAATATCTGATTCTGAAAAAATATTTTTAAAAATAAATCATCCAATATATGATATAGTGTAAATTCAGTCATGATTAACTGAGAGCATGTCCAAATTCTAAAAGATGATGAAACATTATAATGAACTTCAGAAACTCATTCCTTTATACAGTTATAGTCAATAATTCACTAACAAAATTAATAATCGGAAATTAGTTGCCAATACCATCTTCAGAAAGTTCCCAAAGTGCACTGTTTCTTCACTGTCTTTTCTATCTGAACTGAAATCACCAAATTTATGAATTGGATTCCTGCGCGGAATAAACTTTCTGACAGACGTGTTTTGTTGAAACTTGAAATCAAACCAATTTTCAACTCAACAGGAATGTCAGTACAGCAAGATGTCCCTTGCCAAATAGGGTATAGCGTTCTGCCTGAGACAGACTTTTATTTAAACATAAAAATTTGGGCTGGATTCTAACATCACTTTTTGGTTTGGAATTATATCTGTATATACCAGTAAGCAGTTCAGCAGTGTATAGCGTTTAATTTCACATTACATTTTTGTTTGCCGTTATTCAGTTATTTGAGTAACGTTATTTGAGAAGCAGTTTCAGAGTTTAGGATAGGATTTACATGTTTATCCCGGGGGAGAGAAAAGCCGATAAGACAGTTTATTCATATGGCGAACCACGGCCTCTCGTCCGGTTACCAGTCCAGGTCAGGTATGGGATTAGTTAGCCAGTTATTTGTTTTCGGAAGCATGGACTTGATGGTGGAGGAAGCCGTAACCGACCAGCGGTTACGTGAACCACCCTACGGCGGCGAGGAGTCCAGCAATCCTCTCGCACATGATCATCCCCGCACGGGATTCGAACCTGCAATCCCACGAAAGGTATTCAGAGATGCGGTGAGCCGGTGACGATCGTATTCCTAACGCTTAGCACGATGCGCCACACCGCCGAGGCTACTTGCTCAGTCTGTCAGTACCGTATACATGCGGTGAGCCGGTGACGATCGTATTACTAACGCTTAGCACGATGCGCCACACCGCTGAGGCTACTTGCTCAGTCTGTCAGTACCGTATAATACAGTAATATCTGAATACCGTATATACCGGTAGCCTAATTCTGTAATTACGGTATTCAAAAATGCTTTGTAACGCCCTGTGCAAACTTGTCATACCTGTCTGCTTGTATACAGCATTTGTATAGCGCTTATGAAATTTGTATGTAGCCTAGTACCAATATCTGGAAATTGAACACAGATACCAGAACCTGTCTGCCTGTAGACTATTACCGGTACTGTATTATGCAGATACAGCTGTACAGAGATACCAGGATACCCTGGTGCATTTACTGATCTAACGTTAAATGTTATGTAAACACAGAAACATAGGCTACATACAGCTCTTTGAATCCACTTAACTCTAACAATTTCCAGATATTGGTACTAGGCTACATACAAATTTCATAGGCGCTATACAAATGCTGTAAACAAGCAGACAGGTATGACAAGTTTGCACAGGGCGTTACAAAGCATTTTTGAATACCGGTACCGTAATTACAGAATTAGGCTACCGGTATATATTCAGATATTACTGTATTAGAGCGGGAAAATATCCGATATAACGTCGGTTGTGCTACGGTCAGACTGTACCCAGACCTTCCAATTTCAGTCCTGATCATAACTAACGGTCAATAAATCACATTATATTAGTTATAATCTATATAGGCTAGTCATCGGTAACGGTACACGATTGCAGAACACAGTCCATAGTCGAAGTCTGGCAACAGCGCAATTCTCCCAAACAAAGATTCCAGACGCCGCCCATGGAAACGAAGATCACGCCACTTTCTGAATTCTGTTACGTCATATAATATTCAGTCGAGTGAACATTGGCCGAGCGGCTATCCCGGTATGTTAGCCGTTGGGCTATCCCAATTAATTGTACGATATCGCGACCTACCGAGTGTTTTTCATATTGTAATATTCAATTTTGATAAAAAAAAATTCGTCCTAGGCTTTATTCGTTCACCAAGCCCGAAAGAAAAATGATATTATGTACTGACTTCTTCGCCCCAGACAGTATCCGTAAATGTGTTTTACCTTATGATGAGATCAGTCCGTAAATATATATTCTCAGTCACACCCGGTATGTTAATCGTCGGTCACACCAGAGACAATGCATAACAATGCAATGTTATTGAAAATCTATTGTCACACAATAATAAAAGGCCTTTTATCCGTATCTTCTGTTTCACTAACAGTGACTAACGTGTTGTATTATTTTTTGTTTATTGTCTTTGAAAAACGCAGGTTGCAAGCGGTGTAACAAGAACACGTTTTCTAACACTTGGAACCATAAAACCAATGTGTGATTATCAGTGAATCTGTAATTATCGGTTTGATGTATATTATCGGAAAATTTGAACACCGCATTAGCGTAATGAAGATCTACTTCGAAGTCGCACCAACTTAATATTTTTCAGCAAATAGGTCAGAATACAGAAGCAATATCGCAACCGATCATCGCAAGCAGCTTCGGAGACCTGCATTCTCCACGATCGCGCCCTGCTTGACAAACTTTTTAAAAATCAACCTTTATGTAAAGTTTTGCATTAAATTGGTTTTCATCCTGAGTTTAGATATTGTTGTTACTATTGACTGGCTTGTTATATATATGTTGAAATACACGCTTGGTTTTTTTTGGCTATTCTTACTTGCATTGCGGCTCCTTACAACTTTAAGGTTTGGAAATTAGCCCTGGAACTGAAAAAGCTTGAGAACCACTGTTCTAAAGACTGGCGCCGTGTGACGGGATGGGAGATTGAAAAATAGGATTCATATATATATATATATTAGTATATCAAAAATTCCACATAAATTCAATCGTGTTGTGAAGTACACTAAGAAATTTACTGCCGCCCATTCCATATCTGAATTTTTTCATTGTGATGCCACGCACTTTGTTGTTGGGTATCTTAATGATATTTCTCGCCCCCACTTGGCACACCGGACTAACACGCTTTCAATCGACCCCTTCCTCACCGTTGTAGTGGAGTATTACCCTTTCTGGGCCTGGGCGCTTCTTGTTTGCCTCTCCACATTTATTTTGGCGCCTTGATTTCTTCTGCAAACCTCTGCAATATGTTTTTGTGCTATTTTAAGTTTAGACTTTTTTTTTATTCCGAAGGGGTTCTGGTTGCATATTTACGCTTTGATTTATTCTTTCGGTCATGTCCTTTTGCAACTGGAGTCATAACCTGTTGGTATTTTCGCGATTACCTCTGTATGCCAAAATTGATCGAAATAATCATTTGTTGATGGGATCTATTATTTCCGAAACTTTCATTCGGCATTCCATAAGTAATTTATGTTATAAAAAGTGTTTAGCTGACCGAAAACACCGATTCAATATATTCTTCATTTATTCCTGCTAAACAGCATTTTTCCCAAAGCAACCAGGAACAACGTGGTTGCCACGACCCTCGCTCTAAATTATTTCGTCCGTATTTCCCATTGTATCAGCGCGCGCCACTATATAGATTTTAAGTATGTGTTGCAAGCGTCCCAAATAATTAGAATCTGATAAGGGGTAGAGAGGGCTTCAGTCACCATAAATGAAAACCCTACCGCATAAGTCACGATACGGCTGTTTTACCAACCCTCGACCTACATGATTTTCTTTTTTCGAATACAATACAACAACAGCAACTATCTGGAATTCCGATAATTGTTATTCAGAAAATTAATACTATGAAGACTGTAAATATTGACGCTTATTAGCTAAAAACCACATGAGTGCAAATAAACAACCGCTCGGACGATTCAAGGAAGAGTGATCATCAATGAATTCCTGGATCTTTGCAACTGGAAGATGGTAAGTTTCAATCATTTCACCTTCAGATTCCAAGCCTCCTCCTTTATGAACCTGAACGAATAGGTAGGCGGCATATATCTCAGGTCTACCGTGTTGCTGTCATGTCTCAATGCATTTTTAATTGGCATGTTATTGAGTATTGAGACAAGACAAGATTAGCACACCTTGCCAAGCAATTGTGATACCATGGTGCCACTGTTTACCAAAACAGGAGGAGCCGGTTTCAAACAAGGAGAAAATTTGTGTGGAAACTACATTCAAACAATTTTCTGGACATTACAGATTCAGTTAAGGCAATATGATATGAAAATGGCAAATTATTAGTATATTTCATCGGTAAACTTTATTATTTTGACACATGAGAGAGACGCCGAGATTGTCCATGTTATTAAATACCTCCATTTCTTCTGTCACTTCAGCATAAAACAAAGACTGTACATTTCCATGTGTTCCAATCCCAGACCTAAAAAGAAAAATTTTGCTTAATAAAAAGTCTTCGTTACTCCCTTGTAGTAATTCCTGAATAGTGGCCCAACACACTCAAATCTAGCTCTCTTATAAAAAGAAAGCTGTTTTCTGATTCAGAATGAGAATGCTTGACCCCAATCACTCAACAATAGTTGCAAGTTGCAATAATTCGATCATTTTCCATTACCTGTATTTTGTAATCAATATTAATTTTTCTACAGGAACATCATATCCAGTTTCTTCCAGTACCTCCATGGCTGCAAGTTCAGCTGGACTTTTCCCATCTTTGTCAGCAATTCCTGCACATAATTCGTACATTACACCATTGCTTGCTGGATATTCTTTAGCAATGTCAAATACTGGAAGAAATAATGGAATGGTATTTTTACAATCAGAAGAAGATGCGGTGAAAATACTCAACAAAATTAGTGAAAAGATTTATTCAAGTCATGCTATACAGTTACATAAATGTATTACCAGAAATGTTCCGTTTAACCAAATTTTACAAAATTTTGTTTTGAGTTAGAATACACAGGTTTACTCTAGAAACGCCTATCATTGCTCTTAAATCCTGACATATGAATCTACAAAAACATAGTATAATGGGAAGTAGTTAGTCCCGCATAAACCCAAACAATAGGACATGAAAAGACTTCTCTTGTTTTTAATAGGGATCAATTAGCCAGCAAAGGGAAGAAATGTGAGAGGCTAAGTTTGTCCCATTTCAGTATGAATATATAAAAGTACGTACATGTCTTTTCTGTGTTTTTCTCAAGATCATCAAATTTCCTGTGACAATCATGCATGTAGACAGCTGCAAAATAATTTTGATATAATGACACTAATAAGGACAATGCAATATGTTCAATTATTATGTTTATAAAAATATAGGTATATGGAAATAATCAGCATTGAATCACAGGTGTCTTGAGATATGAATTACTTTATGAAGGTTCAACAATGGTTTGTACATTATTAGATTAGGCACTTTGAAGTATTTCACCAGTATTGAGGGCACCAAACTCCGCCTAATGTATTTCAAATAAATGAATACTGCATGATTAATGATACATTATTTAGAATGAAATCATTTTTATAGGTATGTATGTATATCTTAACACTTGAAAGATTAATATTCAAAAAATAACTCCACATTTTAAAGTTGGTTTGAAGATTCATACTGTCCAGACCTAGGCTAAGGTGCAATGTATTACCATGTGAACTTTTTCAACTAAAAATTATTTGATGTGGGCCAAAATTGAAAGTACAGTAACTAAGAATTCAATTATTTCAAAATTAAAGGCATATTCATTGAACAAAAGTGATGCAAATCAATTAATAATTATGCAACCTTCCCCTCAAAAATCATCTAAATAACAGAGCGCAGCCAAATTTAAAGACCAGAGTGACCCACCTGGTCTGAATTGTTTCACCATGACAATGCAATTCAATGAGACATTGTATATCAGGATAGCAACACTAAATTAAAAAAAACACTGCTTATATTGTCATGAATATGTTTACAATCAGTCAATGATCAATAATTCTGAAATTTAAAACTTAGTTAAACAATGGGATGTTAGGATATGTAATATTGATTAGGTAATTTAAAGTTGGTATGAAATGAACTTTTTTTTCTGAACTATAATTATTCTGAAAACGTATAAAAAATGGGAAATAATTCCTGAGAGAAGCCTTTCCAAACAAAAACTGAAGATACCACTAAATATGGGTCATACCAAATTATATATTCCCATACATCTTTGTAATAAGCTATTCCACAAAGATTTACAAAACATATGTGGTCCAAATTTACAATGCCAACCATCAGGATATATTTAGATTTTAAAAATAAAATCTACCTGACTGATAGTTACAGTAATGCTCATGCAGTCATGTCACCCACCTGTCATGAACTCTGATGTAATCCCATTTTTTCTTTACACCGTCCTGCCAATATAATAAATTGAATTTCTTCATCTAACATGCTTGAATTTGAATAAAATAAGCACCATAGGTACTCAGATAATGCAGTAGTCTCATAGTCTGGTAGTGATATTTGGGTAGAAAAGTATGAATAAACATAAAAATGGTTAAACACAGAAATAACAAGAAATATAAACAAACTGACCTTCTGAGAATATATAACTCTCATTGGCCGTATGTATACAGACTCTTCCAATATATGAGTGGAATGCAACTCTACTTCATCCATATATTGGTTGTATGTAAAAATTACAACCTCAAAATGTTGAAAATTTTATTTGTGCTTGTCACGCCTGATTTCACTACAGTCAACTAATTGGTGGCCGAGTGTTTGCTCGAGTACTGCGATACGCTGTTTGCCTTGCTGCAGTCTTTTACAGTTTCTCCTACAAGTTTGAAAGAAATAAGCTGCGATACGGTATGGATGCGAGGAAACCTGTTCGGTATGGGGGTGTGATTTATGTAAACGAGGAAAAATTGGGAAAATATAAAAAATTACATAGCGCAGTATGGCCTGCAGTTTTGGACCGACTAGCAAAAAGCAACATACGAAATTTTACGATCTACTTCTGCAAAGAACTCGGTGTTTTGTTTTCGCACATGGAATATATTGGCGATGACATTGAGAAAGATAAAGCTGCCATAGCAGCTGACCCGACAACTAAAGAGTGGTGGAAGGTGAGGGGTGCACTTGATTTTATTGTAAACTAATGAGATATTCACCGTATCTAGCTAGAGTTCCACGCAACAAACTCGCGCATGGAGAGATGTTTTTCATGCAAATTTTCACAGAGCGAGGAGCCGTTTAGATAATTTCAGTCGATCCGCGTAGTGTGGATTTGCCACATAGACTCCATAGTGATAGTATGAAAGTCATATTAGGGATGGCGACTGTGATATTTTTTTATTATTGCTGTATTTGTTTATCTATTTTCAAAATTGAGATTTTCGCCATTTTTTCTTGTAGGTATCTTAATTCAGAGTAAAACTGCCTTTATGTCTGTAGACTTGAATAATATTGTTTATTTCAATACTATTTTATGAATAAAAACTAGGAATAGCAAAATGCCGTCGGTGTGTGTCAAATTAGGGATGACGGAATGTGCTCGATGCGTGAATCTCATTTCACAGCAAGAGTGAGTTGATTCTGGCTGTATAATATGCTCCGGTAGACGGATTTAGAGTTAGACCATGTACGAAGGTAATACATGCTCCTGTGACTTCCTGTTATTCAATTTTCAGGTTTGTGAACCATGTCAGAAGCCTCTACAATGGGATGGGCCACCGCCGTCACAAGGGGGAACTGGAGGCGACTGGTGGGCGCCACTGGAGGAGGTCTTCCACGACAACCACACTCCAACGTCGTACACCTGATTCTGCATAGCTTAAATGCGGCTTCTTACGAAGACTTTAATATATTGTATTCAAATCATCGAGACGCCATATGCAATTGTATTTTTCTGATCCATTCTCCTATTAATGAATGTTATACAATACTGCTACATACTTTCAATGATAACAAATAAATTTCGCAAATTCATTTTTTGTCGAGGAAGTCGTGCTAGCCGGGTCGTTTATACAGAAATACCTGTATGTTCAGCTGAAATTTAGTTGAGAGAACGTTCATCGACTATATGTGTTATATATATATTTCTTTGTTTTACCCCAGGTTAGCTGTTCAAATGCAAATAATCCAAAGTTGATTTAGTGAATGTTTTGTAAACGGATATAACGAACCTTTTACATTTTATTCACTCTACTGTTCTTGATATTGACGTGAGACCTTGCCCATTCAGATTTGCATACATACATAAGGCTTAGTGTACTGATTACTATTGCATGGTGAGTCTATATGATGAGCGTGGCGTAAAGACGTCATCATTATCGACTTACTATTTATTAATTGATTAACATATAATTACCTAGTAGTAATCAATACAGTTAGAATACCAATTCTCGAATAAATAAAAATGGAACGCGGTAAGTCATTTGAACTTTAGGTGTTTGACGAACCGAAATATAATTGCTCTCCATGTTGTACATCGGCGCGTGAAAAAAAAATCGTTCGGCGGGTTGGTCACACGAGATGCACTGGCTAAATGCAGGAGTGATCGCAGATGCTTTCCGCGACTCGCTCCACGAGTTCTCCTGAAAGGCTGTTAATTCCATCTTCAGTAATTATCACGTGTTCTTCGTCACCACCAATGCTCAGCAATTGCTCTTTGGACAGTTTTCCTTTAGGGTGAGAAATCCCCAGGGCAAACACCTGCAACGGTTAATTACGATGTCAAATTTGTTTTATTACAAAAATTCTACCACACGTTGATAAAAAATTTATATATATACAATAGACAATCATTGAAAACTATTTTGTTCATACACACAACTACGAATTTTCATGAATTTATACCATGGAACGCAGTAATGTCAATTCAAATATTTACAAGTTAAGCATACCTCTGCACCAAAATCACGAAGGTCAGTCGATACTTTTGCAACTTCATCCTTCGAAATCCCATCTGTAAGAACCCAGACCATATCCTTAATATTTTCTCTGTTATCTGTCTTCAAAACTGTATCTCGTGCATGGGTTAGGGCTCTTCCAATGTATGTACCTGAAAAGGAATTGAAAGGAAGCTAGGGACAGGTAAATTGAGAAACCATAACAGTCAATGTTCAGATTTGAATCACTATGTAGACAGAAGATTCTCGTCGTGTTGAAGAGCTTGGGAATTCTATAGCAGAATCTTGAATTGCAAAAGCGGGAGAGTTTTCATTGTATTCCTTGGCGCTTGACGAAAGCACTGACATCAAGTCGAGGAGGTAATGATGATTTTGAAAATACCGAATAGCTCGCAGCCACTGTCCCATTTAAGGGCACGACTATGGGCATTGGTTTGTTGGGAGCTGTGATGAAAATGATTAAGTGTCTTGGCTTGTCTTTGGCGAAGTTTCCAGGAATACCCACTGATGGCGCATCATCAATGGCTGGGGAACAACAGTTTTATTGTTCTAATAATTGTGAAAGTTTGGCGTGGGGGTATTGTTTGTTTTTTCATTAACATGTAGTCAGTGTTGCAAAAGTAAAACATAACTACCATGTTAAGTGGCCCGCGCACTTATTAGTAAACTACGTGTGGCCCTTCAGCCAAGAAGGCTAGACGACCCTGATCTTGAGAGTGTCTGTTTGTTGGTTAGTAATCAAGATCGCTGTGTGCTTCAATTGTAGTTATGTGGACTCGACGCAATTAATTTTAAAAGTTTACATCCACAATTCTATATCTCTCTCACAAGTCTTCATTCCAAAGCTACTATCCCCGTTGGAATCTTCATATATATATATTGTTATTTGTAAAAGTGAAAGAAATTTATATAGAAAAAAAATTGGGTGCACTTTACTTTTAAAAAATTTCCAAGGGGTAAACGAGCAAATAAAGATTGGTAATTCCTATTTTCTTTTTCTAAACAAACAAGAGAGCAATGCTCAAATATGAAGGCCAAAGCGAAGTAGAAACGATATCAATCTTTTACAGTATAGGCCTATACTAGTTTTACGATAATTTACGATAGTTTTTCTGACTTCGACTAAACACCAGATCGCTGAGATGAAATCGCGGCACCTACACAAGGTCCGCAATTTTAAATTTTTGGGACGCTATCATACAAAACTTCAATGTGAAAAACAAATCCCATAAAGACGACATACATTTCGAAATAAATAAATATTATTATAGCGACCACAGCAATCTTTATCCACTGAAAATTACAGAACAGTTGGCCCAGTAGTTGAAGAGAAAAGTGATATTTTCACAACAAGACAACGATTACGCAATCTTCAGGACTCAGCCTGATCATTGACGGGAACAGGAATCGCCACAAGATGCGCAATTTTTAATTTTAATGACTTCATTGCACACAAGCAACGAATCCCATGAAGCGCGCAGAAATAAATGAAAGTAATAGCCTTCTAGAAAAAACGCAATCCTTATACCCGCTGAAAATTGCAAAAGTAATGGTCCGGTAGTTAATGCGAAAAGCGATTTTTAGGAAGACAAAAAAAAATACTATCAAAAACATTAACAACAACAATCACAAAACGATCCATTTGTACATTTCGTGTCAATAACAAAACAATCCATAGATCCACTCCGTATTCAACAAGTTTTAAAATTAGCAGTATAAAACCCCTCGTGAAACTCCTTGACTTTAAATCTGATATTTCAGCGCCAAGATGTGCACATGAAGAAAACTGATTAGTTTGTGCCACATGTTTGCCAACAACTTAAAATAAATTCACAAATGAAAATTTCTATTTTTCAGTAGTCTCATTCTAAAACACTCACCTCGTCCATTGTATGGGATTTCTTCCACCGCATGCAAAAGATTTGTTTTGTTATTTGGAAAAGCACCAAATAAAATTTGTGAATCCACATCAACTTTACTATTAAATCGAAACACGGAAAATCTTGCTGAGGCATCAGATACTGTGAAGGATCTGCAAACGAGGGAATATTTTCAGCGACAAAAGTAGTAATTCGTGATATATATTGAACAGATTTTAAATATTCAGGAAACTATTTCTAATTAATATAATAAACAAATAGGCTAAGGTGATTTAACGGAGAGTAGGCTAGCTTACTACTTATTCTTATCAGCAAAAACGGAACAAATTTTTAAAGAAATTGAGACTTATTAGCGAAAATCTTGAAATGGTATTGCAGTTTTACCCGATGACTTCTTTTACAAACGAAAGCATTTTGCCCCACCCCTGTTTTCTCACGGATGACGAGGAATCCATGATTATAACAACATCCACCTGAGCAAATGGAGGACAGAGACCTGGAAAATAATGTAAACGAGCGTGACGATTTCTAATTTTAATAACGGGGGACATAGTTCTTGCTCTAGTATCTGGAAAATAATTTGAACAAAATATTCACGTTACTAATTATACCTTCACAGATGAAATTTAGTTCTTCTGTTTGCTTTTTCTACTGTGGCTTAAATGTTCCAATTTAAAATTCAGACGCACATTAGCAGTAATAGATTAGAATTTTGGGTTCAAGCAATGTTATGAACGACAAAACAAAGTACATGACTCACGGCTACAACAAGGTTTCTCAGCACTCCAACCATTTGCCAAGCACTCAATTTCCGTATGGTTTGATGGCCTTAGTGCAAAACCTCTGTCAACGCAACTAATTTCGCATATTGTTCCGATCTCATTTGTTTCACCATCGCATAATATTTCACCATGCTCAAGGGTTCCAAGGTCTTCGCAGGATGCAACAAGGGGGAGAGACGCTTAAAATATCGTTAGAAATAGTTAGGATATCTTGACAGCCCACAAGCCGCAATGTACTGAAAATGTTCATGAGTGGTATACAATTGAAAGTTGGCAAATACGCTATTTGACCAAAATTTGTGTAAACTATGAAGTAATGGGTTGTATTCCTTTGAAACAAAAGTTTTTTACGACACAAATTAAATACTATCGCACTTCCCCAGTAGTCTAACCCTCAAAAAAGCCTTTGACATGTTTTGCGAGTCTGCAAATTTGGCTCAAGATCCTCTTTGAACAAAGTAACTTTAACAGATGTGTTAATGGGATCTGACTCGTTTTATCGCGGTAATGAAAATTCATAGATAAGATTAGAGTTAATAAGAAGTTTATCTCTTGAAGTTTATCTGATTGTCTTATCTCAAATTTTTAAAACGCGATCACATTACGTATTGAGAAACTTTTCGTGAAATTTTGGCTAGATGCCAAAGAATTCAAACCTGCTGTCTATATGGCTATCCGACAGAATTGCTGAATTTGAGCTAATTTTCACGATTCCTAACTTTTTCTTCCGCCGATGAGAATGAAGTCTCCGTGAGAAAACATTGGTTTCCCCCAGGTATTAATATGATGATGGTATCACTAGTTTATTCATCTTTTACAACCTTGCGTTTTTGAAATTACAATTTCTGCAACTCCATAAACATGACTCGAAATGCTTATTTGATCTTGATTGTTCATTATATCTTTATTGGTTTTAATACTGATTTCTAGGTCAATTTGAAAAATGCATTCCATATTTCAGATAACTGCAAGCCGATTGTTGATTGTTGTTATGACAGCTCCAAGTAGGATAAGCGATTTTTTAACAGTCTCCTATAAGTTACATCAACTGTCTATTCAAACTGTCGTAGAGCCCATTATTTTCCAATGAATAAAATTCCGTAATATTCATTTTAATGAGGGCAATCGGTTAGTTAATTACTATTAGTAAATGAGGGTTAATAAATTTATATATAAAAACGCATGCTCATCTGACTTCATGATTTGAGCTGCCTATATTTATTGGTTTTAAAATTAAGACGTTTGTTTTATCATTGCTGACCAAGTGATAATCTGTAATATAACCCATAACCTCTCACAACGGCAAATTTGCCATCTTCGTGTAACACGACTAAAATAAGTCACGGATGGTTCAGTAAATTGTGGAGGTACAACCGTGCCCAAAATCGGCTGCATTATTCAAAAAATAAAGTATATAAGATTCAATCTAGTTATGCATTTTTCCTATTCCTATAACGATTATGGTACAAGATCCGAACTTGTGCAAGTAGGCGCTCGTGGACTCCAAATTGCATTTTTTCCCCTCTGAACGCATTTAGAGATAGCAGATCCTATCATTTCAAAGCCAGGATTGCACGAGTATTCACATGTTGATCCGACATTATCTTCCCAGTCGCATACTCGATTGCCGTTGCGAAAATTTTCTTGTAGTTTCGAACAACGAGCTGCAGATATAATATGGTAGTCAAGTTCCATTATGAAACGAAATTCACTCTAATTTGTGATTTAAAATGTAAGAAAGATTTCATGCAATGCAAACTTGAAAAAATAAATTACAATATAAATATTATATTGTTTAATATATATATATATATAAGTTAAATTTGCGAGCTTACGTTTACACTCTGGTGTAGGTCCATCCCAACCGCCTTTCCGAGTACAGGTAACAATTCCATCCCCGACAAGACTCTCTCTATCACCACAGAAATATCTGCACGAAACTCCGGCACTATTTCTTAAACAAGAACGTCCTCCATTTTCAGGTTCGGCTGGTGCGTCATCACAATCGTGCAGATCCTCGGGATTGTCTCCACCAGCTGTAATTTCTGAAATCAGGGATGCAATTAACAATCATGAAGTCCGTATATTTTTATATATGAAAAAAATTAAGTATATATCCGTCAGGCAACATTGCATGGATTCAGATACTATTGAATTAACAAAGAATCTTTTCACTAAGCAATACCTGTAAAAAAAAATACAAATGTTACAGAAGTCATCACTCTAACCTACGCAGTTCGAGCTAATTTTTATTTCAATAACAATCTAATTCTGCCTTTGGTATTCATGGCGACGACATGAAAATCAGGAATGACTAACCTGGCATTTCCTCACAATCCGGAGGATCATTGTTAAATTTTGGTTTTGTTCCTCGAGCACCTCGTCTGCAAACGCTTTCAGAATTGCCGTTGAGATGATAGCCTGTAGACATTTGATTACATAAATTTTCTCATGATTATTTGTACCGCTTCAGATGGACTTTTTATGGCCTGCGTTGTTAATGATTTAATAAAAGGAATCCTTAAAACCTAACACGACATCATTTTAGTTCTCCGTGACAAAGACGGCGTAAATTAAGCAAAACTAACAAAGCATGCGTGAACTTGAGACTTCCTAATTCTAAAAGAGAGTTTTTGCGAATCACGTCAGTACTATAGAACGAATAACTAACTAGCTCATAGCGGTAGATGCATTCGCAGATGTGATACATACCGGCCTCACAAGAAAACGTGCATCTGGTGCCAATGTCCCCCTCAAGTGTTCTGAACTTGCATTGCTTTGATCCATTTTCTGGAGCATTCAGTACCTTGCACTTCTTAGGAGTGGGGCCAGTACCTGGAAAAATGAAACTATACGTAAACAATACTTTTTTATTTCTGCAATAATCAGGCTTTTCTAGTATTTACACAATAAAGATTACCACCTTTATTTCCGGAGCACCAAAAGTCTCTTCTATTGCAATGAAATCCTCTGCAACAACATCTACAAACAGAGTTCTGTACGCCAGAATTACATTGAGTCGGTCCAGCAGCCGCACCCGGATTCTATGAATAAAATAAGAAGTGCAAATTAAGTCGGAAAGCCTAACTTCACCAGATCCAGAGCCATGATATATTTCAAAATATATCATGTTATATAGTTGCGAATAAATTTTAACTATTTTCCAGTGAAATAACAATCGCCACTGAACTTCAATCGAATCGACTACACGAAGACAAACATTTGGTCAGAGTAAACCCCAGAATAAGTTACACATGAGAGCGCGGGAAACAACCATATCTGTAAGATTGAAGTATTTACGGTCGACTTGAATAATTATTCTATAGAGTTCGCAGTCGGGTATTTAAATTGTAACTCCAACACAGTTCAAGTACTGGACTTAGCTGACAATCGTTTGAACTGAAGAAGCACCTTATGCTCGTTCTTTCTTACCTGTCCCCGATTATTCTCGCATGCGTCCGTTTGTTTGCATCGTTTTGTAATGAAAGGGATGCTACCGGCACCTTCATGATAACGGATCTCAGTCTGGCAAGACATCTAAAAAATAAAAAAATAAAAGTTTAGCAAAGGAAACATACTATGCTGATAGTTTTCTTTGAATGTCAGGGGTTCTGTGGTTTAACATAGTTATCTTAAAATCAATTTTTAATATAAAGATTGAATATAATTTTTATTTGTTTTACAATTTAAAAGTTGATAAGTAGGGAAATTGGGATTCCCAAATAATTTTGAATGTATAAATTGTTTTTCTTTTTCGGATTACTCAACTGCCTGTCCTCTACACTTTTCCGATTGTCCTCTTGCAATGCATTGCTTTTCCGATCTCGCATCGTTGCAAGTCCAACATCTTAATCCTATGATAAAATATAAGAAATCTAATAACATTAGCAGAGAATGGACAAAAATTCCCGATCATGGTTTATCTCTCTGTGTCACATGATATACACAACCTGTTTCATTTTGAAAGGGAGAGACTAAATGAAATTTCTGATTCCGCAGCAACATATATATATATATATATATATATATACATATATTGGCTAACGACACTATGAGTCGTACCTTGGTGCATTCTCTGCAATCTAGGAAGAAAAACAATTATTCCTTCTAACAGTTCAGTTAAGCTCCAAGGCTTTCTGATTGTACACAGTGATTGATTCTATTCAATATTACTTGCAGCATAGGCGATTTATCACAGCTAAAAAGGTGTGCACTTTTAGGCCTTTGTTGATATGACGCTCAAGTATGGATGCTCTTTCAAAATTACCTTTTTTTAATGGAAGACAATGCAAACACATTGACAATTTGTTAATTTAATTACTGCAATTATTTCAAATGTTTGAAGCACAATCAACTAGATCTTTTGTAGAAAGACTCCGCCACCACTCAAAATAAAATGAAAAAATTTCGAGATAGGTAGGGCTAGGATTAGAAATGCAGATTGCACTGTATTTGCACTTTCAAATTATTCTTAACCCGAACCCTAACTGGGTAATTACTATTTTGTTTTTATTTTAAAACGTGATGGGGTTGTTTTTCACAAACCCAACATTTTTGCATTAGTGGCGGGGGCTTACTACAAAAGATGCTGTCTCTTTTCTCGGGTAACACAATAGTTAACTTACCGCTTCCACGATTGATGCAGCAAAATAATAAACATAAGCTAAGGAAATACATAGACGCCATCTCTATCTGGCAGTCTGCACAGCACAAACTTCACGTAGCAGAATATTTTGTACTAAACACTTTCTATCAATTCATGAAGTGCGTCTTGCAATGAATTATGGAAACGTAAACAACTTCACGTCAGATATTGAAACGAAACGATCAGTAAAACTTATCTGGCCTTTTCTCGTTATTGCGCAAATATCAAGGTAAATGTTGAGTAACGTTGCAATTCTTATGAAGTTTTGTAATGCCGAGCTGCTAACAATTTCCGGCAATTGAATTGGAAACTGGGTCATCGGGTCATACTCTGTTTTTCACAAAACGGAGCTTTTATTCAACATTCAATTTCAACTCACTTAACTCATTGCATCCTGCCGGAAAGATTCAATGTTGCTTCATGAGAAACATTTCGTTTCACAGGGTTCATCCAAATTTGTGTATTTTATCGTGGTGCAAGATGTCATTGCTCAATAGGATTTTTTTCACGTAAGTTAACCATCCCTCATTACCTAGTCCTACTGGGCCAATTGCTCTGAAATTTCCGTGGCACAAAATCGTATTTTTCGCTAGAAGGAAATTCCTCTTATTTATTTTCGAAAATTTCTGTGGGCTTCATGGGATTCGTTTTTTGTGGTGACGTCTTAAAAATTGCGCACCTTGTGGCGGTTCAGTTTTTGCGTTATTGTCGTGAAGACTGCTGTATCGGTAGCATACTGTGACAGATTGCATATCTGTTCTACTTCGTTGTGGTTTTTTGTCCATATATTTTTCATTTTTTTTTTCAATATTTCATACATATCAAAGATAGGGTCCTGTATCATCTTTGTTACAGAATTAAACTACCTTTATTGCATTTCCACACTATAGTAGGAATATTATGATGACAAAATGATTGAGTGAAATGATGCAAAAGGTTCTTTTAACGAGCGTAATCGCGTCGACTGTTTCAGAAGTCGTTGCACGGATATTTCCTCCTCGGATTTTTTCGATTTCCCAAAATCTATCCTACTCATCTTCCTCCTGTCTGCGTGGTAGAAACCTTGTTGTGAACAGATTTGAATATATATAAAATTCACGTTTGATAGATTTTGCCAGAATTTTCATGCCATGTATACTTATATCATTACGACCAGGGCGAAGTGAAAAGAAAATGGGTAGAAAAAGTAATCGAAAATAAAATTTAACGGGATTTAAATCCGTTGGCACCACAGAATAGTTTCTCGCATATGCGCGGTCATTTATTCATGGTATATATTACGTAGTTACCTCAGAATATGCTTCGATATTGTAGCAGATGTGATTCGACAATTAAATCTATAGTGATGTTCTTTAAATCGCATTGTTTCTAATTAACGAAAATGTGGTGTAGCGTGATAGGCCGAAAGCAATTTTACGGGATTTATTTCGTAAAACATCTAATTCACAAATCCAAAGACAAGTTGAGCCAAGGAACTTCAAAAATACATTCATTATGCTCTACATACCAAGTACGGTATATATATTTATGTTGTTGATTGGGAATTACGCCGAAACGAGCATCTTGTCTTAACCAGGCAATACAGCCATGATCTTATTGTCGTATGGCGCAATAAGAATTGTAGAGAACCCAAGAACACGTAGCAGTATTAAAATTCCCATTCAGTATTCAAATTGAGACAACATAATAAAATGAATTTTTTCACTCTCGGCATTCTTTATCTGAAATGGCAATTGTGACTGTATACCCTAACGTGTAGTACTTCATTGAAAACCTGTAATCATTAAACAAGAAAGACCACTTTTCATAATAATTGTATAGAAAGCGCAACTAGTCAACAACAGTAATTCACCGAACTACAAGATTTGATTTATGATACACAAGATAAACTTGAATATTTCGATCAAGTTCAAACGAGAAAAGCTGTGAAACTGGATTATTAAAGTTTAGTCGCTCTAAATCCACCAAAACACCACAAGTTTCCTACAGGTCGTATAATTACTTTTGAGCAACGCGTTCACCTATTTTCAATGTCATATATACGTATGCCATATATTAAAATGAGTAATAAAACAGAATTTGTAATACAACATGTCGATTTAGGCATTGAAGTAATATTGATCAATTAAAAAACATCGTATTTCTGATACAAATGCTGTTTTGATCTTAAGTATCTCAGCAACATATATAGTCAGCAGTCATATAAAGTCTAAATATCTAAAACAATATGTAAGTTAGATAAAGTGGACGCTCAATTCCATACAATCAAACTTGTTTTTAAATCAAAAGGCCTCGTCAATTCAAACCGATAAAACGATTTGATATATATACAGTATAAGTATGCACATAAATTACACTGTATAAGAGTAATGTCATCACAGCAGAAATAGGATGAAATAAATTATTCTTTGTATTAACTACACTCTACTGTTTTATTATGATCAAAATAATTGGTCTGGAAGGTAAATTATGTATAGATATTTTACCTCCACGTGAACTCAATATGTCAATTTCTACTCAGTTATTGAACCATATATTTTATTATGACATAAATCGTACAACAACGAGATATATTTTTTGATTTTACGTCCATTGTTCTTCATGGCCATAAATTCATAACTATCCGTGAGTAATTTTGTTGATTTTCTAAGTTTGATTAATACTATTAACAATTTTGTTTCACTAACTCCGTCTATAGCTACATTCTTCTTCATTTTAAACACATGTTCTAAATATGAATTCAACCTAATGTCGCAAGCATTATTCATCCGTGAGTAGTTCATGTTTATTTAGATTTATCAATCATCTCTCACGGTCGGATTAAAGACATACTGTGGCGATTAGAACTAACAAGTGATATTTTGTTAATTGTTTAGATGACATTTAATAGTGCTAAACCCGGCAAAATTTAATTATGCTTTTACATACATTTCTAGAATAATTGTTGTTTTTGGTAATTTTATTGTATATATACTTCCTTGACATTTACTTTTGACGTCGTTCGACACTTCACTAAATCGAGTCTAGTAAAGTACAAATCACGATTTCGAAAGTGGTTTAACAACACCTTATACGTAAATAAGTTTGGTATATAATTATTGTTGTAATTATATCAGCAATATCCTGGCAATCAACGTTTTTAATGAAAAGTAGATATGACAATTCAGTTTATTTAACAAAATCAGCTAAATGTCTTGTTTCTCGCACATCGTTTTATATTCGTAATGCGATAGCTATCGGTGTTTTACTTTAAATTTTTCTCAGTGTGCCCCGCTGATTTTATGTGACTAAAAATCTCATCGAATGTTTCTTACAAAAAGGGGACTGTCGTTTGCATATTCAAACTTCCAGGTTGCGAAGCCAATGACAATAAACAAAATTACTTAGTAACATCTGAGCCGGTATTGCAGAAACTGAATATTTCTGCGACAATTAACCGAAGTAAGTTGTTTTCCTGACATAACACATAGCTACCCTACAGGTGCGCTGAACATCTTCGTATAATGGAACAGTATTTGATTGATGCTATAATTAGAAATGCACCCACATTTAATCGTTTTATACCATTGTTGTAACTACAGCATACCTGCAGAGTTTATCAACATGCTGTTTGCGTTTTATTTTTTTCCTCAATTTAACTGATGTTGTTATCGCTTAAAAGGTATGGTCGTTCGAATTCACATTTTGATATACCAGAATTTTTAATAATGGAATGTATAATACTAGTTATCAAATTCTGAGAAACGGTTAAACCGGTTGAATACCGGTATCGGCTGGTTCTAGAGCCATCTAAGGAAAAAAATATATCGTTTTACGTTATGCCTTGAACCAAAACTGACTTGCAAAAATTCAGCATTGTGATCTCCACGTATTTATACGGCTTGTGTGGAAGCCGTTTCAGACCCTTTATTTCAATGCTTAACCGGTATTAGATCAAATCGCGCCTCGAGCGCCCAGTCTGCTTACAAATTTATGACGCAGAAAGTTCGCGCGAGGTTTAACGAAATTTTTGAAACATAATCTCGATTATTAAACAAGATAGTATTTTTTTTCCTTGACGATATGAATAAATAGGCAAGTCTAAGCTTGCTCAAAGCACTCTTGTTCTATTTCATACGCGAGGCCTGCAAAAGCTGCATCGTGTCAGAAAAAAATCATGTCAAAGATTGGGGGATTCCTTGCCGTTTTAGCCATCATTGGCTTTGGATCTGGAGGTTAGTTGAGGTTTTATTTGTTTATATTATATATATATATTACGTCCATTTTGAATACTGCGAAGGGAATTAGATTCGTGACAGATTTCGAATTCAATTGATAAGACTAAAAATAAATTAAATGTTGAATCCCTTTCTATGTTTCTCCGATTTCTATGTTTTATATAGGTTCGTGTCGGTCAAGTAAAATGACGGTGAAAAAATTGGTTTGGCTGCAAATGATAAGTAAACTTTAACGAATGAAAACAGCTTATAAAAAATAATATCATAAATTGTTGAATTGAAAAACAATGTTCCAAACAATTACTACTATTCCTTAAAATCATCGCTGCTATTAAATTATTGTTGGATTTAATTAAATATGTATAAAGTAAAATATTAATAGCGTCCAAGGCGAACAAAACAATATTACTATACTGCCCAAAAGTTATTCTCTGTTAAAGTGTTTCAAAAATTGAGCAATTACTGTATCGAGTGTTTTATTAAAGATTTAGTTGTTCGTGACGTTATTTGTTTTACATAACCCGCTTTTTGAAAATATTATAGCTATATCGTTGGAGCCTTTTTGTCGCCCACGACACATTGCAATATTTATGAAAAATGATAACATCAATTTTATTGTATGTGCGTGATTTGAGTTAAAAACTGTTTGTTTGTTAGTATATGCATGCGTATGAGTGACAGTCCACGCCCTCATCATCGCGATTTGCTATTTTTCTAATCGAATTATCCTCCACCTGTGAAAATAGGTAATAATTATAGTTTTTGTGCATTACCGATTTCACAGATTTCTATCTAAGTCCTTTGAAGACCATGCATTGTACCTAGTTTGTTTGTTTGTTTGTTTGTTTGTTTTAATGCAGGCAACGGGACGCTGATAAAATCTAAAATTTGCAATATTTTTCTATAAAATTGTTTTGCAAAAATGATAATAACGTCTGTAGCTGCCCAAACGTGTTTTTCCTGTTCTGCTTAAAAACTGAGTTGGATATTGCCTATTTTAATTGGCAACGGAACGGAACGGACAACGGAAAAGTTGTTCAAATTAACAATCAGTGTCGTAAAACTTGGCGCAATCAAATATATTCATACATGTAGGTTTTCATGCAATAATTTTAACTTCAGTGTATTGTTGAAAAAAATAAACAAATAAAACAAAATTCTTTTTTTAACATTTAAGTTCATGGGTTGCGATGTTGGTCATGTCAGAAGATGACTAGCAATGAAGAATGTAACGCTAAAGGAAATTTACAAACCTGCAAGGCGAATCAGGTATTCTGTTATTGTTGATTATTATAAATTATATATTTACCGCTGTTCAATCTAAATGGAATGTCTTCAGAGTACCGAAGAAAACAAAACAAAATTAATAAAAAAAATAGGCTGTTTTGCACAGAAGTGAACACAGTTTTTCACACAAGAATTGATGTGCTTAAATAGTTTACACCTTAAAATCAGATCAATATTTGTCTATTTTCAGTAAGCTGACGACTAGTTCATATTATTTTGCAAAAACATGCTCACTTGATGAATTTTTTAGGACGTATGCGCACGTCTGAATGCTTACGTCGAAAACCACACGTTTGTGAATAAGATCTTTCGGCCTGAAGGAGCAAAATAGCATTTGATGCAATATTTTTCCTGTCATGCGAATGTGCAAAACTATTTTCGTAAAAGTTTCTCTGAAACAAATAGATTACAGCGTTATGTCTGAACTACGATGTCATACTCGGGTCTGGTTAAATGGTAACGTGGCGTGAAACACTCTCTTATCTATCAAACTAAGTACGCAGCGTCATTTATCGCTGGGGGACATGTTATTGTCGTGTTGTTGAATAAGCGAATCCACGTGTTGTATAAATTAACTTGTGTTTTACACGTTAGAAGATACCATATTGGTTAACCTGATTCGAACTCTCTCCTTGTTGTGAAAATAAATATTGTTTACCTATATAGTTTCGCTAATTAAAAAGTAGGATTTGGGTATTTGTAAGCGCCTGAAGTAACACATAATATAGGTATAGAACGAGTAAATTCTCATTTTCGTATTTTCTTGAGCTACCACGATATGCAAAATAATCGCACACTCATCGATTTTGTGGTTGAACAAAATGTGGTAGAGTAGTTCGACTATTTCATAAAATGAAAAATTCAGCGTTTGCTTTAAGCAAGAGAAAATCCAAAAGACCAAAAAGATGATATAGTTTTTGTGTTGGGGTATGTATTTCATCTGATTTGTAGTATTGAACGATAACTTCATCCACCATGAAGCAAATACATTCATATATAACGAGTCACTTATTACACATTAATTAATCTAAGCTACGCAAATAGATGTCAAAAGTTTAATGAAAGACCGATGCTTGCGCCTATGCCTGATAGCCTTAAGCACTTAAATTTATAGGAAGTTATTTGATGTTGATTTAAATATTTGAAGGTCTTTGAGAATATTGTATCGAAGGCTGGATTATGTAAACAACTTAACTAATTGAAAATATTAATCTCTTTTGGTGATGTTTTCTCGGTGGTACATTGGAATTAAAACAAGTTTCGTTGCAATGTAGGTTACGATAACTACTGATTACATATATATTTAATCGTTTAATTTATGGTATACGGCATTATGGTGTGTAGTTATTCAGTAGACCTTTACTTTATGATTCGCGGTAGAATGACCTTTGTCTGTTATGACGCCCAGCCTCCTTATATTCACATTCAATTGCGTTGTAATTAATAGACTAGTGTTAACGTGCGATGTCAAAGTGCCGGTAGAGTTAAGTTCCGATAGACACCATAAACAAATAAGTTTAAAATAGCGTTTCTTGGAACTATCTGAAAAACTGGTTTACTTGAGATTTTCGCAATTGCGTTTACTTTTATGTTCATGTCACAGGTCATTTAAAATATTTTTCTTTGAAATAACTTTCACGAGAAAGTTTCGTCGCCATGATCAACGTATGAAAAGATTTAGAAGTTACAATATATACCCATATTAACTCATTATATTATATCTGCGGAGCTTACCAGCATAAAACATACCAAATACGAATGCATATTCCTCGCTGTCCAATCATCATTTCATAAGTGATTTGAATTTAGGCCAAAGACGTACGCGTTTTGTGTAAGATATTTAACATCACCGAAGTGAGGTACATTCTCATATCTCAAAATTCATAAAAAAAAGTATTTGAGGTACTAATGAAGAGTTACACTGTTCAAGTCAAATGCCTATTTCCAGAACAAACTCAAGTAATTTTTGCTATTTCCATATTTTTTGTAACTTAACGTTTATTCGTGTTTTAGGCTTGCCTGAACCAGATATTACAAAGCAATGATGGTTTAAAATATGAAATAACCAAGGGTTGCAGGAGGAAAAATAGTCCAATTTGCGCACGAGATACTCAAGTAAGTTATAATGATATAGCACATTGTTTTGATTTCTATTTCTGATCTATAAGCCTTCAATTAGCATGGTCCATTAGCAGAGAACTGCCATCCCTTTTTCTAAGTAATATCAATGTCAGGAAATTATTTGAGAACTTCTGCTTTGGGAAATAACTTCAACTACCACTGGGCAATGAATAGTTGACTTGGTCTAGAATCTCACGTTGACGTATTATTTAGTTGGATATATATACAATCTGTTTGTATTAGTATTCTATGCGTTTATTTGATTTTCTTTATATCTTTCTGTTAGTTTAAAGGTTGTTATAGAACTCATTAAATTAGTCAAGAATTCTCACACTTCTAGTCGCCCTAACATATAACATCACTGTTGCGCTGCAGGATACATGCGAAATGAAGTTGGTAAACCGATAGTTTTGTAAGCTTTTGCGTCTATTTAGACCAGGACGAAAACATTAATTTTACATTAATATCATAACGAATCCAAGCGCTGATTTCTGTTTTCCAAGAAGTGAAGCGATACCGACGTTCCTCAGTTTTACGTTCACAAGCACCAGCATCCAACCTTATATTTCAATCCTCCCTGATTCAATAAAGACAGAGCAAAGCATTATATTCCCAATGTTGTGACGTAATCTTATCCGGAAGAACTGTATACTTGCGCAATTCATATACTCTAAGACTAAGTCTAGGAGGTGATAGAAAAACACTGAAATTTGGCCTAGCTTCCATAGAAATACCTTCACATAATCAATATATCTAATCTAACATATGAGGTAGGGAACGTCATTTGAATCAAAATAAATAAGGCTTATCTCACTTTTTATAAGAATGTTGGGATGTATCCTACGCAATGCCAGAGCATGAAGGATCAATCAATCTGCCGATGTTGTTGTGATACAGACTCTTGCAATGGGCCACAGCTGGAATGTAAAGACGGTAAACATAAAATAGTGTTCATAAAACGTTCTTTTTGAATTTGGAATCCGTGACAATCATACTATATTTATTAGAATAGATTATTGCAGATTATTTTCACAGAATACCTACTAAAACGTATCTTATATAATTAATTCACATACTTAATTATGCCCGCGATAAGAATATAAATTGCAATATCTTCAATCATGTATTACGAATTTCATCATCGAAAGTAGTGAATGATCATTTCCACAAGCATGTGCATCCAAACAATATATTATACCGTTAGTCAGGTGCTTATTTTACAGAATAAAAAATGAAAGGCAGTTTATCCTTTTTCAGTAGTGACATGTAAAAGACCTCAGAATCCTGGAAACGGTATGGTAACTTGTCCAAAAGGAATTAACTACGGTACTAAATGCATTGTCAAATGCAACAGAGGCTACCGACGTCAAGGACCAAGAACGATTGTCTGCACTAATGGGACAGATCAAGGTTATTGGGAACCGAGAACGTATGCGGCCTGTTTGCCAGCAATCAGAAGTGAACAAGCGGAAAAGCCAGTTTTGTGTCAGAAAAGAATAGCTGCACCAGTATTCGGAAGTATGGTCTGTGAAAACAAAGGTGAGCATAAAGATAAAACAACATATAATCATATTGGAACAGTATGTGCTTTCAAATGTGACCCTGGATACTTTTTGACTGGAGCAGAGAGTGTCTTCTGTCTTCCTGGTGGTAGTTGGAGTATATCTGTTCCCACATGTATGAAAGGTACATGTCAGAAACCCCCACAAGATAAAAACCGTATCGATGACTGTACCGATGACAGATCTTTTGGCAGCACCTGTTTGTCAAGATGTAAAAAAGGTTACAGACTGATCGGTAGTTCCACATCTACATGTGAGTCCATTAATGATGCAACCAGGCAGGGAAGATGGTCTGAAAAGTTTGGCAAGTGCTCAAGGGCATTGTGTAGGCCAGAGTTGATAAAACCACCCAATGGAAGATTGATATGCACAAACAGAAATTTCCTTGGCAGCGTGTGTACCTATGTGTGCAACGAAGGATATGACATTATAAACGAAGATGTAGAGAGAATCGAACAAATTGAATGTGTTGAAAATGGCGAAGTTATAGAATGGAACGGTCCTCCGCCTAAGTGCTTCAAAATCACATGTCCCAGGCTGCAGATACCCTCTGATGGAAGCGTGGCATGCGTCGGAGATGGAAGCGTTGGTAGTAGTTGTACGTTCTCTTGTAACGCTGGCTTTGATCTTGTTGGCGTTCGCGAAACGACGCTGAAATCAGTGTGTGCAGACAATCTAAACAACAGAGACGGCGTTGGAGTGTGGTCTGTCGAAACGGTGAATTGCGCCCCCATTAAATGTGAACCTGCAAGAGAAGCACCGCTAAATGGTCAAGTATACTGTACAAATGAGAATAATGTAGGCAGCACTTGTACATTCACATGCGACGCTGGATACGATATGGATAATACCAAATCATGGTTATTATTCAATCGTTGCGAGCCTGACCCAGCTGGAGACGGTATTGGCAAATGGAGTGCTGACCCCGCTACCTGCAGTACAAGATATCATTGCCAAGAAGCACAAGTAGATCCAGAACACGGGTCGGTTACGTGTGACAATGAAGCCTATATGGGAAGCGTTTGCCAATTTTCTTGCGATGACGGTTACCAGCTACGCGGATTTGATAGAATAACTTGTCGGGATATCAAAAATGATGGTGATGGCATAGTGGAATGGAGTTCTGAGGCGCCCTCTTGCGTAGCAGACACCTGCTCCATGCTTTGGCACGACAGATTCACCGTTAGAGCTGAGTGTAACTCCATGGCTGATGATAAGCAATACACCATTGGAACAACGTGCATATACTCATGTTTAGAGCCCGGATACTATCTTGAAGGTGAATCGGAGATAACGTGTACATCAAGAAACAAATGGAGCGCTAACGCCGCACCTAGGTGTTTTGTCATAACATGTCCTCCATTAAATATACCTGAAAACGGAAACCAACCGAAATGTAGTAATGGAAACAAATACGAATCACGATGTAATTTCGAATGTAATCCAAAATATAGTTTGTCGCACACCGATACTTTGATTTGCGAAGAAGGAACTAAAGGAGGGAAAGTAGGAATTTGGGACAAAGCAGCTCCTGAATGTGTTTTGAGTGAATGCCTTGCAATTCCACCAACCCCGAGTAGGGGAACAGTGACATGTTCAAGTGGTGCATCTATTGGGTCGTATTGTACCCTTGAATGCACGCAAGGCTATGCTCCAAAAGTTAGGAGTATAGATTGTCGTGTACAGGAACAAAGGACAGAAAACGGTGTGAAAGAAATTCCAAGATTTTCACTACTAAAGGATTTTTGTTGCGCGGAATGCCGATCTGATTTTCACATAGGGCAAATTGCTGACTTAAGATTTCGTAAAAATCTTGAATCAATTGTAGGATTTACCAAGATGCTACTTACTCAGTTGGTAGGACAAGAAAACCAAGCATATTTCTCCACATTTGCGTACGGTGATGAGGTTGATGACTCTACTGTAATTCCTAGAGAGAAATTGGAAAACATGGCAGCCATTGATAACATAGTGAAACAGATGGAAAAATGGGAAGTTACGCCTGGATTAAGTGAGTCATATTTTATGGTCGTTTGCCAAAAAGAATGACATATATTTTTCCGTCTAGCTGAGCTTTCACTGACTGTCCAAAGTTGCTCAGGTCACCAAAGTGTAAAAACTACATATAATTTTATCTGAGGATTGAAAAATATGCGAGAATATGGTTTCAAAGTATTAGTTTATATGGCTACCCAACTTTAACACCTACATCCTTACCATGGGTGAGGATAGGACAACTAAATTAACCGGGGCCCTAGTTTTAAAATAATCGCTTTCAAATAATTTTTCCGTGTTATATAGTATTTACTATAATTCTTTTATATAATTAGTTTTTCTATATATGTAGCAATAATGCATTGTGTTCTAATACTTCTAACAGAATCGGACACCAGAGGCGCACTGGATTATGTTAACGATCAATTGTTTGAGGGAGTTGACAGCAACGCCGCAAGTTTTTTGATTATCGCAGCAGATGACGCTCCTGATAATGTGAGAAAAGGATCAATAGCAAGAATTCTGGATCGTGGGATTAATGTAAGAGAGAGTATTTATTTGTAAATACACGACGTTAATATAAATATCAATTTTGTTAGCGTGGCGATTAAGCAAAAATAAATAAACATGGACATTATGACGCCATATATAGTGAGCGGCATTTGAAACTTTGACGACTGGAATAGTGCTTTGATAGTTAGTTTTGAAGAGTGTCATCATAACAAGACACATCAAGAGCCACTATGTGGCATTTAGTAACTTTATTTCTTGATTACTAAATCAAACCTATGTTTTATATAAAAATATTTAAAAATTACCGCAGATATTCTTGGTAAATCATATCGAAAACTTTTATATTTGTTATATTTGTAACATACAGAATTTATACTATTTGTAAAGTATGCCTTCAATATGAAAGACAGCTTTGAAAAAGTTGAATATGAACATGTAATTAGATTATAATCAATTGTCGTTGCAATTGTTTTGCAGAAAAATAAAGCGTATATTGCCTTATTCCTGTACCTTCATTCCAATATAACTTATTTGTAAACACTTTTAGATCATTGTGGCTGCATCAAACAACTTTGCCAAGCTTACCTGGGATAAACTTCTGGGCAGCGATGAAAACGTGGTTAACCAAGACGCGAATGAGATAATGAAAAGGATCTATGAATTAGCTTTCAAAAATGGTTGCCCAAATACGGCACCTAGATGTGTTTGAACATAAATTTGCTTTCTCTGAGTAAGACGTGTTTATAACTAATTGGACGATATATTAAAACATCAACCTGTTACAACCGTGAACGTGCTCGTTCAAACTATATATATATTATAGTACAAATAAAAGTAATCATATAATATTCATATCATTGTAAAATATACATGAGTGAAAAAATAAATTTTGTTGTCATCGAAAGTATTCATGATTTTGATTTGAGTCTGGATTAGTCTTTCAGTCTGATTTTAAATTGTACATTGTGCTATACACATACCAGTGATACCACGTTCCGGTGTCCGCCATCGTGGTTGACATACTACGGGTGTACCGACTCTAATTCAATTCGATACCGACACCATATTCCCTAACAATGTACTATGTATAAAATATATAACGCACGGCTGAAAAGAGTGGGTAACTTATGAACATATGACAGTACCACTTGGGGTAAAAAGGTTATCTATACGTTTGCTAGCTAGTTTTTGTAACACTCTGCTAATGTGCAAGTGTCCGGTATTTCACTGAAAATCAAACGAAATGGAGGATAGTTTGCCCCTGATTGCTGCTGCTGATTTTGATGCTATTCTAGAATAATCCATATTCTTTATTCATAAACGAAAATATAAAATTTGTTGCTTTAAATTCTATTTATGGCTATATCGAGTCAATGTAAAATTATTTACGTCTGAATTCCGCGCCAAGCGAAATAATATTTTGTTCCTAAGAAACGATATTTGTCATTAATTCTCCCATTGTTTCCCCTGTTAGAGTTACAGTTTGAATTTGTAGGCTATTGTTTGAGGACAGTGAATTCGCGTGATAAAATTTCCTGTGCACTGCATATTCGTTCTTATACGTGGGCTAATAACGGATTCATTGAACTCAAATCTCCCGCCATGTTTTCAGTCCAAATCTGGTGATATCCAAACTATTTTAATATGATCAACTGGGTCACAGGCGGCGCTCGAAATGTTTTGGCAAAATAAAAATCAATTCAATAATTTTTTATAGACGTTCGTCAGGTTAATTATTTCTTCCGTTTAATGGTAGCGAAGTAAAATGTTTAAATCGATTTACAGAAGTCGATTGTAGTTTACTAACTCCCCATTATTCTGGAAACAATCAAGATCTAACTCAATCGACTCATTATTGCCAACTAGCGGTTTGATTTCACATTTTGTAGTTTACAACGTTTTGATAAAAATAGAATTGGTTTCCAACAGGCTTCTGAATCGAGAACTATTTTCCATCAAAGAAATGCTGTGCTTATTTTAAAGATATTGTAATGGTCTGTGTTCTTCTGAACTTTCGTAAACTTGTTCATCCAAGAAAATTTTTCAGTCGTCAAACTCGGTTGGCTGTGAGTTCTCACCCATTCTTCCAAAAACTTCAATTATATATGTGGAATTCACTACCTCATAGCTGTTTTCCTGATTGTGTGACATATACTATTTAATGAAGGGACGGGTGTCACAGTTTAGGTTTTGCTACTGTGATAGTTAATATATCAGAAGACTCTAGATTTCGGATTGCTTATTTATTGATACCGCAACTCTACACTTGAAACAAAAGAAGCAGCAGACACAACCAAGAAGCAGCCGACCCCTAGCCCGCCGGCCGAAGAAGAAAGCAAGAGAAATATTTTCTGTCGCACGTGTAATGGGTTGTCGGAGTTGGATAAGACATATTCGGATGTTAACACAGCATCTAATAAGGGGTTAGCATATATATAAACATAAAATATATATACAAAGCATAAAAACGGACACTATGGTCCGTGACACGGGTCCGGTATTACAGAGATTCGACGAATACGAGTAATAATAGGTCATGGACCCAAATAGAATGTTCAATAGAAAGTCCATGACGTCATAAAGTAAAAGAAGAAAAATACGTTTCAGACTGCACTACAACAATTGTCACCAACATATGTCGTATCTGATATTTCATTGCAAAATGGTGCCGTAGTAGCTGTTCAATCACTTTGGAAAGATATTTTTACATTTGTTTTCAACTCCAGTACAAACGAGAATATACCATGCGGCGCAGTAGGAAAGATTATAATCGACAAACTATATCGAACTGCCGCGAAAGAAGTGATTTGAGTTAAATAAAAATAATCTTCGGTCGACCGTCAACTGCACGTCCACTGATATGCATATTCCAAAAGCGATAGAAGATCCACCCGGCGCATACAATTCTTCAATTTAATTCACGCCGTTAGAGAGGCGATTCTCAGATTTATTTCAAAGGAGGGAATTGCCGAAAAGACAGTTAATCACATGATGTTAATAGGCAAATATGGAAATGCTGGAAAAATTAATTGTTTCAGACGCTAAATACAACCTGGATGGAATAAGCAAATCTAATTTCAACTGAAAAATAAGGATGTAAATATTAAGAATAAAAAGCGGTATCATAATATATGTATATGTAAAATGAAAAAACTATAAAATATGTTTTAGGAGTGCCGCGACAGATAAAAAACTCTATTTTATACGTGGTTAAATCGCAACATTTCGCAATTTTCAATCGGAAACTATACCGTAGTCACCTGAAGTTGATCCAATCCATTATTAAGTTACTGGCGGATTGCACACGACTTAATTTCTCATTATGATGATGATACTAATCAATGTAATAATGTAAAATTTTATCGTCGACCTTGGGATTTTGCTAACGGTGATATCTTGAAAATATTATTGAGCGGCTCAAATTTAACAATTTTCCGAAATCGCAAAAATGCGAATATATATATCTAATTGTATTCGGGAATTACACCATATATTTTTATGTACGCAGATTCCAGTATTTCAAAGCAAAAATACTTTTTATTTTATTGTAATCGTAGGTAGGCGCAACGGTGACCGTACATTTGAACCCACGTACATTTAAACCCATGTGTATATTCGCAGGTTCAATTTATATGCGGGTGCTAAGACCCTTGGGTTAGGGTTAGTATGGGTTCAAATATCCGTGAAACAAAAAAATTTCCATAGGTGCAATAGTATGCAGGGGCAATTGTCGTGGGTTCAAATGTAAGTTGGTTCAAATGTAATGGTACCAGGCGCAACGGCGAGTTACGTTAAAAATAACTACATTAATATGGCAAATCCTTGTTAATACTCGTATCGGCCATGGACTGACTATTTTGCGCAACAGGAAAATAATCATCGACGAAAAAATCGGCAATATCAACGAATGACGTAATCGAGAGCTAGGACTGTTTCGATCTCTTATTATTATTGGACACGAAATGGACCTGTGGAGCGTTTTGGTATTATGTTGTTGGGTGAATCCTAACTCGATTTGACGAATTTATCAGTATTCAGTTTTCATATCGATAAAATTTCCGGCGTGAACTAACCGAACACAACTGTAAATTTGACTAACGTTTGCGATTTCGTGGAAAGAAAATAACCAACAAAGGGCAAAAGAGGGGTTATTACTCGCAATGATTATACTTACAGTTTGTTAACCCCCTCAATTTCCAATATATATATATATATATATATTAAATATTCACCGGTAAAAATGACTGTGGATTCAAACATTCACGGGTGCCGATGTCTGTGCATGAAAATGTCCATGTCTGCAAATGTACGTGCGTGAAAATTCCGTTTGTGTAAATGTATATGGGTACAAGCATCTATGGGTGCTCAAGTTCGTGCGTGCAATTGTGCCGCAGGAAATATCGCCGTATGAAATTTTGCCGCATATGAAAAATAGCAAGAGCATTTTGCTGTAAAACAAGTATTTGTGATAAAAACAGTTTGGTTTATAGCAGTGGTTCTCAACCTGTGGTACGTGTACCACTAGTGGTACGCGGGAGCTTTTCAAGTGGTACGCGAGCAGATTTGAATTATTGCAACAATTAACCTTTCGGTTTGGTAAAATATGCCGGCAACGCTTTATATTTCTTACTGTATGTATTCGCTGAACAGCGTTTATGGATGTTTCCCCAAGCTTCAGTTTTCTTGTTCATTCCCGTAACCATAACCAATCAGCAATAAGTCAATAATGTCGCAACACGTAACAATTGCATTTTTGCACCCAGCTGCTCAGACACTTCGTCGCCCAAACAGATATTCAAGCATGGTTGCAAACATTGCCTCGTTTTTGTAGTTTTGAGTGATATTTGTCAGTTTTCAGTTTTGTTTCAAGAAAATAATTGTGAATTAATTAACTTAATTGTCATTATGTCTTCTGCGGAGCTTTAATTTATTTGCAGTAATTAAAAATGAATCTCGTAAATGCTGCGATGGACAAGGCTAAACTTAGCTATATATATATCAGTACCTGCAAACGGCACATGGTTGACTAATTTTAATACAAATGATGGTTTCAAACACGTAAACCAGTTTATATGCCACAACACTTTCAGAATAAGCATAAAGTTTACAATAGTAAAGTATAGGGATAATTTTTCCGGGGTCAATGGTCGTGGAAACGTCTATAGTGCTGGTGCGCTACCAGTCCTTGTCTTTAGAGATCGTTCTCTTCTGCTATTGCCCACCTTAAATAAAGCGATATGGGCATGTTATTGTCCGTTTTGCGTGTTAAGCCACAAAGAATGTAGTGCCACATCATAAAATACTCCCATAGCACGTTTCTTGTGTCTTTTTCCTTACGCCAAAAAGGGGATTTGTCGGTGGTAAGCGGCCATAGTAAAAACAGTAAAGTGGTACGCAGTAATATATCTTCCCTTTTATGGTATCTAAATAAAAGTGCAAGTTGTCACGCGGTTTAAGTGTCACGAAAATGTGTGAAAATATGCTAAAATGGGTTGTGAATAGTGCTGGATAAAAATTTAAAACAGCTGGGATGTTGAAATTTCGTACATTCCAAGACATCAAGTAATATAAATAAGTGCGTAGATCAAATGTTATCATCATTCGACAGTTCAAGTTTTCTAATCTACAAATACATTAATCTTCCTAAGTCAAACAATGTCTGACGGAGAAGAAGATCAAACCGCAATTGTCTGCGACAACGGATCTGGATTAGTTAAATCTGGATTTGCTGGGGATGATGCTCCAAGAGCCGTTTTCCCTTCCATTGTCGGAAGACCAAGACATCAAGGCGTGATGGTAGGAATGGGACAAAAAGATAGCTATGTCGGTGATGAAGCACAAAGCAAGAGAGGAATTTTGACACTCAAATATCCGATTGAACATGGAATCATTACCAATTGGGACGAC